TCTACTCTCACTCTCTCTACTCTCACTCTCTCTACTCTCACTCTCTCTACTCTCACTCTCTCTACTCTCACTCTCTCTACTCTCACTCTCCTTAGCCTCCCTAGCTTTGGACCACAACCACCACAACCATCACAACCTCCCTAAACCTTTCCCTCTTCTTCAAAGCTTTAAGAAGTCAAACCCAGGGTTCCAATAATAACAAAAAACTTTTAACGACTTTTGCGCAACTTATTACAAAATTTTTTTTTTCCGCTAAAAAAAATTCTTTAACTTTTTTTGATTGTAGTTTATTTTATTCCTATCAGTTCTTTTATTCATAACTCACTCACTCATGTCTTCTACACACTCTCCCCTTTCATGCAACCCCAGCAACCATAGCAACTCCTCCACCACTGCCACCATGCAACCACCAGCCATGCAACATGCAAATGCAATACTAGAATACAAAATCATACACAGCCGATCAGGGTGAAAGTCACCCCAATCAACCAAAGCAAAAAGGAGAAGAGACAAATGCGCGCAAAACCTAATCGTCCAAAGCAAGATCTCTGAACTCCATCATTTCTGACCTTCTGGCCAATGTAGAAAAACCCGCACCCTAAACACCTTGGAATCCGTAGAAACAAGAAAGACCCAATGATGCAAAATGCAATGCGAACACCGACTTAGGGCTTCGCGATCATGAAAAACCTTTGACGCCGTACGAATCTCTCTCCTTGATCGTAGAATGCAATGTTCGTAGAAGGAAAAGGGGCGAAATTATGGTTGTTCATTGAGGAACAAATCCATATCGACATCTGCTCCCCACTTCGGTTCTCCTTGCTCTTCTTCATGAGTCTCTGGAAGCGGCCATTCTTCCCGACTGACTTCGTCAGCGGCTCGACCTCGTGTACCAACATCACCTGCTGTACTTGATGGACTTCCTTCAGGTTCATTATTTTCTGCACGTCCCTTGCCTTTTGATTTGTTGCCTGCACGAGACATGGCGAGTCCTGGAGGATCCATAAACTTCGAAACACCGTGCAAATCTTGAGGAGATTCGCCAAAAGTCTCTCGCATAGGACTATCAGTTCCAGGTCCAAGGGCAACGGAATCAATACTACCATAAGCTGCATCGTTGAAGATGCCCGGCTGTCGTGAGCCAAATCCTGGACTCTGCATACCACCGGGAAGGAAAGCATGAGGGGCGAAGGCAGGTGACGCGCTTGAAGAAGCCATGGAGAAATGGGGATCTGCATACCCGCCGAAATGGGCTGGATGCGCATGATCGTGTGCAGATGGTAGGCCAGATAAAGTTGGACCACCATGTGGATGCATAGTCGCGGAGCTAGGAAAGCTGTGCGATGTTGGGGTGCCAGAATCAGATCGTCCTGGAGCAGGTTGAAGAGGCGGTGGTCGTGAAGACGAAGGCTCGCTTGACTTGCGCTTGTTGACAATATGAGGCTTGATACGAACACTCTGAGGAAGTTGCTCAGGATCTTCAACACCATGTTGTGCCATCAGCTTCTGTAGCTTTGTTGGACGAGGCTTTCTGGTCGACTTGGAGACTTCGAGGAGGGGCGGGGCTTCTGGTGCTACTGGCGACCACTTGTGAAGCTCTTGTCGGAAGAAGTTTGTCTCGTAAGACAGTAGAATCTCGGCACCCTCGATCTTGCGAAGATAGAAACGTTGGGTTTCGCACTCATCGGCAGTGGCCATGACAGGATTGCAGAACGGTGCAACATGGCTTCTGAAGTCTTGTGCATTGTCGATGATCTTTGCAAGTACTTCCTCTTCATCAGGTTGGAAAGGTAATGCAGGGATCTCGTCCTGCCAAGCTTGTAGGTCCTCCAGCTTAGGTCGAGCCGCATCGCGGGGGATCTTGACACGCCAGTCACAGATAGGGCAAGTGTATTTCTCGTCGTCCTTGACCTTTCCTCGTGCGATCTTCAAGCACTTGCCGTGATACCTATAAAGTTAGCGAATCCTACATCCAGAAAATTAGGACGCTCACCATTCATGACAAAGCTCGCACTCGATCATCATACCAGCCTCAATGCGACGACAAATACAGAAGACTTCCCTGAATCTCGGATCCTCCCAGCTATGAAGCTTCGCATCAGAAGGACTTGGTTCTCGAGAAGCTGGTTCTGCTGGCATTCTCGGCTTGTCGGATTCGATATCAAAGCAGTCAACATTTCTCTCGAAAACATATTCCATGTGAGATTTCAGAATATGCAGCGGAGCATTCGCTTTGCCAAAGAGTTTCTTGCCCTTTCGCATCCAATCCTCGTGCCGCTTCTGTTCCTTCTCGAGGTCCAGTGTACCATTAGGCTTACTGTTCAACTCCGCTAGTTGATCCATAGTGTCACGGACTTCTTGGTACTTAGGTCGCTTCTTGAAGTCTTCGTTCCTGCTGCGGTCGTAGAGCGAGACGATGCGTCGGTGTGCATCTCTTTGTCTGTCCAAGATCTGGTCGACAGCAGCCAACGTCTCTGCGGACACCGGAAGTGCGGCCGCTTGAGCTTGGGCGGATAAAGCTTCCAATTGAGGATAGTGAATCAGTTCAGCGCTAATCAATTCAGTCGCCTTGATCTCCCAGCTTCGACCTTGAGAGCTTTGCTCCTTGTAATGGCCAAGAAATTCATTGTACTCGGGAATCTCGAGCTTTTCACCCTCTTCGATAAGATCATCAACCTCCTTCAATGTCAGAAATTGGCCTCGATTGTCGCGAGCACGGTCGTTCCACTTCATTTGCTGAACCATCTTATCCAGCTTATCAACTTCGGGCAGATCTACGTTGAAGGATCGTCCTTTCTCCAGCAAATCCTCGAACTCGGTAGTCTTGCGCAAAGCCACATTTTGGAGAACAGTTGAAACGTCTGCCCGGAATTGCTTGATAGCTGCGGCCCGCTCGTTTAGTTGAGTGATCTCAGGACAATCAAAGCCAAGTCGCTCGGCCTGCTCAATAAGCTTGTTGATGTTTTCGACTTTTCTATACTCGCGATCTCTTTCCTCCATTTCTGCGGCTTTACTGCCTTTGCGCCAAGCTTTCTCGTTCTTGCGACGGTTTTGTTGCTTTCGTACAATGTAGTTGGTGGCTTCCTCGACCCATTCGTTGCATTTATCAACAAACTGCTTCAGATCGGGTAAAGATTTAAGGTTGAACGGAATGCGCTCTCCTTCATTGACGAGGGCTCGCAAAACTTTCAAGGAAGGTTGCGCAGACTCTTGCATAGCCGTCATGACTTTCTCCTCCCATGCTTCGGGTAGCTGAGCTTTCTCGTTCACCTTGATATGGATCGCTTCAAGTGCTTCTGCCGTACGCCGGCAGTGAAGAGTGTGGTTTTTACCAGCATATCGTTGATCCTCCGTCATACTGCAACATTCGTAATTACCAGCATGGAGCAAACACATGACCTTGCCACTAGTGTCGCACTTGAATCTGGAGATATATGCATAAGCCTTGCAGTACGTGCATTGATACTCCTCTTCCGGTACGTCTTCTTCATCGATGGCAAATCCGAGCCCGAGCTGACAACGAGGGCTTTCACCTTCGGTGTCATCGGTAGCAACACAAGGGTCTGCATGCTTCTCTTTATGCTTATCGAGGAAATGTCTTCTCTGCGCGAGTTCGCGGTCTCGAAGACGTTCAAGAGCAGGAGCAAGCCACTTTGCTGTAGCAATTGTGACACCACCAGTAGCAGCACCTTCAGCAGCGGTCCAGAGGAGCTCATCATGCGAAAAACAGGGTTGACGTCTGAATTGTTGTAGTCGCTCAACACCAGCATCGCCATATGGTTCCCAGTCGTTAGGTGCAAAGTTCACAGCTTCATTAAAGTTGAAGCCATGATTAAATCCTGCATGGTATGCCTGAGGGAAAGTAATAACGAATTGACCAGCTCTCTGATCCAAAGCATAGACCCGGACACCGGCCTTCTTCAATTGCTCAGGGGTCATAAGAGTGACCAGTTGGAAGAGAAGATCTGGCTGCGTCTCGAAGAGCTCTGGTACTGCTTCACGCATGGCTGCCTCGAATCTCTCTGCGTCTTCTCCAGGGATACCATACCATGTCTTGGTGGAGCCGAAGTGTTGATAATTAGCCGAGTAGGCGTAATGATCCTCATTGTGCCAACAGAATGTGGAGAAAATCATGCCCACATACAGCCAAGGAACAGTCATGCCCGAAATATCGGATTTGATGTGGCGGAATAACGAGTCGGCATGGAGAGGCAAGATGTTCAAGTTCCAGGGATCGTTCGAGTATGGATCGAGGGGATTCTTTTCGATGGTGGGGAAGCCGCTGCCGTGGGTCGTCGAATGGATGTCAGCACCGTACTCAACGGTGATAGTTTCCTCTAAGCTAGCAACCAGTCGCCAGAATTCTCGTTCAATATCATCTTCTGTGACTGGACGTGGACAGTTGAAGACAGGATCAAATGGCATCTTGTTTTGGAAGTAGGTCTCCTTGAACTCTGCAGCCTTCTGTTGGAATTGCTTCAGTGAGTAGATCCCACCTTCTTCGAAACCGAACTGTCCATCCCCAACAAGACATCTCGGGCAATACCAGTCGTTATTGTCCTGCTTCTGGGTGACCTGAGGATCGAGGCAAGCCATATGGTATCCATTGTTGCAAGATTCACAAATGAGCATGATGGTAGAGTCGTCGGCGGCCTTCCCACACTGTTCACATTTCTGTACAGATTCTAAGTTTATATCGCGAGAATAAATGTCATCAGTAGATTTGCTTACCTCGCCTGGCGCGAACGATCCGTGCTCTCCTGGGATTCGAGGTTGCGTCGGTCGGAATAAGGTCATGTGGGATCCAGCCACAGTCGGCACGGCATCTGCAGGGCTGGTTTTAGCCGGGGATCACTTCGCCAATCCAAGCGCAATGTTCCAAGTTTGGGGTATGCGCATTGGATGCATCCCTGACACCACATAACCATCCTGAAATGGGATTCATGGCACTGCTGGAAAAAGAAAATATATATCAGACGTACCTTTTTTGAGGCGCTTACTGCGTCGCCCACCGTTTTCGTTGTCTTCAGGCTGGCTACCTTTTCCTCTCGAGTCTAAGCTGTCATGAGAGAGTTGTCTCTTCAGCATGGGGTTGGAAGTGAAGCCATTGACGACTGGTGCAGAACCGAGAGCTGAAGGCCGATACTCTGGAGTGTTCTTAGCAGAGGCTATCGGAGTGTCAAATTGTCGTCTGGGTGGAGTAAAACCATTCTCCTCACGTTCGCGCCTATTATTAGCCACAGGGGTAAAAGTCGCTGGAGCTGTGTTGACTGGGGTGAAGCCTCCAGCATTTACAGCCGTGAAGCCTGATGTGGCCGATTGTGGTTGCGGTGCCAGCGTTGGTGTCGGTGTGGCTGCTGGAGAGTCCAGTCTTGGAATATTCTTCATGCCTCTGTCGAGAAACTCCTCCTTCATGGACGCATTCAGCGCATCTGAAGCTCGAATAGCTGGAGAATCTCCCCGTAGGCTTGATGGTGTATGTTGATGCGATTTCTTCAGGGGCGAGTTTGCGGGCGAGGGAGTGAGTGGACCACCATATTCGTACTCCAGCTGTTGATGGACGCCTGGCTTGGCCGAGCTTAGATATACCTCATATGGGTGTAGCCATCGCTGGTATGAGTTCTTGAGTGATGTTGACAATGATGACATGATCTTTCCACTATATCCCAGGTCTCGACCAATCTCTGCCCATTTCTTGTGTTTACAGACTCTCTCGAAGCCTCCTCGTGTCTCGACGGCCTTCTTGAGCTTGTACAGGTCGAGGGGGCGCTTGTCCACGCTGGGGAATCGATTGAGGTTCGTACCATTTTGCTTGTGGAATTTGGCAAGTTGGTCAAGATATGTAAGGTTTGCGCGAGTGCCTAAAAGTGAACATTAGATGGATGCGCCGCGACGAAAGTGGTGTCGTTCTGGTGGGTTTGGTGGAGGTACTCACTGCCTTCAACGGAATTCAGCTCTTGCTTTCTCGTCCGAAAATGAAACCTCTGCGAACAATTAGTATGCGCTCAAAGCTGCACATCAGACGATTTGGGTAATTCTAGTAGAAATCCTCGCATGTGCACCTCTTTTCGCATTATAGAAGGGTGTATAACGTACCTCTGTGTCAATCGAGAAGTCTGGCTTCCACGAGTCTGGGGGAATGATCTTGCAGATACCGTACTGCGAAGCCTCTGGCGCAATCTTCTTCATATACTCGAAGGGGTCCTTGAATTCTTCCAAGGTAGGTCTGTATGTGGGTGCCTCCTGCAATTTATGTGGTCGAATTCTCTTGATAGTCTCCCGACTCGCAGTTGGCTGTCCCCGCCTCTCGACACTGGTCATATCGAGCGGCAGAGAGTGCATTGCGCTGAGAGGAAGCGGTGCTGCCGCAGGATTGTTCGCATTACTGGTCGTAGCAGGCTTCCCACGAGTCGAAGTCGTATTACTGTTCGTGCCACTGGCGGGCGAGGCTCGCATGGTCGAGCTCGACCCTGTGGTGGTCGTCGGTACCTGAACCATCTTTGACGGTGGCTCCGGCTGAGCTGCGAGGTATGTCTCGAAGTTATTCGGTCCGCAGATGGTGGGATATCAAATTGTCGACATCGAATGGGTTGCTGTCGAGCGTGGGAGGTGTTTCCAGACCGATATGTTGGAATGGTCGGCAGGTCCCCCTTCGCAGATCATACACACACTGTACAAAGTCGATGCGCAGGCCTCGATAACACTAGTGCATGATATTGAGGGTATTGACGATCATTCGAGTCAGGAATATTCGCCCAGGTCTTGAAAGAGTGTCGTGGAGGTGGAATGGGGGTTCTGTCGTGGAGGAAGAGAATGTGCGTATGTTGGATATTGGGTATGGGGAAGGGAAAGGAACGAAGTGTGGTTGATGAGGGTTTTTGGTTTTGGACGGTTTTTCGATATTGGGCGAAGCGGAGGCACAGGCGAGGCGAAAGCGGGCGGGCTTCCTCTCTCTCTCTCTCTTACGGCATGTCCTGCTCGCTCAGTTCGGCTCAGTCAGGTCAAGTCAGGTCACGTCTGGGCGAGGAAAGAGCGGAGCAGACTTGCAGCACCAGTGCGAGTGCCAGTGCCAGTGCCAGTGCCCAGTGCCAATGCCAGTTCCGTCTCTCAGTCAGTCATGCTGAACTTCGGCAACATAAGATGGGGCTAGGGATGCGTTGGGTCTAGGCCAAAGTGGACAGAAACTAGAAACTGGCCAAACTCTGCATCGCCAATCCTTGCACCTGAACCAACTGCGAATTATATACATATCAGATTAATGGGGGCCGACAATTTGATATCTCGACATCTCTTGACACGACAGCATTCACATATATTAATTCGTCTACGTGCACCCATTTTGCAAGGAATTCTCCCCCACCTGCGGCCCTTTATCGATTTTCTGATGCTGCATATCTTGACTCTTTTGAGTTCCCTTCCGGCGGGCCACATTTTGATAGTGCCAAAAACCACCCAGGATCAAATCAGGCACGCACCGCACTCATGCCTGAGGCTATACACGCGTAGGCCAATGAGGGAAGGACGACGTCGGTATCTTGAAGATCCGATCAGATCCCGGATCTGACCGTCGCCATTTGTTTCCTTCTTTTCTTCCATGCATCGTGTGGAAGAACTCACCGCAGAGCAGCGAATCCTATATATGCGATTCACAGCAGCAATCGACTCCTGGATATCGGATTGCGACTTGTCCATGTTGCCCTGCGCAATACAACAATGATCAATAGGCGTGGTTGGCGTTGAATCGAGAGATCCGGTTCCCTGGTTCGTCTGAAGTCTCGGCCCCAGTCCCGCGCTTTGCGACATCGAGGAGCTGTAAACGAACGTCACGACTTGACCAAAACACAAACAACATCGACACATCAACAGTGGCATCTTCCCCCATGGCACTCAACAAGCCCATCCCAGCACTCTACTGCTGCTACCTACTCAGATCTACTGTCAGTCGAAGTACTACTTATGTTGGCTCAACACCGAATCCAGGTAAATCATCTTTGCGCATCTGCGTGGAGAAGGCTCACGCGCCTTAGTGAGACGACTGCGTCAGCATAACGGACATGCGAAAGGCGGCGCCGTCCGGACCAGTCGCCCCAGTTTACGCCCATGGGAGATGACTTGTATCGTCACTGGATTCCCGAGTCATATTGCGGCGTTGCAATTCGAGTATGTTGATACAGTCGTCTCTGTTTATATCCGTCACGTGTGGTTGTCACGCTTTCTTCATTACAATCAATCTTTGCGGATGTTCTTTCATTCAAGCGTAGAATCATCTCGATTTCCTCACACCTTTAGTCCTAGTACTTCTAGCTTTTCTTCTTCTAACCTCTCTAGATGGGCTTGGCAGAATCCACACATCACCACACATATTCCAGCCGAATCCCGAATCCAGCATGCAACACAGAAGAAGCGATCAGGCCACCCGAAGAGACCACGGCATACCATCAACTCGCTCCTCTCGAACCTCCATCTCTTACTCCGAGTTCCTACATTTGCTAGATGGCCACTCGAGTTACGCTTTTTCTCCGAAGATGTACATAAAGCTTGGTTGAAATGGTGCAAAACGGCTCCAGAACCCATACGCGAAACAATCAAGATCATCCAGGACTTTAGCGTGTCAAAAATCGAAGTATCAGATACCGATGGCAGTCCCCGAGCGAAGAGGCGAAAAGTCGGTCATGGGATTCAAGGTCTCGAGATTGGATACGCCAATGAGAAGATGCACGTTGAGAAGGCGAAGAATATCGTGGATTTTGAGCACGAAGGGAGCTGTGCAATATGTCGGGAGCACCTTGAGCATGATGAAGGCGTCTATGCTCTCTGTCCAGCTCCTGGTTGTCAATCGGCTACACATTTAACATGTCTCGGTCAACATTTTCTCAAGTACGAAAAAGATTCTCTGGTACCGATCAAGGGAAACTGCCCTAGCTGCAATACTGAGCTCAGATGGATTGATGTCGTCAAAGAGCTGAGTTTGCGAATGCGGGGACAGAAAGAGGTCGATAAATTGCTGAAAAAGAAGAGGTTACGCAGAGATAAAGCCACTGCATCTCAGGCAGTCATCGAATCATCAGAGAGCGAGGAAGAGACAGACGAAGAACTTGAGCGACAAGAAATTGAAGCGCAATTACGAGAATTAAGCGATTTGGATCCAGGAGAGACTGTGGAAGGAGGCGACCGATGGCACGAAGTAGACGATTCGGATTCAGACACACGATCGGTCGACAGCAATATCTCACTAGCTTCGAAGCATGCCACAACACAGGCTAATAAGGCTACATCGTTGAAGCCAATCATCGAAGACAGTGACTGGGATGATGCTGCTGAGCTGGATTGAGAGAGAGCCCAGACGGTCTTTAAGATGGATGATTACGATAAAAGATACCCCAACCTACCGAGAACAATTGCCATGGTTTTCCTCTTATCTTCAATCCCTTGAAATTTGTCGGGTACCTGCGTTTGGATCCTTGCCCGGGAAACCCGGTCGCAATCATGGTTTTGATAGAACTCAAGATAAGTATCAAGGTACTTTCCCATCTTCCTTCTTCCTTCCGTCCTCCTTCTCCATATCTCGATATATTCGAGACTCTATTTTTACAATTCTTTGATATTGCCCTGCGTCCACCCGGAAGATAAAGGACCGGTCGTCAAATCAAGACTCGGTATTGCCGGCGCCACCTCTTTCTGCCACCCCGCCTTTCTCGCTTCCAGACCTCAGTTCGGTTCTTCTCACCGACGGCTATTCTGACTACACCCCTTTCGTCGTCACTTTCGAATCTGAACCTCCTCATCGACGGCACGCTTAAAGATCCTTGTTGTATGATAACACCAACACGCAACCTTCTACTTTGCCAAGCTACTTTTGATCTTTCCCTAACTTCAAATGCCCGTTGAGGATCCACAACGCGACGCACCGTGGAAGATGAAGGTGAGGGGCCGAGATGGGGTATATATCCCTAGCCGTAATTCTACTTCTTCTGTCAATATGTTATCGCGACATGTTTTCTTTGTTGCATGGCTTTCTGCTAGCAAGTTACACTGGCCTTTCAACATGTTCCCTTCACTTGAAAGCCAAATACTCAAATACGTCATCCCCAACGGTGACTATCAAGAATGGCTCATACACAGGAGTATACAATGAACAGTATGACCAAGAATACTTCCTCGGTATTCCATACGCTCAGGTGTGTCATCCAATCTTCCAACACGTGATGATACTAATCAGTTTTCCAGCCTCCAATCAACGACCTTCGATTTCGAGTCCCAAGAAGTTTAAACGAGACATGGAACGGAACAAAAGCAACTACCGCTTGGCCCCCTTTTTGCGTCGGCTACGGTGGCGATGATGATGGTCATGACTTATCAGAAGATTGCCTCTACCTCAATGTCTTCAGACCAAGCTTATCCTCATTATCCCTCTCCACCAACAATTCCGCAACGTATTCCAATTCCACTTCAAAAACAAAGTCAAAATCCAGCAATTCAACTCTCCTCCCAGTAGCAATTTGGATCCATGGTGGTGGTCTGTTCATGGGTGGTACAAATGATGGTCGCTACAATATGTCCTTCATTCTCACTTCTGGCACCAAAATATCCAAACCATTCGTCGCAGTCAGTATTCAGTACAGGCTCTCAGCATTCGGCTTTCTTGGCGGTAAAGAAGCGTTGGAAGGTGGGGCTACGAATCTTGGGTATAGAGACCAGAGATTAGCCATGCATTGGGTGCAGGAGAATATTGAAGCTTTCGGCGGAGACCCTACACAAGTGACGATTTGGGGGGAGAGTTCCGGAGCACAAAGTGTGGGTGCACATTTGTTAGCATATGGAGGTATGGCTTTTCGTCTGGATACTTAAGTCCGGGACTAACAATATAGGGCGTGACGATGGATTGTTCAGAGCTGCCATCGCTGAGTCAGGTGGTCCAGCCGTATCATATTTCCCTGTCCTTCTTCCAGGAGGTTACAACAGCACAGCCTATCAATCAACATACGACATCGTCGTCTCCAACACCTCTTGTGCCCCCTACCTTTCCACCCCACAATCGCTCTCTTGCATACGCACCCTCCCCTTTGCCGAACTTAACAACGTACTAAACGACACCACCTCCATCTCAGGCCTCAGCCCCTTCGTCCCAATAATCGACGAAGACTTCATAACCACATTCCCCAGCCTCCAACTCGAAACCGGCTCTTTCGTCAAAGTCCCCCTCCTAATCGGCAGCAACAGCGACGAAGGCACCGCCTTCGGCTGCAGCTACAACGTCTCCACCGACGACCAATTCCTCGATATCCTCACCTCCACCGGCATCCCCCCGGACTCCATCGCCGCCCAAATAATCCCCTACCTCTACCCCAACATCGAAGCCCTCGGCATCCCCTCCCCCATCGCCTACCCGAACCTCTTCTCCTACGACACCAACCTCTCGCTCGCCCTCGGCTCGCAGTTCCGTCGTTTGACTTCTTATTTCGGCGATATCGTCGTCAACGCGCCCAGAAGGGCGACGAACCACGCGTGGTCCGCAAACAACGTCTCGAGCTGGAGTTACCGCTTCGACGTCCGTCCGAACGGCAAAACGCCTGTCATAGGAGCAACGCATTTCGCAGAGGTAGCATTCGCGTTCGATAATATCCGCGGCGAAGGCTACGACGTGAATCCCTTCGGCAATCTCTCTTCGTCCGATGAAAGCAAATTCGTTGAACTAGCAGACACTATGTCGCGGAGCTGGGTGAGTTTCATTGTAGACGGGGACCCGAATGGGAGTGACGAGTGGCAGTTGGCCGTCGATGGCGGCTGGCCGGTGTATAATGTCAGTGTGGGTGGCGGAGAAGGGTGGAATTTGGTGTGGACGGTTAATGGGACGGGGAGTTATGTTGAGTGGGATACGTATCGGGCGGAGGCGATGGGGTGGGTTGGGGGGAATTTTAGGGGGGTTTATGGGTTGTAGTTCCTCCCCCTTATCTTGATATCTTGTTGCATGAGATTGAGTTGCAAGCTTGAGGATGTGCCGACGGCTCGGCCCGCTTTGAGAGCAGGCAAGGAGAAATCCCACTCTTGTAAGTACCACGAAAGTCAAACACGTCCATGCGTTTTCTTTCCTTCCCAAGGGCAAGTTCCCACTATTCCACTCCTGTTCCGAAGCCGGCCTCTCATCCCTCTTGCCCCGCGCGTAAGCAGCGCTTACCCTCGGAAGAGGAACCCAATCCCATCTTTACATTCCCTCTTCTTTTAAACTCCCTCCCCTTCAAATCTCGAACGGCAAATCCCCATCTTCCTCTCATCCTCTCCTCCATTCCTCTCCTCACTATCCAAAACCCTTAAAATGACAACCCTCACCCCCGTCCCCCTCCCCCTTCCCGAGCCCCTAGCCAGCATCCCCCGCACACCCCTTCTCTTCGGCCCCTCCCCCATCGAGAAACTAGACCGCATCACCGCCGCCCTAGGCGGCAAGGTCGGGGTCTGGGCTAAAAGGGAGGATTGTAATTCGGGGGTTGCTTTTGGGGGGAATAAGGTGCGGAAACTTGAGTTTGTGCTCCCCTTCTTCGTTTTGTTTTTATTTTCTTGTTTGGTTTGAGGGAAGGGTGAGAGAGAGGGAAGGAGAGGGAGGTAGGATAAGGGGAGGGAGAGGGGAGAGGGGGAGAGGGTAGAGGGCTAATGAGATCAGGTATTTAATCCCAGAAGCTCTACAGCAAGGGTGTGATACGCTAGTTAGTGTGGGGGGTATTCAGAGTAACCATACGAGGGCCGTGGCTGGTGTTGCGAGGAAGGTTGGGTTGAAGGTTCGTTTGTTTGTGTTTAGTTTCCTATCTTGGGATGTTTACCGAGGAGAGGGGGAGAGGAGGAGAAGAGAGAAGAGAGAAGAGAGAAGAGAGAAGAGAGGAGAGAGAAGAGAAGAGAAGAAGTTAACCAGATACCCATGATTAACAGGTCCAACTAATCCAAGAATCCTGGGTCCTAAACAGTACGTCTGATTCCTTTTCTATATCCATCTGCTCCGTTACCCCTCAAAATCCCCCTCAACAGCCGCTCATCAAACAAAATCTCCTCAACTCCCCCATCCTCACCCAAAACCAACCACTAACCCAATCCATCAAAGCAACACCCCTCTACTCCAAAGTAGGCAACATCCAAATCTCCCGCCTCATGGGCGTCACCCCACACCTCGACCCCTCCCCCTTCAGCATCTCCCACGCATCCTCCCTACAAACCCTAACCACCCAGATCCTCTCCTCCGGCGACGGCAAACCCTACTACATCCCCGCCGGCGCCTCGGATCATCCTTTAGGCGGCCTCGGCTTCGCGCGCTGGGCCTTCGAGGTCGCGGCCCAGGAGCAGGAGTTGGGTGTTTTTTTCGGGACGGTGGTCGTTTGTGCGGTGACGGGGAGTACGTTGGCGGGGATGGTGGCTGGGTTTCGGTTTTTGGAGGTTAAGATGGGGGGTAGGAAAAGAAAAATTGTAGGTATTGACGCTTCGGCTAAGCCGGCCGAGACAAAGGCGCAAGTTCTCGGGATCGCGAAATTCACGGCGGAGAAGATTGGGTTGGAGGAGAGTGATGTGAGGGAGGAGGATGTGGTGTTGGATGAGAGGTGGCATGAGGGGGTTTATGGGGTGCCGGGGAAGACTACTATTGAGGCTATGTAGGTCGATACGTATTTCTGTCCAAATTTTTTTTTGGTTCGTTGTTGGAGTTGAGATCTTTGGCAGCCACGCATCAAAACGAGACGTTCAGATTCTCCGATGATTTTCTTAGCTTCCCGAGCGTTGTCAAAAGTATATACTGACTTCAAAATAGGAAATTCGGAGCCGAAACAGAGGGATTCATCACGGACCCTGTTTACGAGGGTAAGAGTCTTGCGGGGTTGATGGGAATGATTAGGAACGGTGAGATTGAGGATGGAGAGCAGGTGCTTTATGCGCATCTGGGAGGCCAATTGGCGATTAATGCTTATGAGGGGTTGTTTGAGTAGAGCACTAAGGGAGGGATTGTAGTGGGACAGCCAGAGACGCTTGATGGACTGGTTGGAGAGATTTAGCAAGTAGCTATATTGCTTAACCCCGAATATATTATTTTCTTCACTTATTGCATCCTTACCTTTTCGCGACTAGCTCTTAAGACTTCCTTTTTTTAATCCTGCTATTCTCTTTACTATATCCAAACTTTGAGTATATTCTCTTCGAGCTAAAGATTGATCGCAACAACCAAGGAACAAGCATTTACCCAAGCCCTTTATAAGCAACGCAAAGATGCAAATGATTAAAGACCGGTATATTAACACTATAACCGCTGAGATGAGCCTGCTGAATGTTTCATAAGCTAGCAAAACCGTTCTTATATGCCCGAAAGTAGAATAATAAAGAAAGAACACGACGAAAAAACCTTAATCAAAAATATTAAGATTATTCAAATGATTCAAAGTATTCAAAGTATTCAAAGTATTCAAAGTATTCAAAGTATTCAAAGTATTCAAAGTATTCAAAGTATTCAAAGTATTCAAAGTATTCAAATTATTTAAATTATTAAAATCGCTTGAATTATAAAAATCGACTACTTCTTCAACCGACCTTCGAATTTTCCGCCCGAGAACTGGCGGATATTATCAAGGATCGCAGTAGCTAGGATGATGTAAGAAAGAGGCTGCGTTGTGGCGTAGGACGAGATCTCGATCTTTCTACCTCGATATCGTACTTGCTGTTAGGTTAGGCCATTAGCATATGAAAGTGGTTCTTAAACGGGAGGTGGTGTGGGTATGTATACCTTAGGACAATTCTTGATATCACACTGAACTAGAATACTATGATACTTGAGATAGAGTTCAGTACTTGGGTCCATGTTGGACATTTACAGCGGTAGGAAGAGCAAGCTTGGGGGCCCCGACACGATGGTCTTCATAAGTGTAGACAAGGGGACTCAAATTGTCAGGAGGACCATTGTATAAATCGGCTTCGGAAGTCTGAATACGACGGCGCTTGGAATCGGAATGATCACTGATGGAAGCCATAACTGCGGATGGGAAGATTAATGAAAATTTTGGAAGAAGAGCGGGACGCTCGACTTGATATAGAAAGTCCGACCCATTTGTGCGACTTGTGCCGGCGCGATTTGTAGGTAGGTAGGTAGTCGGGTCCAAATAAGAATGCTCGCCTGCGTTACATGACTGACTTTAAACAACATAAAGTTTGGTCAAGCAAAGTTCGGACAGACTGAGCTGCACATAGAAACACACATTCCAAGCATGGCTGAGCAGATTGCTATGCGTAATAAGATGATCAAAACAGAAACACTCAAGTACCTACCTACCTACCTACCTCTAGAGGGGTAGAGCGTTCCACGTGATTGATACTTTACTTTAATTGTAGGTACTCCCGTGGTCTGATCAATAGACCAAGAGAAATTACCCAAATAAACACAGAGAAGAAATCAGAATAATAATAAATCATTTTAACACAACATCAAGATAAGTACTTACGTGGTCCATTTCTTCTACCCGCCCTCCCCTTTCATCAACCACGGTCCAAGCACTTACCTATTTTAAACGGCCCCTGCACTAGTAACTCGTACAATAGGTACATCACAGCTCATTTTTTTCCCTAGCTATCGATTTCTACCTATAATAGAGTTAATTTTAATTTTGTTATTCGTTAATTCTTTAGCGTATCCGAATCCCGAGAACGAAAAAACGGGATGTGAATATGTGGTAGTAAACGGAAGGGAAATGAGTTGAAAATCAATGCATATATGAAGCGGGTAATAAAATAATCACTGCTTAGTTTTTATGTAAAAGATAATCCAGGACATATATATAGACTTGCATTTCGAAAGCTGGACTTGCTTCTCTTTAAAGGGTTTGGGTGGGGCTAGGAGAGAGATACAGAGCGTGACGAACAACATATGTTGGAAACGCAGAGCGAGAAGAGGGATAGATGATAGGAATAGTTTTTTGATTTCCTGTCTGCTTTTGTTTCAAGCGATGTCTGCTTAGAAAGAGAAAGAATAGCTCCGAAGACGAGGTTTTTTCATTTTGAGAACGTACATTACAAGGAAATCAAAGAGCCAACATAGCCCTGACTTTGAAAAAAAGTTTTTCGTCCGCTTTTAAGCATCATACATCGTCCTTCCCTCCCCCTCCTCACAACTCATCCAACCACTCCCTCGCCTTCCCCGCCGCCCTCTCCGCCTCGCTCTCAAACCCCGACACGTTCCCCAACAACAAGATATCATGCGTCGCTACCACCTCATTATGCCACCCCACCCTATTCCCCTCTATTTTCCTCATCCCCTCCTCAAACTCCTTAATCTGCTCCACCAAAATCTCCTGGTCGTTGCCCTGCACCCACACCGGCGTCCTGGTCCTGAAGGGGTTCGGGCCCGGAGAAATCCACTCGCTGTCCATCTTCAGCGGTCCATCTTTGGGACAATACGCGTTCGCGCCCCAGATGGCGAACGCCGGCGCAATGTAATCCGTGAAGCGGTGCGGGGACTCGTATAAGATTTGCGGCGTCATGCTGATAGCGAGATCAACCCAGGGGGACCAGAGGAGTGCTCCTTTAAACACGGCTTTCTCATCATCACCGGAAGTAGAGAGATACCGTAATAAGGAAATCGCTAAATTCCCGCCCGCCGAATCACCGCTGATGACGATGTCGGAGTACGGGATCCCGAGATCAAGCAGGTAGTGCACGGCTGAAACGGCGTCTTGCAGCGCGGCGGGGAAGCGGCCGTTGGAGTTCGAGGAGAGCCGGTAGGATACCATTAATGTCTTGCCGATGTGTTTCGTTAGGATAGACGCCGCGAACGCCATTTCAGAGGGGCGACAGTCCCCGACTACGAAGGCGCCGCCGTGGAAATGGAGCACGATTTTCTGGCCTTTATCTTCGGTCTGGTCGTACGCGGACGGGTACCAGTACCCGCACACGGGCTCGGGAGTGATCTGTTTGTCGGCGCAGATACCCGTGTATGTTTTTGGATCTGAGGAAGGCGAGATGGTGATTAGGAAGTTCTTTTCTTTAGGTTTGGGGGTCAGGATGAGGGGGGTGTAGATTTGGATTTTGGAGATGTGGTGCACGAGGGTGCGGAGCACTTTGGAGGCGACGGCTTGGCGGAGACTCCATTGGGGGTGTGGGCGTGTGGAGGAGGGGAAGTAGTAGAGGAGCCAGAAGGGGAGTTTGAGGGCGTTTAGGAGGATAGCGGAGAAGGCGTAGAGGCCTTTGACGGGTTGGTGGGTTATCAGAGAGGCCATTATTCACGATATCGTGGGGGATGGTAGCATGCGAGAAGAAGAGAAATGGAATGTTGGTTTATGTTTGTTGGTGATGGAGGTTGGATGTTGGATGGTGGATGGTGGATGGTGGATGTTGGATGGTGGATGGTGGATGGTGGATGGTGGATGGATTTGATGGCGTTTATAGTAGGTCTGTGCTGCTCCTCGGCTGTTGCGGGTGCCGGCCGGCATATGCGAGCGAGCGAGCGAGCACTTCCCTTCCCTTGTTTGCGAGTGATTGATTTATGGCCCCCAATTTCATGTGAAATGTTGGATGTCTGTTTGATGATGACCCGCGACTCCGCGAGCTGAAATTGAGGGGAAACTCTTTTGCTTACTTTTTACGAAGTACCTCGGTCGCTCTGAGCTCTTTAGCGCTAGTGCGCCGTATGTGGACTTCCTCGTATCTATCTATCTATTGCTTTGTACTACTATACCATACTTCCCAAATCATCATCATCATCATTATCATAATTCCATTTCCATCTTCTTCTTCCGTAGCCGCTTCACTACTGTATCAAAGCACCACCACAGATAAAGTTCCGGAGCACTCGCACGGATGTAGAAGGAGGGGCATGGGGTAAAAAGAGGCGCATGCGGCGTGGCGTGGCGTGCCGAGCCGGGATTACAGACACCCCTGAGCGAGCGCTACCTAATATCCACCTTCCTATATATAGGCTCGATAGGTCGGTAGGTGGCCTGGTACTGTATTTTACAGGTAAACACTTTACCCAACCGATCGCCCTACGTAAAATGCCAACTCAAGTGTCACCAACAATGAATGACAAGGTTATTGTGCTGACGGGTCTGCCTGCATTTTGCTGACGTTGGGAAACAAGGGATGGAGAGGCCCCGGTACGTTTGCTATTCTCACGGCTGCGATCTGGCTCGCCATGGGTTCGGCGGCTGGCAAGATGTATGTAGGTACAGTATGTACGAAGTACGGAGATACTCTGCAGCGGGATATGAAAGGTTGGATGGTACGACCACCGAGTGGTGCCAGTCCTGGGGTCGGTCATTACTGCAAGGCTGTGCTTGCTTCATTTTCTTCGGTTGACCACTTCTGAGTCCTTTATCCCAAGGTATCCTCTGTCGCTTCAGCTGTCACTTCTGCGATTTCAAACGCGGCAGAGCAACTGCAACACAATCTTTTCTTCCCAGATTCATTAAATCGTACCTTGATACCCAATCTATTGAATATCTGGAAACATGGCAGACAAGCATAAAGTAAATGGGTTCCACGACAGCGACCCGAGAAGTATTCCCAACAGCGAGCCGATCGCCATCATCGGCATGGGTTAGTCCACTCAAAACCTCACATTCGTGTACAAACCAACAAATACTGACAACCTGCCAGCATGCCACCTGCCCGGCGGAATCTCCTCCACAGATGCCATGTGGGAGTTCCTGAAAGCCGGCAAAGACGCACGCAGCGAGATCCCCAAATCGCGCTGGGACATCGATTCCTTCTACCACCCCACCCCAGGCCACCAAGGCAGCCTGTCGATGCGCGGCGGCTACTTTCTCGATGGCGATATCAGGACGTTCGATAATGCGTTCTTTGGCATCAATAATCTAGAGGCGAGTTACATGGATCCGCAGCAGCGGAAACTGCTCGAGGTCTGCTTTGAGTGTTTTGAGAGCGCGGGTGTTGGTGGTGAGCTCGCGGGAAAGAATATCGGATGCTATGTGGGCAATTTTGCGATGGATTATGTGTTGATGCAGAGCAAAGATCCGGAAAGTGTGCATCGGTATACGTCGACGGGGACGGGTATCACGATCCTGTCGAATAGGATTAGTCATGCGTTTGATTTGAGAGGTCCGTCTGTTACGCTGGATACCGCGTGTTCGTCGTCGTTGTACGGGTTGCATTTTGCGTGTAGTGCGCTGAGACAGGGGGAATGTGACGGAGCGATTGTTGCGGCGGCGAATCTGATCCAGACGCCTGAGCCGCAGATCTTTATTTCGCGAGCCGGAGTCCTGTCCGATACTTCGACGTGCCACTCTTTCTCTGCAGACGCGGACGGGTATGGAAGAGGAGATGCAGTCGGAGCCTTGTATCTCAAACGACTCTCAGATGCGATCCGTGACAATGATCCCATCCGCTCCATAGTCCTTGGGACAGCAGTCAACAGCGACGGCAAGACCCCAGGAATCACCCAGCCGTCTCAAGTCGGCCAACAAGAAGTCATCAGGAAAGCATACCAATCCGCTGGTCTGGATTGCGCTGCAACCGACTACGTGGAATGTCACGGCACCGGGACTCCAGTCGGAGACCCCATCGAAGTAAAAGCTCTTTCTCAAGTCTTCCTCTCCGAATCTGGGCGCTCCCCAGAAAGTGACCCGTTAATCATCGGCTCAGTCAAGTCCAATTTCGGCCACAGCGAGGCTGCAAGCGGTATCACGAGTATCATCAAGACGACTCTGGCGCTGGAGAATTTGGCTATCCCGCCTACGGTCGGCGTGGGAGAGTTAACGCCGAAAATTCCTTGGAAGGAATTGAACGTGGAGGTTGCGCGAACGGTTCTTCCGTGGCCAGTCGCGAAACATGAAGGCCATGTTCCGACAGCGAGTATTAGTTCGTTTGGATATGGTGGGAGTAATTCTCATTGTATACTTCAACGTCCGTCTGCGATCAAAGCTCTGACGAACGGTGTGGGGCATACAAACGGCGTAGTAGAGACAAATGGTGAGGTGCAAACGAACGGCGTGGTGGAGAAACGAGAGAGAGCCTATTTGATACCCCTATCTGCATCCACTTCCGACTCGCTTAAGGGCCGTATCAGCGATTTGGCATCCTTCGACACGGAAAACATCGCTACCTCCGACCTCGCGTATACACTAGGTCAGAGACGCTCAGAACTCAAGTGGCGCAGTTATTTCATTGGCAGAACAGCCACCCTCTCAAACGAAACAGTATCCAAGGCTCTCGATGTTATAACGGACCATACAAGTCTCAAGGCTCAAGATAATCAATTGAGCTTCATCTTCACAGGTCAAGGCGCGCAATGGCCTGAAATGGGGAAAGCGCTCTTTGAAGTGTACCCCGTATTTCGAGAGAGCTTCCAACGATGCGAAAGTTACCTCAGTGAGCTCGCACAAGCTCCAACATGGAGTTTGAGGCAAGAGCTGCTTGCGGGACCTGGTTTGAGCAGGATAAATGATCCAGAAATCTCTCAGCCTGTATGCACTGCGATCCAGATTGCGCTTATTGATCTGCTCAGCTCGTGGGATATTGAGCCTAAGTTTGTTGTTGGTCATTCTTCTGGTAAGTAAATTTCTGTCCGACTTTTGATTCTGGAAAGCTAAAAGCATGCAGGTGAAATTGCAGCCGCCTACTCAGCAGGACATATCTCCGCCTTCTACGCCATGGCTGTGGCTTTTCTGCGCGGACACATCGTTTCCTCCATCCCAAGGAATGGCTCCATGATCGCCGTCGGCGTAAGCGCAGACGTAGCAAACGAAGCCATCACTGCTCATGGCTTCTCAACTCAAGTGAACGTGGCGTGCGTCAACTCCCCCGAGAACGTAACTCTCAGCGGAGAAAAGACTGCCATCGAAGCCCTAAGCGAGATCTTGATCCAAGAAGGCAAGTTCGTGCGAACGTTGAAGACAAATGGCGTCGCGTACCACTCTCATCTCATGAAAGTTGTTGGAAGCGAGTACGAGAGCCTTCTTGCTGCTACACAACAGTTGGATCGGGTTGATTCCTCGAGTCCAGATAGGACGGTAATGAGGGCGCATGTCGAGATGATTTCTACTGTTCGGAAAACTCCTGTTGGCTATGAGGATACGTCGTCTCCAGCTTATTGGCGAGCCAATATGGAGTCTCCTGTTGAGTTTTGCTCGGCTGTCACGGATCTTCTAGCCGAAGAATCGTCGAGGTTCATTGAGATAGGTCCACATGGAGCTCTTCAGTTACCTGTCAAGCAGACCATCACCAAAGCGAACCCCGACAAGCAGATCCTGTATTTGTCCGTCATTTACCGCAACAAGGATGCCGAAGACTGTGCTCTTGATTTCGTCGGCAAACTATGGTCTTCAGGCTATCCCATCTCGTTCGAAAAAGTCAACGGCACAGAAGCCAAAAAGAACAAAGTGCTCACGAATCTCCCGAATTACAAATGGGACCACTCGAACCTCCTCTGGAACGAGCCAAGAAGCAGCATCGAATACCGTAACCGCAAGTACCGCCACGACGACCTCCTCGGCCTCGCCGTCGTCGGCTCCAGCTCCACGACCTTCACGTGGCGAAACCTACTAAGCGTCGACGACGTCCCATGGCTCGAAGACCACAAGATCCAGGGAAACATCGTGTTCCCCGCCGCGGGGTACATCGCCATGGCGTGTCGAGCGTGTCAACAACTCGCTTCTTCTGAGGATTTCAGCCAACATACCCTAGAACTCAAACAACTTTCCTTCCAACGCGCACTAACACTGACTCCGGGCTCGAAACTAGAGATCTTCACCGAACTCACGCCCCAGCGGATCTCAGACTCCAACCACGCGAAAAAATGGTGGAAATTCACAATCTCAACCACGGACGCGAATACCAGCGTCGAGCACGCCACAGGCTTAGTAGGCTTAACAGCAACCACTAGCCTCAGTGCCCTTCCCCGTCCAGAACGCACCGTCGACAGCGAATCCCAATCCGCAAAGATATGGTACGACCAATTCGACAAAGTCGGCTTCAATTTCGGCCCCCATTTCCGCTCCGTCTCCGAATTCTCGCACTCAAAACTCAAGACGGAAAATAAAACCGCCGCGAAACTCGCAGGACTCCCAGACGGCCTGGATTCCGACCATGAGGGCTACAGCTACGAAATCCACCCCATCGTCATCGACGCCATCCTGCAGACCTGCGTGGTATCCTGGACCGGCGGCGTCCTGGGGAATCTCGTGGCGAGTTTCCCGGTTGCCATTGATCGCATTCAGATCTCGCCTGGTGGCGTTCAACATAAAGCGTTACCGGAGCACGGCATCTTTACGTCTTGCAAGATTGTCGGGCCTTCGACGTCGCTTGCGAGGAGCGAGCTGATTGATCAGAGTGGGAACGCGTTTTTGAGGGTGAGTGGGATTAAAGCGGTTAAGATCCATGGCGCGTATTCGCGCGAGACGGCGAGGGAACCGGCGTTGCAGATTGTGTGGGAGCCGGATTTGGGGAAGTTGGTGAAGGGGAATAAAGAGGTGGTGGAGCAGTATATTAGTCTGCTGTTGAGGGAAGCGGAGGAGACGAGGAGATTTGGGGCGGTGGGGAAGTTGGTTAGGATATTGTCGCACACGAAGAGTTGTGCGAATGTGCTGGAGATGGGGACGTATGTGAAGAATGCTACGCAGGTGGTGATGGATTCGCTGGATCGGGGGAGCATGCATCAGAGGTTTGTGGGGTATAGTCGGGGACGAGTGGTGGATGGGTTGGAGGTGTGTGATGTTCAGCCGCTTGACTTGAAGGATGTGGAGAGTGAGGAAGGGTTCAAGGCACGGACGGACGAAATGTTTGATTTGATCCTTCTCACCGACCAGGCTGCTGTCGACAAGTTCTTTGGTCAACAGAAAGATCAGATCTTGAACTGTTTGGAGTCATCTGGGCACTTGTTGTGGAAAGGCGAGGTTTCTGGAAGTCCTCTACTCGAAGCTGGCTTCCAAATCTTGAGCTTCGACGGGAAAGATTCTAGCTCTCGCTTTAACTTGGCTTCACGAATTCAGTCAAGCTCTATTCCTGACCAAATCTTCAACGGAGACACAGACTCCTCTCAACCACACGTCCTCGTCGCCCAAGACGCCTTTCACCCCCTCAACGAAGCCCTAAAACACCACCTCGAGACCACCACCGGGGCACCAATAACTATCCTAACCCTCGAAGACCTCAAGACAGAAACAACGCTCCCTCCTCAATGCACAGCCATCGTCTCACTCGAGCTCGAAAAAGCCCTCGTCTACGACACCGACGCCGCCTCCCTCCGCGCCATCCAAAAGATCACCGACAACGCAACCACCATCCTCTGGCTCACCGGCGGGAACCTCTCCGTCGGCGAATCCCCCAACATGGCGACAATCCGCGGGCTCTCTCGCACCGTCATGGCCGAGCAGCCATCGACGAAGTTCTTCGTGCTCGATATCGACGAGCCGTCCGCAGCGGTCGATACCACGGTCTCGAATGTTCGCGCGGTGCTAGAGACGGCGAGCGAGGATCAGCCGGACTTTGAATTCTTGCAGATTAAGCAGGTGTTGCATGTTAGTCGGTTCGTGATCGATGAGGCGGTCAATGATGTGTTTCGCCGGAAAATGGGCGGGCGCGCTTCGTTGACGAAACTTGGTCAGGCGGGTCGGTGTGAGTTATCTATCAAGGAGATCGGACAGATGGATACGCTGGAATTCGTTCCTGTGAAAACTCCCTCTGCTATCCCAGACGATTACATTGACGTCGAAGTCAAAGCCGTCGGGATAAACGCCAAGGTAACCTTACGTCCATTTCCCCTATCTATCAACCAAGACAAGCTAGCTGACAATTATAAATAAAGGACGTCTACACCCTCTCCGGCAAAGTCGAAACCCCCGAAAACACCAGCTCCTGCGAATTCGCCGGCATCGTCACCCAGGTCGGCAGCAAAGTAACGCACGTCCGCGCCGGCGACCGCGTCGTCTGCGCAGCGCCCTCCCGCTTCGGCTCCCACGAGCGTATCCCCGCCTACACCTGCGCGAAGATGAAGAAACACGAATCCTTCACCGATCTCTGCGTCGTGCCCGTCGCGACCGCTACTGTCGTCTACACTCTTAAACACCTCGCTCGTCTACGCAAGAACGAGACAGTTTTAATCCACTCCGCGGCTGGAGGCGTGGGCCTGGTCGCTATCCAGGTCGCGGCTAGTATTGGCGCCCAAATCTTCGCCACGGTGAGCAATGAGAAGAAAGCGCAATTCTTGATGGATAATTTTGGGTTGAAGAGAGAGCAAATCTTCCATTCGCGCGACGATTCCTTCGTGAACGACGTCCTGGCCGCGACGAACGGCCGCGGCGTGGATGTGGTGCTTAATTCGCTGACGGGCGACCTGCTGCATCAGAGTCTGGGCATCTGCGCCAAGTTTGGCAGGTTTCTGGAGATTGGGAAGAGGGATATTTTGGATCATGGACAGCTGGATATGAGGGTTTTGGAGCATAACGTTAGTTTTATTGCGGTGGATTTGGCGGATTTTTATTATTCGGATAATCCGGGCGTGCATCGGGAGGTGTTTGCTGAGTATGTTCTCCCCTTTTCCCTTTTTTTCTACCTTTTGGAGAAGGGGTGGTGCTGATGCTGATGGGGGATAGATTGCTTGCTGAATCCCTGGAGACGTATCGTAAATTGGGGGGTGTGAAGCCGAAGGTCTTCGATGTCTCTGAGTTGACGGCTGCGTTTCATTATTTTTCCAACTCAGCTAGGACGGGGAAAGTAGCTGTGTCTTACGAGAATCCTGAGTCGTTGATTCCGGTATGTATAACCCTTCTTCAACCAGATTTCATGACGCTAATAAAGAATAGCTCGTCCCGCAAAAATACAGCATGGTGTTTAACCCCAACAAATCCTACTTCTTAGTAGGATGTCTAGGAGGTCTTGGACGCAGTCTTGCGCAATACATGGTCTCTAATGGAGCTCGTTACTTTACTTTCATGGGCCGATCTGGCGCCGATAAACCAGCTGCCAAAAATCTAGTTCTCGAGCTGGAGAATGCTGGGGCTAATGTCCAAGTTGTGCGTGGAGATGTTCAAGATTTCGGAACAGTATTAAAGGCGATCAAAAACCTCCCTCGGAAACTGGGAGGCGTGGTTCAAGCTCCGATGGCTTTGGGTGTAAGTTACTTCCTACTTCAAATTACTGGAAATGCTGACTAGGTATCAGAATGCCTTGTTCACCGCTATGGACAACAAGAAATGGCGCGCTCCTCTCGAGGGCAAAATTGACGGAACGTGGAACCTCCACACGGCCATTAGTGGCCTAGACTCAGAACTCGATTTCTTCCTAATGCTCAGCTCGCTCTCCGGCTCTCTCGTAAGTCTCCTCCTCCCCTTCCCCCCTCAACATCCTCCTAACAACCCACAAGGGCGCCGCCACCGAAAGCAACTACTGCGCCGGCAACAGCTTCCTCGACGCCTTCGCCTACTACCGGCGCGCCAAGAATCTCCCCGCCCTCGCCCTCGGCTTGGGAGCCATCAAACAAGTCGGCTTCCTGCACGAGCATTCCGACATCGAAGCCATGCTCGCCCGCCGCGGCGTGGCCGCCATCTCGGAAGAAGACATGCTGCAACTAATCGACATCGCCTTGACCCACTCCCTGCACTCCCATTCCCTTCCTCTGGGTTTACGAAAACCGCATATCCTCACAGGATTAGAATCCATCGGCATGCAACCCATCTGGGACGACGGCTTCAAAGGCTCCCAAGAATTCATCATGGCCGACCCCCGCGTCTCGATCGTCTCACTCGGCAACGCCCGCCTAAAAGACACCCACGCCGGCCCCGACGCACACAACTCCGTGATGATGCCGCTGCTCTCAGCAACAGACAGCACCGAGACGAAGCGGAAAGTGGTCTTCACAGCCCTGGCGGGCAAATTGAGCCAGTTGACGCTGACGCCGGTGACGGACATCGCGTTCCAGATCGCGTTTGCGGCGCTGGGGATGGATAGTCTGGTTACGGCGGAGTTTCGCACGTTTATCTTTCGCACGTTTAGGGTTGATGTTGCTTTTATGGATTTGATGGATAATAAGAGTACGATGGGGGACTTGACCGAGTTGGTTTGTGGGAAGTTGGGGGGTGGGAAGGGGAAGGGGAAGTGGGGGTTGGGGAAGAGGGTTAATGGACATGCTTGATGTGGGTATTTATGGGGGGGGCGCAAGTACGTCTCTGAAGTTGAGGAAGTAATAGTCTTTGTTTCAATTGAGGAAGAGAGGGGACAAGATTAGCCATGCTTGGGTTTGGATATTCACAGTGCACGCGCAGCATTTTCAGAAGCAAGAAGATGGTCCATCTTGGAACAGATGGCACGTGTTGGAAATCAGACGAACTGGCAGGCTTGATATGACATTTTCTTAGGCTTACGGAGGACTTCTCGAGATAGAAGGTAGACTTCTGTCGTTGTATGTGGCGTAGAATTTCTACTTGATCAACAACACTATTATGCACACTTTAGGGGTTGATCTCAAATAATCGAATTTGCCGCAGGGGAAAGTAGGTAGATTGTCATGATGGGGTACATTGCACGTTTTTGAGACTATTAGACAGACTGTCAGGCAGGCTTGAATGACGTCCTAGGAGTCTGTATGGGGGACCTCTCCATACGGAAGGTAGACTTCTGTCGTTGTATGTGGCGTAGAATTCAATTAATCAGGGTGTTTCTGCATACTTTAGGGGTTGATCTCAGGTAGCCAAAGTTAGTGCAAGGCACTTTTGGATAAGCTGGTAGATTGGCATTATGGCGTAGTTTGCCCGTTTTGGGACGATTAGACAAATATGGACGACCTCTCCATATGGAAGGTAGATTGTTCTTTTCCATTATTCTATTTTGTGTGAATTCACCTGATCAAGGTTCTGCATACTTAAGGGGTTGATCTCAGATAATCAAAATTGGTGTAGGACGTTCTTGGACAAACAAGTAGCTTAGTTTGGCATCGTGGCGTAGATTGCACGTGTTGGAATTGGTCAGGCTTGGTCTGATGTCTTCTTCATCGTCTGTATGGAGGACCTCTCGACATGGAAGGTAGATTTCGATTACTTTGTTTTGTGTGAATTCACTTGATGAAAGTCCTGCACACTTTAGGGGTTGATCTCAGATAGCCAAAGTTGGTGCAAGGTAATTTTGAGCAAGCAAGTAGATTCAATATTGGTAACCCTAGAGTGCATATTCTCGACATTACTAGACGAAATCAAAGGATTATAGTCCTTACGGGGGACTTCTAAATCCAGAAAGAAGATTGTCAATATTGTATAAGTCGCACGTTAGACGATTACGGTGTACTCCCCTTGATTAAATATTAGCTTACTCAAAATATAAGGGCATGCTACACTAATATTGAAGAGAGTGTGCAAGTAGAATCTGTATCAAGATTCAAATTCCATCAATGATTCAATACTTTAAAACGGTATAAGTTCTCTCTTCTTCAAACTGAAGTAGAATTATCGAGTGGCAAGAAACGAACATATGATCAGGGGGACACATTGTAGATGAACATTAAGTGGCAATAACAGATTATTCACAGTGTACGTGAAGGACACGCGCAAGCAAGCGCAGAGTAGATCTTGAACAGTTGTGCAAGACGATCAGCCAAAATCTGACTTTCATAGTGTCGACGGAGGGCTTCCAAATCCAGAAGGAAGATCATTATCCTTATATAAATTGCACGTGTTCACGTCTGTTTTCCCTTCCCATTCGCCCAACAACAAATCCATTCCTGCACCTAAATCCTCCCAATTGTAACAATCCCTCGTACGTTCCTCCAATAACCCAACTCCATGCTTCAGCGAGGCAAAGTAATCCAGATCGGCCCGGCCCCAATACCGAAACGAACAAACGCAACAAGGCTGCAGCAAGGACCAACCGTATAATTGGCGAATACACCTATAATTTTGATACTCGCACCACCCACCTCGCTTGTCATGCACATTGCACAACCGGTAGACTACTGCACGATAGATTGCAACACCGTTTCCAGCCACCATGCAACAAATTAGCGCTCGCTCGCGCTTCAAGGTCCCTCTGTGGGTACGCACCGCGGAGAGAGGCAAATTTATGAATTTATGTACACGCCGTTCCCGTGCATGGCGCGATGGTGGTTGCACTGCCGGAGCCCAATGCACTGCGCCATCCGCAATGTACGACTGTGCGCGCGAGATTGGCGGAACATCTCTCCACCTAGTATGCCCGGCCAATGGATAAGGGTTCGTGCAGCAGCGTTCTGGTCAGCGTGCGGCGTGGGTCAGCAAAACAGGGGACCAGGCTATTTATCCAGAGACCGAAAAACACCCCGAAGATCTTCAGATGTGCTGGCTGTCTGAGATAGGATGGGAGGGAGAGCCTGATTGGGATGCTTAAGCGCAGATAAACTGTGTGGCTCGCTCGAGCGAGCGAGGTGATATCTTAGGTGTGAGACGTCGGTTTTTTTGTTTCTTTCTTTTCCAACAATTGACGGACGCGGAAGCACACTCACTCGCTTCATTTTGTATCACATCAAAGTTGTTCAAGATGAATTATTCGGTGTCGGGCTTGGTGGGGTTCATTATTGCTATAATGATACTCTCTACCTCAGCAGTTGTTCTACGGTTCTGGTCTCGTTTGCTGGCTGCTCGTATCACTTTAGGGTAAGTTTCTTGGTTTGGTGGAGATTGAGTCCGTTTCTGACATTCAAAATAGTTGGGATGACTGGCTAGCACTCGCTGCGTTGGTATGAACTTCACCTTTTCCCTAACATACGGACCTCGACTAAGATAAGTGCGTAGCCTGTGAGTTTGGCTCAAATGTCCGTCGTGCTTCGTGGCGCCTCTAGCGGACTACTTGGGAAACATATTCCCGAATTGACCCTCCCGGAACTCGAGTGGTCCCTCAAGTTGCTGGTAGCAGCAAACCTACTATTCAACGTCTCAATCTCGTTCTCACGGCTGTCGGCTTTGGCTTTCTATTCTCGAGTGTTCACTCTGCCAGGTGCAAATAGTAAGCTCTGGACATGGAGCTTTTGGATCGTCACCTCCCTCTGCATTGCGTGGCCACTGGCAATGATCCCCATGAATCTATTCAATTGCAGTCCAGTTCGTCGACTTTGGCAGCCGTGGCTTCCTGGACATTGTATGACGCAGTTCGAGATATACATGATCAGCGGCGCAACCTCGGTTTTTGTCGATTTGTGTGTGCTTATCCTGCCGTTGCCGAAGATCTATCTACTTCACATGGATCTCCGAAAGCGGTTCATGGTTGGACTTGCATTCCTTGCTGGTTATAGGTGAGCAGACTTGCATTTAACACCTAGCAAAATCCTAACGATACCCTCTAGTGTTATCTTCATGTCCGTTGGGAGAATGATTCAGACTGCACAAGTTGGAAGTGCTCTCGATATGGACCCTATCTGTAATTCCACCCCACTTCCATCTCCATCTACCTCCTAACTCGTACGACAGATACCATCATCCCCATGGCCTATTGGATCGAAGCCGAGTGCGGCCTATCCATCCTTGCCATCTGTCTCCCAGCCATCTTCCAACTCGCTAAACGTGTTTACCGCTCCGGCTTGGTATCACTACTCAGCTCAAAGGACTTCTCGGCATTGGAGTACGAGATGAACTCGGGGAAATCGAGACATACAGACTCGAAGCGCCAATTCTCGCAGACTTCCCATGAACGAATCATGACGCCCACAAGTGATGTCTAGCTGGTCGTGGCTGGGACTGGTATGTAGCATGGGAAAGGTAATGGCCGCAGTTGTATATAGTTATCAACGTCTGTCCATGAAGTTTTGTACATAGTTAGTGCCATCAGCATACGATTTGACGATGCTTGACGTCTTTTCTTGAATTTAATCAGTTGTACATTATTCGGGATATCACAGTTTCTGCCAGTGTTCCAGCTCTTTACTCAGCTTCATGGTTATCCACTGCCTGATGAACAAACTCTACAGCATCACTCTCTTCTTGCACTCCGTCAGACTCCCAACCCGAGCATTGATGTGAAGTCTGTAAAGGGTGGGTGAGTAGATTGCTCAGGTCCCGACATTGTGCCTCTCTGAACGCAGGTGGTGTATCAAATCTCCCTGTGTAGTATGACAGAAGCACTTCATCGAGCGATGAGAAGCCTATATGTTGCGCTATGGATAGAAGAAACTCGAGTCGCTCATTTAATGGAGCCGTGGGCGACGGGGCCAAGCCATGCTCTTGAAATGCGTAATCTGCTGCGCTCAGAGATTCAGAGTCCACCAGTACAAGGCTCGAAGACCATGGCGTGAAAGAAGTGCATTCCCCTGGAGCAGAGAGAGGCGATGAGGCTGCGGCTCTTTCCACATCCGGATATCTGGTCTCGAACCAGTTAAAGATCTCCTCAGGTCCTATGGTCGAAATCAAAGCATCATTGTCGGAGTCGAAGTTGGAGCAGATAGGTTGGTATAAACTGAGGTCAAAAGTTTGATTGTTGGAATCTAAAGGATCGAGAGGCTCTGGGAATGAAAGGTGGTCATCTGGAATGTGGAACGTGAAGCTTGGCTCTGAGATTTCGAGATCGATTTGGTCGCAATCTAGCCATTCGTCTAGTGGAGTATCATTGAAAGTAGAACTGAAACCATGGCATCTGTTTTCCAACCCGTTGACGTCTTGAAGTATATTCGATTCTGTGTAGTGCTTCTGGGTATCTCGCTGACCTAGAACAAACATGTGGTCAGTACCAGTAATTCTCGGGCCACGAAGTGGGATGGATGAGAGCTACTGTGCATACGTTTCTTTCTTTGAGAAAGTCGATTCTGGGCTTTTCGACGCTCTCTCTGGTCGGAGATGGCGCTCCATGCTGCCGAGATCTTTCGGCCCATCCCGCAAGTGGATACCTCTTGGCTTCTCTTATCAAATAAATTGGAGCTCTCAGGTCGTTTCGTAGCTGGTAGGTGCATCACCTGCTGAAAATGATAGACATTACAGAAAAAAAGACTATGGACAGATAATTATCTCCATACACAACCAGACCTCTCGGCCATATCCAACTCGAGGTTCAATTTGCCTTGCGTACATGCTCCTCTCCGACGAGCAACCCCTATTCTGACGAAGACCCTACAGCGCCGTCACATTAGGACATCAGTAGACTGGGATCCTTCACAATTGATACTTCGATGGCCTCGACCTCGTGCTTCGACGTTACAGTCTAGACCTCCAAGGAGCGGCCAGGTACCGATGAAAGTACCGACCACTTGGCTGTGCCACAATGTATCCATGGTAGACTTTCAAAACGAGCAGGTCGCTATCGAACATTCCAAACGCCGCCCCCACAATAACACACACTAGGATCTCCCACAGCCTCGCCAAAACTCTATTAGATAGGTTTCCATGCAAGATAAATTGAATATGCAAGTATTTGATTAGGCAAAAACGTGGGGACTTCCAAGGCCACGAAACGGTGACAGCTGTCAGGGGGTCTCGCCAATGGAGGACCCTTGGCATAAATGATAAACGAAATGGGCGTGCGTCCGATGCAAACCTTACTTCGTTACCCATCTTGCATACTCACCGAACTCGACATGGCGCCAACTTCTGCACATCATCCCTCTTCTTATCACTCCGCTGAATCCCGCACGGCAGTACGGGGCGACTCTCCCCCGTCGATGCCGAGCCTTACCTTCGTATATTTCGTGAAAGAGGAACGACAGCGTAGCTCTGATTGGGTATACCATCTGACGTGCTTTAGTGTCTCCATTCATGATTGCAGCTCTTTAACGAATGCGGAGTAGAATTTGGAATAATCGCCCAGAAATGTTGAGTGGTCTGACTGACGAATGCACTGTAACATTTGCGTGGCGGGGTGCATCTTGTCCTCCCTTGTACATTGTACTGTGCCTCTTCTCTCTGCTCATCAGATTGTCTCCTTCCCCTCATATCGTGCTGTGCCTCTCTGCTGCGTCTATTCTCGGTCTCTGAGACTAGAAGGGTTTAGTGCTTCGCTTATGTTGAGGCTGCAAGACGGGGCTCGCGTAAAATGTACCTGTAATCGCTTGATAGCCGGCAGTAGTGCCGGGCCGTGAAGTCGACGAATGGTAACATGTCTGTCACAAAAATAGAAGTAAAAAACTCTGTTTCATTATTTACGTCAAAGGCCAGCTGCTATACTTACTTGATCTTCATCATATGATCTTCAATTCGACATTACGCAAGTCGCGATTCGTTTCTTCCCAAGCTAATTCATGCCAGAATCCAAGACCGATTCGTTTATACAGCTGTGACTGCGAATCAACCAACTCAAGCCCCAGACAATACACAAGGCCTCTCGAACGAGATACTGCGAGAAAAGTCACAGTGTACTCTGACTCGGAAATCTTGTAGTCGGGAGCCCAGTGTCCCAGCTGGACCCTATCTTCATCCCTAACGATGGGGTGTCCAGAATAATCATCTGGAAGATGGTACCTCGTTGCAGGAAACGGCAATCTACCGTCTCTCAGCCTCGCTTTATCGAACCCTCGATCTGTGATCTCATATTGTAGCTCCTCCTCGCTGGGAATATAGGCTGGCAAATGACCATCGGGCTTTGCAGTCAGGCTTGTGACGAGAGTGTCAAAATCATAGTCGTTCGCTTCGTTAGCCTTGCCCTTGGAGTCGACGCCTTTTCGGATTGCTGCCAGTCTGTCCAAGGCCCCATAATAATGGTCGTAGAAGTTCGATTCTCGAGCCAGATTTGAGTCTGCGGGTTGGTCCTTTCTGGTTTCCCAGGCGAGTTCGTAGTAAGACTCTGAGGAGCTATAGAGTAGTACCGTAGCGACTGATAACTTACCACGCAGATTTATCGTGCCGGTGTACTGGTTTGAGATATCTGATGGAGAGGAAGGCGAAGTTGAAATGTCTAAGATTTCGAGTAAGACTTCGTGATCAGAAACAGTGTCTGGTCTGTATAGTGAGAAGTACATGATTTTAGCGTTGATAGAAGCCCAGGACCAAGTGGGAGCTTAAATGAAGTTAGAGCTTGAACACCCAGGTGGGATTTCTAGGGGGTTTCTTACCTGCAAAATCCTTCATAGGCTCACTTTCTCTTAGTTCTTTAGGCTGCGGGCGGTTGAAGCAAGGCGCTCCTGGAGAGGAAACGTGCCATAGTAATTCTCGCCACACGTACTTTCTCCATAGTCCGGCATGATAAGTATCTCCTGTCGCTTTCTGATATTCTGCTGCTATTCCTGCCAGTGCTGCCAGCTTGTCGGATCCTTTGGTGAGTTTTCTCTTTGACTGTTCCTCAGAACATGGGGATCAGCACAATTCTTTTCTTACGGTCCAGAAAATAGCAGACAAAGAGACGGTTATGAGAGATGGGTCGACATACATAGGCTTGGATGATGAGCAGCCAACACATATAAAACCTTTCCACATCTTTTGACCCGGGATTTGAAAGATCCAACGCACCTCCGATCCCAAGCTGATAGATTCGATTCCATTCAATTTCGTCGATGCCCCTAAAAGGAGTGGCTGTAAAGATCGACATTGGTAAAGACTCTGATGTTTTGCAGGAGACACATTGCCAGTAAACCATATCTTGCCCAAACATGATGCGTCTAGTGGAGAGTAGTTCCTCTTGCAGCACCCACGCTCGTTCTTGCAAGGGACCTTTCGGATCATTTCCATATTTCTTTGCGAAAGGAAACAGATACAACGGTCCTTTGTCTGGGAAGTCCCATGGCGATGCTTCCCAAAGTTTGAATGGTCGTTGGAGTCGACTGTCTCTCTTCACGAACAAGCCTTCGCTCGAGTTCTTGGCTGAAAGAGCGGATATGCAAATGACTGAGCACCGATAGATCAACCCCATCATTGATGACTGTTCTTTCCAATCGTCCTCGCTATCTTGCATGATGCACAAAGAGTCAATCCATAGATAGTCTATACCGAGACTCTTCGCTATGAAAGATGCATCCCTGAAAGTTTTGGGAAATTTCTTCCAAGGAATTCCTTTCTCCCAGTCCGAGACGTTTGACATCAGTGTTCTGAGAGGCTGCAACTTCCCCCAACAATGGCTTAGAGCGGCGTAGGATATATTTGGAGATCCTTCGAATGACGCTGCTGATATCAAAACGGGCTTTCCTTCCAGGTAGTTGCCATTAGGATCAAGCTTGATGTTGGTGAGATCGAGTAGTCTTTTTGGGACAAATCTAAGGCTCGCAACTTGGCGAGTGAACGCAACGCATTGTTTATGGTGCCGGCTGCAGATGCCCCTCCAGGCATGAATCTGCTTGAGTGCAAATTGAGACCCTGTGGTGTCCTTATCATAGCGTAAACCATCCTCATCGGCCTGATCCAGTACTTGATTTATGGGTAGATCTCCTGTAATTCCATCTACTCGAAATTAGGCTCTACTAGAAGAGTACAAGTGGAGACGGCATACCTTTGAAGTACATAGACTGCAACGGGATCTCGACACGATAAAATGGTAAGATGACAGCAAAGTACTCATCAGCCGATATCTCATTCGTGTATCGGAAGAATCTTCTTTCGTCATCGGGAAGCAAGATACTCCACACTTCATTACTGCAGCCTGGTCGATGCTTTTGCATACGTTTGAGAGATTCCACTCTATGCTCAAGAAAATCTAGTCCCTTCTGCCTCGACATTGTTGATACATCGATCAAATTAGAGTATACTCTCCGCAGCGTCTCAAAATCGAAGGTATGCAGACCTGCGGTCTCGACACTGAGCGGCACAATCTCAACCAGTAAACGATACAGAGGTACATCGTTATCGGGCGGCAAGGTCCCAAGTCGAATCTGTCGATCTGGTAGGTCCACATCTTCGATAGGTCGACGACTGTCAAGCAGTGAGTGATAGAGGATAGCACAGAGGACGCATTTTCCCGAATCCACGCATTTCTTCAGGGATGTGCTAGAAGGATGGTGGGGGAATTCGACTCTGTGAGGGGGCTTTTCGGCTGCTATACCGCCCCAAACTATGAAGTGGTGACAGAATTTGCAGATAGGTCGACCTCCTGCTGTCAGGCACCTTGGTCTTAATTTCCCATCAGGACCAAGGGATATCACTGCGACGGAATCTGCCTTCGGGGGCATCTTGCAAGTATCAGCAAGAAATGGTGAAGGCTATCTTAGGCATTCTTGAGCTTAGGGTGACTGTGTCGTATTTGAATACTTGTTGATCCAGCCTGATTTTTCACGAGGCTCTGGGCTGCAGCTATTTATAGAGCATCGCATGCTCAGACACGTGATTTCTCACGTGTTTCTTCACGACATGGTATTCCATAACACGATTGCCGGAGTTTCGAGGGTGGAGCGCTAGAGATTAGCAGATCTTCTTCTAGTTCCTTGAAGACACAAGAAAGGGTAACCTCATTGTGGCAATCAGCAGAGTTGGGCTGACCCTGAATAACCTGTACTACCAAGCAATCATCAGCCATATGTAGTTTGGGTTCAGCGACATATAAAAGAAACCAGAAAGCTCTAGAGAAGCGAAGAGTAGATCTTAAAGGCGGCCGTACAAAAGAGACTATGTGAGAAAGAATAGGCTAAAATGAACGAAAAGTAAGGAATACTGGCCACAAAATTCACAACTTCCGATTGACTCACCTTACTTACTTCACTTATCTCCTTGTTACTATCAATTCCTGTCCTCAATAAATACACTGTAAGGAAAATCGAGCGAAGTAAACAGAGTTGAAAAATCAAAATGAGATTAAAGAGCGACTTTACTTGTTTCCATTAATTCTCTTTCTTTCATTGATCCTTATTTGTACTTGTACTCTACCTTTTTCAAAGAAAGCAAATCTTAGTATAAGCAAGCAATATTAAGTTCCAAATATTACCGAGGCGCAGAGGAAAAGTGACCCATGTTCAATAGCTGGGTAAAGGTAAGTAATATTGTTGGCTAAACAAATACTTATTTTTTGTTTCAGTTCCTCGCAAATAAGTCTCTTTTTTGGTTGTCTGACAAAGTTCCATTAAACGACGTTCTGATTGACGATTAGCTATGTAAAGGGTATGGATTTTGTTTTCAGCAGAGAAATAGTAGAGTTTTGTGTGATTACAGTGTTCTTTGTATTTAAACAGGAATCATTTCGCAATGGAATCCGGTCTTTCACCTTTGATTAAGCCACATGCTTTTGTGTATGACTGTTGTGAGTAGGTACGAACTTCATTGTCCAGCAAAGATCATGGAAATATCTATATATCAAAAGTTCCTCACGGTAAACATGGCCATCCAAGCAAGGAGTTATGGCTTTCTTATCACTTGCCTATCCAGGTATGAAGTCCTATTCGGAATCATAAACATCTAACACTTTTCTCAGGTCAACTCGTGGCACACGAACAAGCCAGGTAGGCGCTTCTCATCCACCAAGTTCCTGGGACTCCCATATGTCTATCAACCACGTCACGTACCTGGTCTTCACCAGAAAAGATCCACTCACACTTATACCCACTATCCACTTAGTGACAGTGGTGCAGCTACCAGAATGATAGGCGCTACCAGGCTTGAGGGCAACATTTACTAATTCGGCAAGTGGCTAGGCTGCTTTGCTAGAACTTTGGACGACAGAGATCTAGGAGGCGTCACAATCCTCCCGAGAGGCATGGGAATTAAAATCAACTTGACTGGAATGGAGGGTGAGATAACCTTCACTTTGGACAACCAAGTGATTCAGACAGGCCCGGTTTGGTATTTGAGTGCAATTGATATTCAATAGTATGTTAGTATCAGGAATATAATTGTAACCGAGGCCGGACAACCGCGAACTTGGACAAGAAACGAGAAGCTTGTCTTCAATGCGTAGTCGATAATAGGATTTAAATTCACGCCACAGAGGCAACAATTCAAAGACAGAGAGTCAGGCAAGATGAAATGGAAATGGACAAAGATGAAAAGCCAACTTCCCCTCAAATTGTCCGTCCCCACTACTAGGAAAGTCGTTTCTTAGCCTTAAACGGGCGCAATCGTGAACGATCTGCCACATCACAAAGCGCAAACATTCTAGTTTACTATACCAAGCTCCGTCAACTCCTAACCGTTGAATTGAAATCAGACAACCAGCTTTTCGAAGTTTTGCGTCTTCGATACAATAATATGCACTACCAGTGGCAATCATTAATATACTTCCCTACACTAACTTGTACTCAGATTTGTCATATTAGAGATGTACAGAATGTTTTTACAATCAATGATATAGATTTATCGATGTTGTATCTGTGCGTGATGAGGGGTAAGGAGTTTTGTAGACGAAGATAAGGTAAATACAGATCATCACCAAAGATTGTCTTCGGCGGTAAGAGATTGCAATAATCTAAGATGATAATGACGAAAGTGCTGAATATAATGCTTACGAAGTCTTTCGCGTTATTAGAACCCCCTGACAAGAAGATACTTGGAATCGAGATTATGGAATTTGCGCCGAATGTTGAGAACCTTCAAACTGTTAGCTCGCGACCCCAACGCGTTTTCTTCGGTCAAGGGAGTAAGATGCATTGTTACGGAGAAGATGAGACCACAAAGAAATATCGAATCCGGCCGGCCAGGCTGGAATTACCGAAGGGCGGAGAGTCACGAAATTGAGAGAAAAACGAGCGACTTCACTTTGATATTTATTCCTTAACAGAATTGAATGAAATTCGGCGCATACAACAGGGCAGACGTACAAAGTGAGAGAGAAAAAAAAACAGATGGATGTTCAACTTCCTCTGAACATCACTCGACCCCCACGCTTCCCACGGCTCTCAAAATATCCTTCTCACAACTCTCCCTATACTGTCTTTCAATAACTCCTGCTCGATCCCCGCCATCTCTGACCTGGCATCTAATCTTAAATGGTGCCGGCTTCACAATGATCAAGCTCTCTTGCCTACTCGTCGGAACCTGGAATTCACATTCATCTTTGTCCAACCCCAAGATTAAACTCCCATTCTCTTTCTTCACCTTTCCCGTTCTAAGTTTCTCAACATCGACTTCTTCTTCTTCGCCGTCTCTGTTTTGAAAAGCGCCAGCGCGAATGTCGAAGGCCCACGCCAATCCTCCACAAGCATTGATTAGCTCGTGGTGTGTCAGCTCAGGCCCTTGACATAGCCTTCGACCCCAGCCGTAAGCAGTTGATTGTTGAATCTGAGGGTAGAGGGAAAGAGGCTCGCGGTACGTGGCCGTGAAAGAAGGGTCTAGGTAACGTGCAGGATTAAAGGTGTGTGGGGATGGATATTTTGCGGGGTCGCGAGAGAATGCCCTTCAAATTTAGAGTTAGTGAGAGGAACTATGTCTCAAGCAGCATATAACAAAGCAACATCAGGAATGATATCATCAATGCCAAGGAAAGGCGTGAAATGGTCCACTCACCATTCGAGGGGGTGGATTTTCGCGCCTTTGGGAATGAAGTAACCATCATATACATCGTCTTCTTCCACCTCGTGCACTACACCTGCCATCAAAATTTTAGCGAATCTCTCAAGTTTACATTCGAAAGGCAAATTGGAGGTGAAATCCTACCAGTTGGAATTGGTGGTCGCCAACGGAAGCATTCTTTGATGAAGGATCTGAGGACTGGAAGGTGCGGGGCATCCTCTACTTCGGGCATACGTTCTAAGCCACAGACTGAATCGACTTCCTCTTGAACCTTTCTGAACCATTCTGGATATAGAATAGCTGCTCGGACGAATCTTTGCATTGGAGAGCTGATCGTAAAGACCCCTGTAATAGAGAGCATGCCGAGTGTGGAAGCAGCTTCTTTCTCATCGAATGGCTGAGATTTGATGTCCTCGAGATAGTTTCGCAGAAAGGAAGGTCCTGTAATATTATGAGTGAAGAACGCATTGAATTCACAATGAATGCTAACCTGTTGTCCCTTTGGCAATTCTATCGCGGACTTCTGCCCAATTCTGTTGGAACCAAGCTTGCTCCTTTGCGCGACGTTGTGCTTCCCATTTCTTCCAAGGTGAGAGAAAAGTTGGCATGAGGAGTAGAGGAGTGGTCAAATTGCTTCTATTTCCTAGTGGCGATATGGCGATCAACAAGTTCCAGGCGTGTTCTTTCAAGATGGCGGCAAAGTCAGGGGTCCCCCACGTTAGACGGCATATTGTTCGAGAAGTCATGTCTTCGGTTAGACTGACCCAGTCTGAAGAGTCGTTGAGCATCCGCCAGATGAACCTTTTCGCTTCGATAGAAGGGTAGTTGAAGTAATTCTTGTTCTTTGTAGCAACGAGGTGCATGTGATTCAACTTCTTTTGTCTAGTATGATAGACTGGAAATGAAAGTCAGTTACAGTTGGAAGTAAGAGCATCGCAATTACTTACTATTTCTACTCATAAGAGGCATGTACTCTGCGGTACCGAGATTGCCTTGAGAATCATGCACACTTGGGACTTTAGGCCGACCAGAGTACTTGGATCCTCGTTTCCCAAAAAGCTCGTTTGCAACATCTTCTGAAGCCACAAAAATGTGTAGCTCGCCCATGATTGTGGTTCCAAAGAGTGACCCATATTTATCAGCCCCTATTCACCAAAGGATACGGGTCAGTATGGCTTCATGCATCTCGAACATAGATTTGCATGCTTCTAGTTCAATCTGAGTATGGACTGCGGAGCACAAGTCGTGGGTATCAAGAAAGAACTTTGCATTGGAGAAGTTGAGACTTACATTCTTTGAACTTGAACCAAAAGCCGAGGGAAGGCAGCTCTTTGAGTGGGCCAAACCAAGGGAGTCCTATGTTGAATAACATGTTAGCTTATACCAGCTGCCCAGGAAGATAGCCGGATACTTGCCTTTCGGTCCTGGCAGGTGGCGGTATTTACTGAGCGTAACAAATTTTTTGTATAAGTGAAAGAGGACGATCAGAAACAGCAGGCAAAGTGAAAGGATATTAGACAACATTGCAGCCAATTCGATGTTTCTAAAATCTACTCACACAACAGGAGCGGCAAAGGAACGTCCAATTTATATGTAATACCACACGAAAGATGACATGTAATCCATTTTGAATAGATATCGGCTAAGCAACCCTCCCCCAACAGTGGGTACATCAAAGTTCTGACTAATGATATGCTGATCGATACCTAACGGGCATCACTTGTTTCCGAAGCCTGACGTGAGCTGCATAACTCATGCAGCCTCCATGTTGTGCTCGGAAATGGTGCAATGAAAGAAGATACGGGCATCGAACCAAAGGATATGGCAGATAGGCGTTGCGGCTAGGTAGCACTCGCTTTGCTTGTGGGTGTCTAGCATCATACATGGTATTTCGTAGATGTTGTGACCGAACAAATCTAGTTAGACGATTACCCTAGCAGATTTAGGTCTTATTGTCATCCGAAAATGACAGCCTGTAAGGGCTAATATATCTGCCATACTGCGTTCAGATAATACGGGGTTGTGGACATCATGGTTATGTCAACACAGGTACTCTTCCACATCATATGTTAGTCCGGACGCTTTTTTAATCTATCGGGCCTCTTCCTGGTTATGCAAATGCAGAGCTGCGGCATAATACAGTTTGACACTGTTGCATTTGTGATCGGGTCCCTGCGCTCAATAACTTCTAAAGGTATGTATCAAATGAATAGGCATCTGGTCATATCACACCCAACAACACGGCGCTAGCGGCACGGTTCGCTCCAGAAGCAAGACTTGGCATCGATTGGGGCCTGATAGCGAGATCGATCCCTCATCATATGGCGCCAGACGAAGTGCTGGAGAAGTGCGAAGTCCAATTCGAATGCTGGAGGAAGACACGGGACATTCAGTGGAGGAGCGTTGCGCGGCATCTGTTCGATATTGACCAACTCCAAGTACGGTCTTCCTTTCGGGAAAAAAAACGCACTACTATAAAAACCTTTTGCTTTCTACTCACTCATACTTTTAAAACTTGCTCCCAATTTTGGTTCTCCTCAATGGACAAGCCGCATCAAGAAGAAATTTCCTCTGGCTCCTCAAAAACGGCAAAGCACCTTCTGTGCTACGGAAATCGTGAGATAGAGGCAGAGTAGATGTGTCTGCAGGGTATGGATTGTGCCGTTGATCATGTATCATTCGGTCGGACAAGTTCTTACCAGAAATTCAACAGCCCGGGCGCCGATCATACCTTCGCCTTCGCTGATTCCTGCCATCTGAATAGGAAAGAGAAAGAAGGTTGCAAACTGATGGTGGTTGTAGGAGGTGTCTTGTGGCTCTCTGTGCGGAGACATGCAAGGCCCTCATTAATTTTTGCGCACTTCTCGGAATAATTCGCATATCTACCCAAAGGTGTAGCTCAGTTCGGTTTGCCACATTAGTACTTGCCCGCGTGAAGCAACGATTGGTAGCGAGGGCGGGGAATGGCGGCCGACAATAACGCTGAATAAGGTCTTCAGAAACTCACCCCACATTTTCGTTTCCATAGCTCGTACTGATATTCAGATAAGAGGAATACGTTGTATGCTGCCAATCCTCCAGCTCTTCCTTCTTCTCGGAACCACCCCAGCTTTAACCTGACCTCTCTTATCATTTTCGAAATTGAGTCGGAAAAAGGATTTATTCGTTGTTCCCCTCATGGTGTAACGTATTGGAGCGGCACTCTTGCAGACATCAAGTCTTTATCAAAGGAATCAGATGCTATTTGCGCGTATCCAAGAGGCTTTCTATGATGCAGAGAAAAGATAATTCTTAACCCAAAGGTAGGAGAGAGCCTTCACTTTTTGTGGGGCAGTTTACCTTTACACTTGAAGAGCGCGAAGCAACATGACTTCTATCAGGATCATTCGAGTCCCTTGAGTTCGCCCTTCAATCGATTTTGATTGTGGAAGGCATCGCAACAAGCCGAGGCCCAGAAGCTATTTTAAGAAACCAACTTGGGGCGTTCAGCTCTCTGACTGGGCGCAATGCGCGGAAGGGAAGCGAGGTATCTCATCCAATCATCGTCAGCCTTGGTAGCCACTATGTAGCATCTCCACCCGTCTTGCGCCTCGCTATCCATACCACTGCACAGAGCAATGGAATCCAAATATATATATATCCCTTTTGGAAAGCCAGAACAAGGCCTCCAAAGACTTAGCTGCGCACAATGACGGAAATGCGAATAGGATGGCTGTGCATAGATATCTTATTGGAGAGGCTTTTGGCAGATCGAAGGCTGTCGCCATGACTAACATCCAGGTACTCGGGTATAGAGGGGATTGTTGTGCCTGGATGAGGCTGTGAGGCTGTGAGGCGCAGCAATTCTGCAAACCACGGAATGAAACCGCACTTAAAGTGCAGCCCGTCCGCTTCAACAATTCTGACCAAAGTCAATCATGATTTCTAGTACATGGCAAAGAGCCGTGGAACGATCTACAAGCCTCCTCTCGAGGGAGGAGCAAGTCAAGTATGAGAATTCCTGTCCGGAGGATATCGTACAAGACTTTCGAAATCACCATCTGGTCCGTGGAAAAATCGACAATTTTCTGAAGAGGGTACAACCGCTTGTTACAGCCATTGAACGTTATGGAGAACCGCTTAATGTGATTGTTAATGCTTCGCCAACAATCCTATCCCCAACATGGGGAATCTTGAGGGCTTTGCTAATAGTGAGTGTTTTGTTTCGAACACTCATTCCAGGGCAATCGCTAACTCAATGTCCTAGATTGCTCGAGAGTATGAAGATTATTTCTCGAAGTTGATGAAAATGCTACAGCAGATTGGAGATGCGTTACCCAGATTTCAAGTATACGAAGAGCTATTCCGCAACCATGAATCGTTTCAACGGACGCTCTGCGCCATGTATTCGGAGCTCATTTCATTCCTCTGCAGCGCCAAGAAAGTATTCAGCAACTCGTCTTTCCGACGTAAGGTTTTGTGGAGATCATTTGATGACACTTTCTGCGATCACATCACTGCCTTCATACGATACAGCAATTTAGTAGAGCGAGAGGCCAACTTGGCCGATATGGTCGAGTGTTCTCAAGCCCGGGTACAATTGGATGCGCAGATGAAGTATCTCATCGAAGCTAGACAAAACCGCGAACAAGGTAGATCTCAGCAAAGTCACTTGGTAGTACGTACACTGACAACGATAGGATTTGTAGTCTTGAAATCATGGCTGGACGCACGGCAGTGCCACGAAGAAAGAGATGGTATTGAGATCTTACCGGGCACCTGCGAGTGGATACTTGATCGGAAGGAGCTATTGGCTTGGATCCATAAGGATGACTCGCAACTATTTTGGGTCTACGGCCCGCCTGGCTGCGGGAAGTCCTTTCTCTATGCCAAAATTCTGCAGTATATCGACGCCGCCCTTGCGATGCCTTACGTGTACTTCCTGTTCTGTGGAGCCGACGGTGAACGAGTGACAGTAGCATCATTGCTACGATCTTGGACTTTTCAACTAGCGAAGATTTGCGATGAGGCCAAGGAGCATATTATTCTCTCACGAAACGGCAGCGAGAACCATGAAGCAACAGATAAAGAGGTATATGAGATATTCTTGTCTCTGCTTGAAGTGGTGCCACCATGCTTCTTAACGGTCGATGCTGTCGATGAATGTCTTGACAGACCAACTTTTTACAAACTTCTTTCACTTATTCCAAAGCATTTCAAGGTCCTGATCACTAGCCGACACTTACCAGAGCTTTCAGAGCACCTGCAACTACAGCAACTCCAGCAGCATATCGAGCTTGAGGTTTTGCCAGAGATGACCTACTCTGATATCGAGTTCTATATAGCTTCACATCTCAACAACATAACACTTCGTTACTGCCCCGAGATTGTTGCCGCCATCAAAGACAAGTTGAAACACTCGAACGGTATTTTCCTCTGGGTTCGTCTTATGTTTCGGTACATCCAAGACCAGACATGCAACGAAGAAATCATGCAGTGCCTGAATGAATTGCCAATGGGTCTATCTGAAAGGTACGATCGGATTCTTCGCGACATCAATGGCTTAGCCAAGACGAAGCCGCGAGAAAGATTGCTGGCCCATAAAGTCTTTTTCTGGGTATCAGTTGCTCGACGACCACTTCGAATCAAGGAGGTCTGTGGATTTCTTGCCGTCAAGCCTTCGTCAGATCGGAAAAATGGTTTTGTTGAATGGCGAATGGCGAATGACCCGGAATCGAGTATTATGTCCATTTGTGGCTCTCTTCTGGTAGCTCGAGGTTCTGGCCAAACTCTTTATCCAATCCACTTCACTGCATCTGAATACCTGAAACAGTATATGAGCAACAGCGAGCGGCTAGCCGAGATCACAGCATATTACGATGTACAACAGCTAAATTCGAACGACAGCCTCGCGGCAGCAGTCTGCATGCGATACCTGTCTCTAGAATTCATCGAATACCTTCATTCGCAAACTTCTTTGGATCATTCAGACACCGGTAATATGCTCAACTCCGATGAAGCGAAGATGGTAATTCTCCGGTACGCAACAAGACAGTGGTTCAACCACTTGAAAAACGTTCAATCCGCCGAGTTACTCCTTCTATCTATCGCGAGAGAATTTCTAGACGATTCACGACGTAACTTGGATGTGTTTTGGCATCTTTATTGGTCTTCGAAGCCCGAAACAGCAGAAAATGGACGAGTTCCTGCACCATCCTCACGCGCTCATATTATTGCTTACTTTGGTCTTCACTCGGTCCTTCAGCTTAAGGTTCATCGTCATCGACGACTTCTTGTTGTACTTCCGCTGGGCATTCTCCTGCGATTATTCTCGGTGCTGATGGAGTCCTTGAAGATGTACTATGTCAATATTCCATGGTCACGATTCTTTTTGGTTATCAAAGAAGTATGGAAGACTTGCTGCTCGTCATAAAACACATCATGTGGATCAATTGTAACTATGGGCGCAGGCAGCGCAAAACTCGCGAAATGCGCGAAACGCGCAAAGAGCGGAATTAGGCCTCGAATGATGAAGCGGCGGAGATTTTAGATTAGACAGACTGATCTCAACTCTCCCTAAGATATATTCTCTAAGCCAAAACCACCCAACATCTTCTTCATAAAGCGCACGTTCTCTAAGACTCGATTGTTCCGCCAGCAAAAGGTAATCCTACATCGGAATGTCGACACAAGCAATTTCCACTTCCGTCTTTAGACCTGAGTAGTTGCTCCTATAACCAGAGCTATGTCCTGAGCCCCGGAGCATACTACCAAACTAGCCGGAGCCTACCTAGGGGATCCTTTTCTAACCCCTTGAGCATCGCGTATTGTTTTGACTCCCCATTTGCCGCTAAGATAAAACCAGAAAAGCTCAAGGATCGTTCTGGGAGATTATTTGGGTTCCTTCATCAAGTCACGCATGATTGGTCACTCATAGTTCAGCCTTTAGAGTTTTGCCGAGTACCATTGCAAGAGGGCTGGTTGTTAACATTGCTGATGTCGACGGCTCACTGCAATGTGATAATACACGTGATGAGAAACCGACATAGATTTAACTTAAAACGACTTTCAAGTAACTTCACGCCTAAATGACATTCAACACCCCACGATACGCCCTGAAACTGAGAGTAGGGCTCTTGATTGGTGTCATCTACATTACATGATCCACCAGTTCTGTGCTCCCGAGGCTAACATATTCCCAATAGCTAACTCTAGTTACTCTTCGTGAATCCCAAGTTTGCATGAGCCTTCCACAAATGCTCTGTGACTTTGTCAGGTCGACTAAATCCAGTACCATGGCTCTTAGCACAGCCTGTAATCGGGCAGAAGCACCGGGTTCGACTGTGCCGGTGCTGTAGATGACGTGTACGATCGGCCATGCGCTTGAAACTCACACTACAACCTGCTTGCCCACATAGGATGCGATCATTGGCTCGGTTCTGCGAAAGAGGAGGAAGTGCCGGTTGGATAACAGACGCCATGCTTGTGGTTGCCATAGAGATGTCTGATTGGAGTTGGGATAGGACAGGAAAGGCTCCGAGATGGGTATTAGCGAGAGCAACAGACGTTGGCATAAGGGGGGCCCAAAAGTCTTGAGTGTGACAGGAGACCTGGTTATTCATAGTGCCTCCACTGCTAGCAAGGGGTTGGGAAGGAAGAGTTTCTTCATGCTGATCATTCTCGAAGCCAATAGTGACACCCCATAACTCATTGATACTATCAGACACTTCGAGGGCTCCCGCCTTCATTGCAGCATTTTCAGCACCAACCAAGCCAAAATAAAATCTAAATTCTAGGCTAGCCTCCAGGGCATTTGCTACAGAGTATGCACCGCTATAAAACGGAGGTCCCGTAGCAAGATTTGTGGTGATGTCGGAGGACTGAGCGGATGTGCACCCAGATTGCAGGGTCGCGCCATTGGCCACAGGATGGAGCGTAGATGGTTTGCGTCCGTGAAGTTCCCAGGGGAGGCAAGGCTGAAGCTCAGCCGGATGATCGAACGATCCAGCTGCATCCTGGAATGACAAGCTACTTCCATTGTGACCTAGTGGATACTGGAACTCATCTAGAGGGGGATTGTGGGCCTGGCCCTTGGACACTTCTGAGTGCAAGATGTCCGTCCAGTTGAAATCGTCGTGGTGCTGCTTTAATTTCTTGATGTCGCCGCCGGCGTGGTCTGTTACGTTATGAAAATAACACTCATAAAGTTGGGTTTCCTCGCCAGGAATATCCGATCCAATAGCAGGGCTTGAAATGTCGAAACTGAAGTGAAATCAGCGAGTGAAAAAAAAAAAATACCTAAAATTCCCCACGTCGATGGACGTGGGGGTGGTGTTCTGCGTGGGGTTCATCTGCTTTGCATAATGCGGGCGTAGGGCGGAGGGCGAGGGGCGACGAATGAATGGAGTTGGCGAAGAACGAGGCAGATTTTGTTCTTGGGATCGAGACAGCAAGCTTAGATTTGCATAAGGAAGTGCCAAAGGGACAGAAAATTACATGATGGCGGGGTGCGGATATTATACACTCACTGACAGCCCAGAAATGCGCTACGCCCCGAGACTCGTTACAGCCCTTGGCTGCCAAACATGTCACTCCTTTTAAACCACTACAGAATTCGGGACCTCTGGCTGAGCGAGGAGACCCTTTCAGGCCCCTTCAACCCCTCGCTAAAAAGCTTTTAAGGATTTCTGATAAGACGCCTCATTAAGGTGACAGACCTAAGTAGACCTGAGCAGACCTGAGCAGACATCAGCCGTACCTGAGCCGGACCTGAGCCGTATCCAAGCTGGCCCGAGAAAAGGCGGCGCTGTTGACGTGAGACAGAGAGTTGGGAAAGGGAAATATTCCGGTGTGGGAACAGATATATCCCCAGCATCTCGACCTTGCTCGGTACTGTGCACTGAATCAACCCTTGGGAGACCGGTGGCCAACAGCTTCAGGGTAACTCATCAGTTCACATGTATTGCCTCTCTGATCACAGAATGTATTTGAAACTAGGATGCTTGTCCAACAACTCATCCATACTCTTCTCAGCCTCTTCATCTTTCGTTCCTGCCGCTCTGAACTCTTCTGCTCTTGCATCTTTCCTATGGTTCTCTCTTCTCATCCAAAACCAATTGCAAACAATAGAGACAAGGGCCAAGCAGAAGAAGCCAAGGAGTGTCCCATGTCCTGCCAAATATCTCGGCGGAGTACGATAGACTTGTGTTCCAATGATGCTTAGACCTTGGCCGGTGATCTGTGCCATTGCCCAAGCGGTGCTTCGTTTAGTGTACCCGCCATGATTGATCGTAATCCATGAGACAGTGAGGATCACAGCGGGGTAGAGACCTGAAGCAACAAAGCATGTTCCGGCAATCAAGGCAACTTTGTTGGTGGTGGCCATGAGGATGATGTAGCCAACTGATGAAGTTGCCATGCAAATGAACAGTATGGGGCCTTTGCTGTTGATGCGATCGGAGAGGAAGCAAACTGTAAGCAGTGAGACTGTCGCGAAAGCGTACGGGATCATCGTGAAAAGCTGTGTTTGGACTACGGTACTTATCAGTGACTAGTACACATAATGACGAGAAAGAACTTGCGCTTGTCGAATCCAAAAGCTTGGATGAAAGTCGGGAGAAACGAGGTCACGGAAGCGATGCCAAGGCACAGTGCTCCGTAGATGACGGCTGTAAAGTACGACTTCGGGTCTTTGAAGGCTAGCCAGATTTCAGAGTACTTCAGTTTCTGGTCGGAGACGCTGTGCGCTACATTCGAATCAGTCAACTTGTTGAAGTAACATAACCGCAAAACTTGCCCTCGGCCATTCTTTGCAGAGCAAGATCTATTTCATCATTACTGAAGTAATGACTGCCTTTCTTTGCAATGATGTCTGGGAAAGACGGTAAAAACAGGAGTATTATGATTCCAAGTCCGATGGCAGGAATTCCTTCCACAATATAAAGCCATTGCCACTACCACAAGTCAGTAATTTGATCTCCCGGAAAGGAGACCCCAAACAGAAAAAACACTCCACGGGCCCTGATAAAGAAAATCAAAGAGAAGGAATCAGGAAGTTGTGAATTACAGCATGTCGTCCATGGACGCCGTCAAGATTCCTTTGTACTCCATACGCGATGAGGCCACTGAAACAGCCTGAGATAGTTGCTGAAGTGTAGTAGACGGCTGAAACACGTTGTCAGTGGGAGTTCCAGGAAGTGCGTAGGATGGAATCAACCTGCTCGAGTCGCAACCTCATCTCGTTTATACCAGAAGCTGAAATAAAGCAACCCAACTTGTACAAACGCCTCTCCCATTCCGATCAATATTCGAAGGCCAATGACTGCACCGTAGCTTTTAACAGCTGATAAACAAGTTCCGCAGACGCCAAAGAAGATAACCGCTGCACCGAGTTGCCGTGGCGGACCTATAACACGCATGCCTAAATTGGCAGGAAGCATGAACACCATGTATCCAACAACTTAGGATGTCGGTTAGGAGACCACATGATGATGTTGAGTATGCAGGACTTACAAAAGACCATCAAACAGTTGAAAAATTGTTCATCGGAAAGGGCGAGATCAGTCTGCATACCCATGATACGAGCATTCCCTAGATTGTTCCGGTCCTAATAGATCTCAGTCGGCCATTTGATCTTCTTTGCGCATTTTAAATACCATATATGCAATGAAGAAGCTGAGTCCGAGGAGTGGGACGATGGAGACATCCATCTTGAGTAGCAGCCGCTTTTCAAGTTTCGATTTCCTCATTGGTATCCTCACTTCATCGTTGGTAGCATGCTCGAGCCATGCTTGATCTGCCTTCTCACTCATCTTCTGCGTTCGGTGCTATCGAATCTCTCTTGTTAGTAGTGAAATATATTGACACGTGATGAGTTGCTAGAAAAGAAGAAAGTCTGGAGTTGCGGAGTGCATGCGGGGTACTTTTGTTGTGGAGTTGAGCAAATTTATAGAGTGTAGCCGTTTGTTCACTTGACTCTTTGCTTGTAGAATTAGTTGACAGTCTTGAATTTCCGATGTGTATCGCTCCGGTTTGCTAGAGCGCCGATATATCGCAATGCTGCTCCGATGGACTTCCATTGGCCTTATGAAGGCGGGGGAGCCATGATGTCCTGGCGGGCAGACGGGCACAAGTAAGCAAGGAATGCTGCATCCGCATTGAGACATTGCTGATCTTTTTCGTCCCACATTCTGACTCTTCGAAGTCGACAGGGCGAGAATGCCTTTTGTTCTTCGCGAAAACGGTACGACCTCTGTGAGAGGGTGCTCTTATGTGTGTGTATAGTTCACTCTAGAGAGTAGTCATTGGAGAAAATGGTATGATAACGCAAGGAATGTCGGGAACGACGGAGTCGGATATATGAATAAAACACGTGACACTCTATTTCCGCGGGGTAACTCGTTCCAAGCGAGCAGCTTGGCAACCTCTACTCCTCGATACATGGCTGGTTTGGGCACCGCAATTACCTACACTACCTTGGTACGCTCTATGGCCCTTTATCTTGTGTTGTTATTGTCGAAGTATACATGTTTCACCGCCCAGGTGTGCTACGTTTCGAATCAGGCATCACGGGATCGGGAGGACTACAGGCTCCATGTTCCAGCGAATAGCTTCAACACGCCTTTGCAGCTCAGCTAGGAGAGGAGACTCACGTCATTTGTTGGCGATCAGAAACCTCGCCTCAGCATGGAGGGAACAGGGTCCCGTGACCATGAGAGAATCAAGAGAGCGTGCAATGAATGTCGGCAGCAAAAGGTATTATATATGTTAGAGTGACTATTATCATCTCGTTCTTCGTTCAGTTGTCCTATATTCATTGCTGACATTAACCGTAGCTTCGTTGTGACCTCGTCAAAGAGCCATACTCTTCCTGTTCGAGATGTCGACGATTGCGGTTAGTCTGTAAAATTGACCCCTCGTTCAAGCGCGTGGAGAAGAGAAGGCAAGTACCCATTGTCTAAGACATTATACTATCTAACATCGAGGCTAGAAACAGAATTGATCGTTGTCAACGTCTTACAGATATCCCATCCCAGAGATCAGCAACTCGCCAGTCTTCTGTGGACGAAGTGCTATCACCCTTCCAGGCAAACGAGCAGAATGTTCTTCAAAGTGCCCTCGGTGCAGCTGAGACACTGCCGACTCGTCCAACCCGACCCGATGACATAGCCCACGTTGACGGACTACTCGATGCCGGTCAGATGCCCACTCGCCCCACAATCTCTCACCACTTCCCTTCTGGAGCGTCCAACACCTCCCAGCAACAGCCTTTACCTTTGATCCCCTCAGATGAAGATTGGAACCTGGAAGGACTATGCCTTACGAATGTCGAGGTGCAGAATCTATTCACCGAGTAAGTCATGCCACCACGATAGTGATTCCTTGCTCACTTCAAATGCGGATACTTTGAACATTATCATCCATTTCTACCATTTTTGGATCGCAACAGACCATCAGCATGCTACTTCAAGGATTCTCCGCTTCTATTCTGGGTCATCATAGCCATCGCTTCTCGACGTTACAGTCGAGACTTGACTTTGCTCACAGCTTTGTCATCATCTGTACCACGACTGATGTGGTCAACGATACAGTCGGTCTCTCAGAACTATCATGACGTGAAAGCTCTCTGCCTGTTATGCACGTGGCCATTTCCACTGAGTAGTTCGTCACGAGATGCCACGTTCATGCTTGGCGGGACAATGTTGCATCTTGCGATGCAGATTGGGCTCCATGTTCCTGGTCAAGCCCAGGACTTCTCCCAGTTTAGATTAAGTCCTTCGCCAGAGGAGGTACAGGATCGAACAATCACGTGGACTGCTGTCACAGTAGTTTCTCAGACGTAGGTTGTGTCCGTGAACATTCACTGAGGGATGCTGATTATCGCTTCGATGTTCCGTTCAGTTTGTCAACGAGTTACGGACAACCTTCAATCACACCGTCTGCGATTCAAGCCCACCCTTGTCATCTAAAGGAAGATGGACCTCTAAACGGCCTAACCAACCGCCTATGTATCGAGCATCTCTGTCATCGTGTTACCAACAGTCTTCAGTATATGTCGCAAGTCGAAGCCGTGCAACGTGCAACTCCTCAGGGAGAAGCATTTGACTCGTTGAAGCAAGACATGACACGTTTGGAGTCGACATTGAGCAATTCAACACAACTGGGAACCATAGGTACTCAGATCATTAGTAGGATATGTGCGCCGCTAACTCGTACAGACATCAACCAGGTTTATTTTTTGTGTGCCAAGCTGCATTTACATCTCTTCAGCTTGTTTGATTCTCCTGCAAGGTCAGACTACGTCTACAACTTGAAGGGGCTATACGGAGTTTGTGCGAGACTTATTACTCTCGTTTCAAACTCTGAAGCGGTGACGAAGTACTGTCCCAAATATATATTTTGGATGATCATTGCTGCAGCCTTTACCATTCGCAAGCTCCTCTCGAGTGATTTTACAGATTATCTAGACCTTGCAGCAACCAAGCAGGTTTTCAATACAGCAGTCCACACGATCCGCGAGATCAGCGTTTCAAACAACGATCTTGCTGGTCGTTTGGCTGAAGTTCTGGTTCAACTAAGAGCTAGAGCGTATAGCCAGACATTGAAATCATGGACCTCAGACTCAACCAGCAAGGGAAGACGAGGTCTTGATCTTAAAGTCCGAAGCCGGCTGAGTGTGAGCATAACTTATGACTCGTTGTGGGAATGGAGAAATGGCTTCTTAATATCTGATACCAAAGATTCTGGTAATTCCGTCTGCTACTAAATGTGGATTGAAGTAATACTAATCTGTCCAAGAACCGAATACCCCTCAATTCAGATCGCCCTCCAATGGAAGAGACGCAGCTGCTCACTTTCGTGGTAACACTATATCAGCTGTCGCAACTCCTCAAAACTTTGAACTCAACGACTTGATATTTGATGACTTATACCCCATGAATTATACCATAGAAGGCGCAGGGGTGACTGACTTGGGGGTCAATGGATACCAGTAAAGGGAGAGTGGAAAATCGAATCTCAGCTCTTTCGACGCCCATGTAGGCGATTGTCGCCGACCCTGGAATCTCAGCTGCATTTTCCATCGCAATCTTAATTCTCGGCTCCTCCACCTTCACTTGAGCCATTCAAACACTTTACATTCCATCACCTCTTTGCCCAAGCAGCAAAAATCAAACGTCGCTAAACTCGCCTACCTGACGAATAAATGGGGCAAGTTTATATTCGAATGGGCTAAATACACCAGGACCAAGTTGACATTTATCTTGAATGTCTGGCCACAAATCAGATAATGTCTTGCAGGTTAAACACCACCTGAGAATGCTGTCCCACCAGCCGCAGCGTCAATCTCAAGATCATCCTTCAAGCCACTCACCTCGAACAACTGTTTTGGGGTCATCAACGTTTCCGCCCCCGTCACACCTTCCACCTTCAACCTTGTATACACCTCTTTCATAGCTTTATAAGCTGGTGCAAGTCCAGCAAATGGAAAGATCACAACACGAAACCCCATTTCTTGCGCTTCATGCACGCTGATATTGGGTGTTACCCCGTGCTCCACCATGTTCAACAACACAGGCCATGGTGCCAAGTCCTTCACTGCCCGTCTCGCCTCCTCTTTACTTGTGATGCCCTCCAGGAATGCCACGTCTGCACCAGCTTCGAGAGCCATACGCAAACGGGAGATAGCTTCGTCGTATCCAAACGACTGCAGAGCATCCGTGCGAGCGATGATGACAATACCTGAGCTTACAGCGTGCCGAGCTGCAACGGCTGCTCTGATGCGAATGAGGAAGTCGGGAGCTGGGACGAGTTGTTTTCCTTGCAAATGGCCACAACGCTTTGTTTGTACTTGATCCTCGATGTGTAGGGCTGCGACTCCGCTTCGTGCATACTGCTGTACTGTGCGAGTGACCATGATTGGACCTGGCATTGTCAATGAGTTGTTTCAAAGATCGAGATGGGACTTCACTACCTCCGTACCCAGTATCGGCGTCTGCAATGAGGGGCACAGCGCTGTCGAGATTCGCAATCATTTCCGCATGCTCTCGCATATCGTTCAAATTGGCGATTCCCAGATCTGCATGTCCGATTCTCGATGCACTCGTCCCTGCTCCAGTCTATTCTGGTCAGCATCTACTTCCCTCTACAGTCTCATAAAATAATTATGAAAGGCTCTACCCACCATGTATATAGCATCAAATCCAACTCCAAGCGCAATCCGCGCAGAAAACCCATCATAAACTCCCGGCGCAAGAATGATCTTTCCGGGCGTGGCGATCAAATTTCGAAGCTTGGTAGCTGCACTCGTGCGTTCATGAACTGTTGAACCCATTCTGAAAAGTACCTTGTGAAAGTAAAGTTGTGTTTTCCAAAATGCGTTCTCGCCTAAAGTACCAATCTCTATATAGACACCTCAAATATGCCGATGATAACAAGTAGACCGAGATCGCATATTCGTCCCGACAACGGAGGATACTAATCTCTCACTCCTGGGCTCCTTTGGAGGAACCAGAGCTATTCTCAAGCTCACAATTGATCGTCTGCATGGCCCAATGAGCTCAAGGCCGATTGTCACGTGCAAGACTTCTCCGGTCCGATGTTTATCGGATCGGACAGCAGTCTCTAAGTTCCACTCAGATTACAGTTTCTCCACAGAAGAGAGTAACATGATTACATATTGATAGCTGACCCGGATCAATGGAGCGCCTCGAGCGCTTACTGAGGGATCCCTTATGGTTTTAGGTACATCTATTAATCATGTACTGCTTTCTGATAGCCTATCCAGAGACCGGAGTCAATGCAAACCTTGGGTAGCATAGGATCAAGGTTCAAGGTTCAATAACACCCTCCAGAGATACGTGTTGGTAGAGCTTCACGTCATGTGCTGAGCTTGCTGTGAGATCCACCACAGTCCACTTCTCTGCAGGACGAGATGCAAAAGCATGATTTACTCGGCTTTTGACAGCCTGCCTACACGAGATTTGATCTTTCTCCCCCTTTCTTTGTATCAAGGTAATGGCAAGATATAACTTCCATACGAACTTGTAATTCGGTTCTCACGCATAATTTACCCCGCGATGGCGGGGTAATCAAATAGGTCTCGCCTACCCCTGAATCCTTCACAAGTTCAAGACCATGATGAGACTGAAGCTCATCCTCACAACTGGCAAGTAACTTTTCGCACTGCAAGAGAAAATTTTTCTTTGAATAAACAACCTCATAAGGGACATCAGAAACACAAGACAATCGACATCATGAAAGATCTCGTGACTTGCTAAAGTCTCCGGGGAACGATGAAATGTCTCCGGATCTGAGTAAAGGCCCCAGGTTGTATCCAATGAGAAGTCTCCTTCTGTTCAACTAACGTTCGTCAGTCCAATCGAAGACATTTTGCAGAGGTGGCCAATCTTGCGAAGGCTCCGGAAAGTCTCCATTATGGGAGATATAAAGTAGCTAGCAGTACGCCACACTTGAGGGGCTTCATCCGTCATAACAAAACCCCCCCAAAGAAGTCATTTCAAAAGACCCGTCAAAATAACCAACAACAAACCAAAGCGAATTGATATCCACCATGTCACCAACGCCAACGATCTCCCGCGAAACACCCATTGATGTCCTCGTCATAGGTTCCGGGCCCGCAGGTCTCGCGTTTGGAACCTCCATCGCTCGTCTACTCCACACCTGCATCATATTCTCCTCAAACGAATACCGGAATTCGAAATCAGCTCATATGCACGGTGTTCCGACATGGGAGCATCGCGACCCTGCAGAGTTCAGAGCAGCAGCCAGGAAAGATATTCTGGCGCATTATGATACGACGTTCTTTGAAGATGTGGCGGTTGAGAAGATCGAGAACCATCAGAGAGAAGATGGAACGAGCTTGTTTAAAGCGACCGATGAGCAAGGCAGAGAATGGTGGGGCAGGAAAGTTGTGTTGGTAAGCGGGGTGAAGGATATCATGCCTGATATTCCGGGATATGAGGAGTGTTGGGCGTCTGGAATGTAAGACATGTCCTCCTAAAAGTTCAAACCTGTACTGATATAGCGTTCAGATTCCATTGTTTGTTCTGTCATGGATATGAGGAAAGAGGGGCAGCTTCTGCAGGCGTTTTCGCTATCGATGACTGCTCACCTGCACCGCTCGCACTTCACCTTGCGAGGTATGCTAACAGACTCGCAAGCAAAGTCACAATATACACGCATGGCAACGCAGAGGTCACGGACTCAGTCGAGGAAGCCCTGTCCCAGCTCAAGCCTGCATCAAAGACAAAAAAGAATGTGACCGTGGAAGCAAGGAAAATCATGAAGCTGGTGAAACTGCCAAAGGGGGCCGAGATTGAAGTCCACCTTGAAGGAGACAAGAAGATCGAGGGATTCATTGCTCACAAACCCAAAGGGAAACAGCAAGGACCTTGGGCGGAACAGTTGGGATTGGATTTGACTGAGATGGGAGACTTTAAGACCAGTCCTCCTTTCAACGCAACGAACGTTCCTGGTGCCTTCGCAGGAGGTGATTGCCAGACGCCGATGAAAGCTGCCACTATCGCGCTCTCGCATGGAGGTTTGCTCGCCGCTGGAGTGGCTGCGCAATTAGAGGCGGAAGATTGAGTTTGTTGACATACGGTGTAGATAAAAGAGATTTCCATACCACATCAAGTCCAGTTCGAAATACTCTTCAATGAAACAATGCAAGCTCTATGATACTGTCGTCCCTGAAACAAGACCAAACGTTTACAGTCTCGAACCCCACCGAGTTCCACGCCTCTTCTCCAGGTTCTCTAGGAACCACAAGAAGTGCTTTGCAGCAGAGACTTGCAGAAGCAAGAGGTTTGTTTGATTTCGAGACACAAATCTGCCATACTTCAAGATAATCTAGGAGCACAAAGTGGCGCCTATCAATCTTAAAGCGATGAAGAAAATATAGAGTATCGTCTTTCGAACCAGAATCGCTTCCAGATCTCAAGCCATCGTAATGCAAGAGCAAGGATCAATGACTATCAGGGTGCGTACCGACCCGAAGCCGCAATCAAGAAGGGATCCCGATGCTCGAGGGACGAGGAGCGAGAGCGAAGAGAGGGGTATTTGCCGGGCTGACAGATATGATTACAAACAGAACAGCTGCGAACGTCGAACACCTGCATCGCTATGGGCACACTGAATTTAACCATGTAAGTGGCATATGCATCGCAAATCTGATTGAACCTTTGCTCTGCGCTGACCACCATGATTGATGCAGGCCTTCGATAAATGCTGCACGAAGATGAATACCGCTGGGGTGCATGGAATTGCTGTAGCCCTCTGGTGTGTGGACAGTTTGATAGAGACCTCTTGCAAGCTCTTCTCGTTCAAGCTGCTGTGCTTTGGGTAGTTTGGGAGAGTAGCTTATTGGGTAGCAATTCGTCTCCAGAAATTGGAGGGAACCTGAACATGCTGCATGCCCAAAGACTTCCACATCATAGTCGCGATTGGGTTGCAACGTCCACACACAGTTTCTCAATCCCCCAATACCAAACAGAGAGAGTTGCAACGCGAATAGAAACTGATAAGTCCTTGATAATGCACCATCAACGTGATGCAACAATATGCAGTGTATGCGCTGTGGATATTTGAAGTCTCCTCTCTCTCTCCACCTTCATCTCTCTCCGATTACAAGTAGGCTCATGACTGCCATACTAGTTTTACAACACGTCGCATACACCGACTGAGTGATGGGCTTCGGGGTCAGAGAACCAAGAACGACCTCAGGCGAGCATGTCCCGAGAACGGCTCTGATATACGGTGCTGAATCCAGCGACGTTGAAAGTGTCCCCCGCACAAGTCTCAAACGAGGCACAGGGAAAAATGCCGACATCATTCTCGTTCCCCAACCTTCTGATTCTCCAAATGATCCTCTTGTAAGTCAATTGCCCTTCCTCGAAAGTACTTGGGGCTGATGATCCCCTAGAATTGGCCCCAATGGAAGAAAAATATGACATTCCTCTCGATCTGCCTATCCGTGAGCATGGGCTCTGCTCTCGGCCCCCTACTATCTCCAGTCACTGGAGTCATCGCCGAAGAGTTCAAAGTCTCGATCTCGAAGGCCGCGCAGCCAGGTGGCTATCCACTCATGAGCTGCGCCCTGGGCGCTCTGATACTTCAAGCCTGGGCTCCGATCTTTGGAAAGAGGTCGGCGTTCCTCGTTTCAACCATGATCCTTTTCACTAGTACCATCTGGAGCGCGAAAGTCAAAGCCCCAAATTTCAATGGCTTGATCGCGGCCAGGACCTTCTATGGTTTTGGTGTTGGGGCGTACGAATCTCTCACAATCCCAGCTACCGGAGACTATTCTTTGTGAGTGAGGACTTTGACTTGCTGAATACCCCCACTAATCTTCTCCAGGTACACGAAAGAGGAAAACGCATCTTGTTCCTCAACATGGTAGCTATCGGTTCTCCCTATCTTGAGCCACTCCTGGGAGGCTATGTCGCGCAAAAATATGGCTGGGCAATGGGCTTCAACATCATGATCGCCTTCACAGGTGTTGCCCTCCTAGCCATTGTTTTTGCTTGTCCAGAAACCTCATACGTACGGCCTAGTATCTACGACACAGACATGCAGTCGATGGAAGGCATTCCACAAGAGAAGAAGACTGAAGTTACAACAGCCTCAGAAATCGAGGGATCTATTGCCGAATATAGAAATCCCCCTCTTGTACTAGACGCTGTTACCGAGAAGCCAAAGACATACTGGGAAGAATTAAAGCCCATCAATGGATATATCACAAGGCAAAATCCATTGAAGCTTCTGGTTCGCCCTTTTGTATGTTTCCTATATCCAGCTGTGTTCTGGGGCTTTTCCGTGGGCGGCCTTTGGTCGGCCTGGGTCGTAGGTGAGCATTACTGTTTTGTTCCTCCTCATCCCAGGAAAGGCTTCGACGTTATTATTCGCTGTAGAGGATGCTAACTCTTAGGGCTAGGTCTTGCGATTGTAACAGCACAGATATACGCTGGGCCGCCAAATTTCTTCGACCCCACGCGTCTGGGATTGTTGTCATTATTCCCACTCATCTTTCTACTTGTCGGATGCTGTCTAGGTTTCTTTCTTTCGGACTGGTGGCCAAAGTGGTGCGCTCGTCGAAACAGGTATCTTCGAGCCAGAATTCCGCCTCATTCTTCTTCTTCCTGTGCTCCTGGTCGGTATCCCAGGTCTGTTTGGATTCGGGCACTACGTCAGTCATTCCGGAGAGAAATGGGTCGCTGCTTCTGCCCTCCAAGGATTGATAGCATTCGCAGCTGTATTGGCTGCATCTGTATCTTTCGGATATGTGCTTGATTGCCACCGTGATCATAGCATTGATGTCACTGTTTCCATCATCCTGCTTAGAAACATGTTCTGGTTCGGATCGTCGTACTTTCTTCCCGATTGGCTGGTTGCAGCAAAGACCTGGAAAGTGTTCGATGTCATCGGTGGTATTCAACTCGGTATTACTCTTTGCTCGTTTGTGATTTACGTGTTTGGAAAACAAATTAGGGACTATCTGCACAGGAACGACCCTTTGAAGATACTCGGTCTCGTGTGAAAAAATGTCTGATGAGTTGACATCAAAGATTTTGGTGGCACTTGTTGCGGCCGAGAATGCGTTGGAAGAGGGGAAACTTGGCTGCTGTAGTAGGTCGGCCGCATAGTTACGTCGCCCACTAGCTAGAGGTTGAAGGATGGATTCCAGTTGTATGAACCTTGATGTTAAGGTTTGTTCCAATCTTGTTGTGAATCCCCGTTTGTGGCTCTCGGCTGCGTTGAGGTCTTGATCAATCACGTGATTGTGGTAAGTCCACAATACACGCACACTTTCGTAGGTAGACCTCGTGGACGCTGTGCCACAGTGTTATCGCATTCAAATGCAACCGAGCGACCTTAATCGAAATGAAGAAGCAGTTCAGCCGACCAAGGAATACCAAGAGCTTGGAGCTCGCCTCCACAATCCTCTCCCGCCTCGCCAAGAATCATGACAAGAACACAGCCTCCGCTACGGGAACAATTTCTCCACAAGCCAAGTCCATCGTTGATGGTTGTTCGATTCAACCCTAAGAAATTCCATCACAGGCCAAGACTTCCGTTGATTATCATCCGAGTCAACCCTAAGATATTAGATATTTCTGATGCATGGTGACATCTGCCACATACGAGTCCTTGAAAAGTCTCGGTATATACTAGATACAGTTGGAGCTTCCAAGAACGTTTTGTCTATCCATACTCTCTTTAGTAAGCCGCCCAAGTGATATGAACCTCGCGCCCAGAAATGGCCAAGCAGAGGTGATGTGGACTCGGAGACAAAAGATGGGGTACTTGGGGAGTCAGACTCCCTCTTACTCCTTATATAGGTAGGACTCAAGGCTTCCCCATCAATGATCGTTTTGTCATTCTCGGAATTTCGCTCATTCAAAAAGATCAACGCCGCTATCATGGACAACAACTCCCAAGATGAAGAAAAGCCACAAGTTCACGACGAGCATGCTGACGACTCGCCTAGAGATTCAAAAGGAGAGGGCGGAGGTCATCATGGGCTCGCTGCCGTGAGTGCAAAGCTGAGGAATCCTCTTTATGCCATTTCAAAGGAGGATCTTCTAAGAGATGTAGAAGAGTTCGCTAAAGAAAAGGGACTTGAGGATCTTATCGACATGCTGAAGAAGGGGGCTCTGGTGGCTCAAGACCCTAAGCGCGTGCATGAGATACAAGAACTTAATGAGGAAGAGCGAAATTGGTTTCGGCTAGAGAAGACTCATCGATGGAAGCAAACTTGGATGATGTACTTTATGACCAGTGAGTCGGAATTCTTCGAATATGTTCCTCCCGTATCACCACCCCGCACACACAGATCACAGGGTCCAGAACTGGGAGCAACTGCTGATGGACGAATAGTTTTGTGCGCTGGCTCAGCGATAGTGCAAGGCATGGATCAAACAGCAGTGAACGGTGCTCAGATTTTCTATTTCGAAGAATTCGGCATTGGCGAGGACCAAGTATGGCTACAAGGACTTTTGAACGGAGCACCCTATCTTTGCTCTGCGCTCATCGGATGCTGGACCACTAAGCCGTTGAACTATTACTTTGGTCGTCGAGGCTGTATCTGGATCTCTTGCTTCTTTGCCTTTGTTACCGTAAGTTTAGCTCCTTGGCATGCGAAGTGTCGACTGATAGAAATGGCAGGGTATCTGGCAGGCCGCTGCGGATTCCTGGTACAATCTCCTCATTGCTCGATTCGGTCTGGGACTAGCAGTCGGAGCAAAGAGCAGCACGACCCCAGTATACGCCGCAGAATGTGCTCCAACAGCAATCAGAGGTGCTCTCACAATGATGTGGCAGATGTGGACTGCATTCGGCATCATGCTGGGATTCGTCGTCTCGGTAGCTTTCCAAAATGTGCGATACAACGCTGCGAATCCTCAGCCACCGTTTTGGAATTGGCGCCTGATGCTGGGAAGTACCTCGATCCCGCCATTATTGGTTTGCATGATGGTCTATCTCGTACCTGAGTCTCCAAGATGGTACATGACGAAAAACAAATATCGCAAAGCATATGAAGCTCTGGCACGATTCCGAAACTGTGAGCTCATGGCGGCAAGAGATCTGTACTATATCCACAAGAGCTTGGAGATTGAAGACAAGCTGCGGGAAGGTAAAAATCTCTGGAAAGAGTTCTTCGGAGTTCCTCGGAATAGGCGTGCAGCACAATCATCCTTCTTCGTCATGTTTATGCAGCAGGTAAGCGAGACAATAGTTTTCATTGAATCTCCAATTGACCATCTCCAGTTCTGTGGTGTCAATGTGATTGCGTATTACTCCACGCAGATCTTCATCGAGGCCGACTTCTCAAGGTCAAACGCCCTTCTCGTTTCGCTTGGTACCGGGATCAATTGGCTGTTCGCGATCCCGGCCATCTACACTATTGACACGTTTGGACGTCGAAACTTATTGCTTACAACATTCCCCTTGATGGGCTTGATGCTCCTCTTCACAGGTTTCAGCTTCTATATCCCTGCCGAGACGGCTCGCACAGCATGTGTAGCTCTTGGGATCTACCTCTTCATGGTAGTGTACTCGCCTGGAGAAGGACCTGTCCCATTCACGTACTCCGCAGAGGCCTTTCCCTTGTATGTCCGCGAATATGGAATGGCATTCGCAACTGCAACAACTTGGGGGTTCAACTTCATACTGTCCCTGAGCTGGCCAGCGCTCGTCGATGCGTTCACCCCACAAGGCGCATTCGGCTGGTATGCCGCTTGGAACTTCATAGGATGGGGCTATGCGTATTTCTGTCTTCAGGAAACCAAGGCGCTCAGCCTGGAAGAATTGGACACCGTATTCTCGGTGAGGGTGCGAGACCATGCGAGGTATTATTACGACATGCTTCCGTGGTACTTGAACAAGTACATCTTGAGGGGTGACGTGAAACCGAGGAAACCATTGTACGACCTAGAATAGATTTGAGCCTAGAGCTGATGATTGTTGAGATGATCCGGGAGATTGATCAGAATTACCGGGGGGATGTTGTTGTTGAAGGTTTTGCATACAGAGATTCGTAATGGCTGTGACGAGCTCAACCAATCGAACGATTTATTTCAAATCTAAATGCGTAATAATTGTTTCGGATACTTGGGCCTCGTTTGCCGGGTAGACTTAGCTATCTTATAGCAAACATGCAGAGAGGCTTTGAATCGCTCAATCGACGGGCACTCAAGAATGGAGCCCAGGTCATGTGACCAGATCGGCGTAACGTTGCCTGATGATCCGTACCTGTGAAGGCACCGGAACGCTGACACGTTGTTGCGTCTCGACATCTTACACAATTGAAGATTCTTAGCTCATATGTAGCATCATATTCTGTGCATGCATTGATCTCGAGTCGATATTCATCGCTCATGGCGACAACACGATGGGCGCTTCGTTCGCAAACCTCGCTTGTTGAGCAGTTCGTTGGCCAGTCTCTGCATGATATACCCCTACCAGCGGCAGTATTGGACATCGCCAAAGTCAGAAGAAACTGTGCGAGGATGTTGGAGGCAGTAGACGAGTTAAATTTTGACTTCTTGCCCGAGGTTAGCAGCCACAAGGTAGGTGTGTGGCGTCCTCCCGCTTGTAGCTCACAAGTCAACAAAACTGACATTGTTCATCTTGACTCAGACAACCGAGATAACGCGCCTTCAATTAGGAGCCAACGCAGAGGAAGTCAGAGTTTTGGTGACAAGCCTGTGGGAGGCAACTAAACTTCTGCCTTTATTGCTTGACTATCAGATTACCGGTGTTCAAGTCAATGTAGGTCGCCTCTTCTCGTAGCATGACTCGAAAATATTTGGGCGCTATTGACATGTATGGTAGATTACTTACGGCGTCCCCCTGACGCCGTCCCAGGTTGAAGACGCTGCAGAAATCTCGAAGCAACTTGGTAGACGAGGCGGTAACATCCGATTTCTTCTAGATCACATCTCCCAAGTTGATCTTGTGGAGCAAGTAGGTGAAACATCAGGATATCCGCCTCGTGTCTACATTCTTGTCGATATTGGTGATGGCTTCTCAGGAGTTCGTCCAGGAACACCGGAATTCCGCCAACTGTTCTCTCGGATTGAACAGATCGTACTTAGTCAAGGATCCCAATCCCTAGCCTTTGTCGGCTTTTATAGTGACATAGCATTCCCAGACGAGTCATCCGACCTTGTCTCGCACCTGAGACTTCTTGACCGACAATTGGCCATGTTATTACATGCCTCTCCAATTGAAGTCCTCAGACTGACTGTGCGCGCACCACCAAACCTGTGGCTTTCATTGCATGCAACGGAAGAGCTGTCGTCAAGAGAACTTTCGAAACTGAAACATACGCTTGTAGCAACGAGCGAAGCCAATCATGCGATCGAGGCGCACAGTGGAGATTACGTAACTCTGGACCTTCGAAGTTTGGTCCACAATTCGCAAGCAACTTTTGATGGCACAGCTGCTCTCATGTATGACGATATAGCGTTGACAATTTTAACTGAGGTATCAAGCTTGTACCCTAGACGTGGTGAAAATGGACGTTTGGAAGCTTTCATCTCTGTCGGCGGTTCAGCATTCCAGGACGGAGTCGGATGCGGAGGCGTGGTAAGCCAGTGGAACATGAAGTCAAGATCCGCTTTAAATACGGATTCCAGTTGTGAATGGGAGATCAGCCGCTGTCGTGGAGATTCTGCTGTTTTAGTCTGGATTGGAGAGAACGAGCCAAGTGCAGACTCTCTGGTAGGTCAACGATTGAGAATATATCCGTACGATGCCAGTCGTGCAGGTGACAGGTTTGCATGGTATTATGTAGTAGATTCGAGTCGACTTGGCAGAGAGGACGAGATTGTCGACATTTTCGTGCGATGGAGGGGATGAGACGAAGTCTGAGTAGCTGGTGCAGCATTGTTTTGCTGGTAGAAACGCGCCGAGGACGAATATGTGTAGAATATATCAACGCCCCCCCTCTAGGTGTGTCTATGGGCAATCGCTTCTCATATCCTCACTTTCAACATTGGGTGCCGAGGACTAGATGCTTCTAAGTGGAGGAATGGCATCGTTGTTCGAAAGCTTTGTTTGTATGCTCGAAATGAGGTCTACGTATGTCGGTTTGATGAAGTTGAATGATAGCTACATGATACATACCAGAATGTGTCATTAGCTCTGTAGAGTCCCGTTGACGGCGATGCGATTTACAAGTCGAAACGCCTCCAAGTAAAATCTTGGCAGATGCGTTTGCAGTGTCCAGACTCAGCTGTGGCACGCTCTAGCCTGGCACCTAGCTCGCCATTCTGAACTTTCCATGTTATGTTGGGAAACAGAGAGTGTTTTGTAAATACAGCTTCAAAATATCGTAATTCGATGTCAGAATTCATGAGTTGCGATCAATGAACTTGGTTGATTCGTTGATAGAGGAAGACGCGTCGTTTGAAGAGAGGTGAATAGACCCAACTTTTCCTAGCGCGCCAACATGTGATGAGGCTATGCACAGACCAGGCTAAGGACTTGGAATTTAGCACGAGAGTCCCATCAATGTCACAATTGTGTAGACCGGCAGCATTATGTCAACAGAGGCGTCATTTGCATTGGTTATCAGCTCTGCTTTGTTACCACCACCTATGCATCCGTCAAATAACCTCCTCTGAGCACCGCCTCCTCGATCAATAGGTTCCCTCGCGAAGCGCGCCTCCAACTACGAGATTCCAAAAGGACCCAATATCCCATAGTCGATGCGCAGGCTCTCGAAGACTGCCCCAGCATTCTCGTACTCGAAGACATCAGCGGCTCCCAATCTGCCAAGCCATTTCTCGTTGGTTATGTTTGCGCAGTACTGGCCCAATACATCAAGATATACTTTGAAGGCCGCCCATTTATTGCCGGGATTCTTTGTAGAGACTGGGCCAAGGAGGGCAGCAGCTCCGATCATGGAATTGTTTGTCGCGCTCTCGTTGAGTGTCTGCTCGCAATTGTGCATCAAGTCTAGGATATACTCTTGCTGAATGAGCACATCCGTTCTGTTGCCGGCCCGGCCCACATGCCCCCCAATATAATGGTCGAAGTCGTACTGCAATATTTGGTCATGGGCTTGGTAGTATGCCGGAATATTCTTTGCTTCTCCTAGACTGGCGAATGGGAGCCAGCCGGGAAAGACAACGTCGATAAGGACGAGGACTTTCTGGACACGAGCATATATGAAGATATTTCCGGCCATGTGAGCTTCACCCAGGTATGCCAACTCTAAAGTCTGGTTTCCAACATGCAATGTACGATTGTGTAAGAATGTCTCTGTTGGCAGTGGTCGATTGGGGTCGGGCGTCATGAGCAAGTGTCTCTCTGTTTCCGCATGAGCGATTATTTTCACTCCCGTTCCAAAGAGGTTAGCTCCTCCAATATGGTCTGCATGGTAGTGACTGTAGATCAAATGGGTAACCTATCAGAGTCGGAGTCAGCATGTTCCTTTTCCATTCATGATGGGATGCTTTAGCTGGTCGGCACAGTACGATGCCACGGCCATCCTTAGACTTGCTCAATTGTCCATTTCATTACGCACTGTTCCGCTGGAGGGTGTGTACTCACTGGGGTCGAGGTTATATTCCCAATCGCGTAGAGCATGCGGTGGCCAATCGTAGGTGGGCTGTCAACCACCACGACACCTTTGGTGGAGACAAGGAAGAAAGCTGGTGCTAAGGTTGAACTTTTGCATTTGACAAGATTGGATGTTCGTACCTTGGTACATGCCGTCTGTCACCATGTATGCTCCACCACCAAACGACTGTACAGCATATCCTTCGGGTCTAAGTGGAATTCCCACCGCAGTTGATGGGATAGGCGCAAACTGAGGATCAGAATCGATTGTGTCTCGTCCATGAAGTCCGTGGAGGCCACATGCCAAAGAGGCAGCAGCGAAACTAAGAACAGAAATTATCAAACTTTGACGCATTGCAAAGAATCCAAGGCTGATGACTCTGGAAAGTAGGAGCCTTGTGTGATGCTATTGTTATTCCATGGCGGCTTCATTCTGTTAAATAGATCTGAATTGTATTTCGAAGACAATTGTTGATTCCACAGTATCTCATGCACTGTCATGAACAGTGAATGATTTCCATTCCATTACCAATGCTTTACAAGCAGCCCGATGTTGTGCATCTTAACCCATTTCAGACCATCAAATTTCTGGATTGAGAAACAGCACTCTAGAGCAGCCATCCTTTCGTGTCGGCCTTCCAAGACCCGACTCTCCAGATGGAGAAGTTGCACTTCATTGGATATGAGAGCAATGCGGCCGTCGAACTAAGCTGATTGGTCACCAAAGGTACATGCATTCAGTCAGCTGGGCCCCAGCGCAACAAAAAGTTGTTCGTCGATTACAAAGCTGACGGTATGTCGGTATCCAATTTCCGTGAGCTTCAGATCGTGACCTTGTAGATATTCACCTCCATCGGTAGTTCGTTGATTACTATTCACTCAAGTAAATTACAGTCTGAGATCTGGGGAACATTAATCTTTCCTTGTTGTCGGCTCTCGTACTCAAAGTGTTGTCACGTGAATGAAATTTGGAATCTCTTACAAAATCATCAAATCCAAGTTGAGGATGATGTTCAAACCATTTACCGCTAAGTGAGCAGCTTCGACCAGATCATGGCATTTCTAAAATTGGTTTGTGGCATTCCCATTATGCATATCTAATCTCCCTGAGGAAACCATGTCACCTTGAAAGCGACCATCGCATCGTCCCATGCTGTACGAAACGCCCCGATGTCCTTGCAGCTCCCTATCAAGATGCCCTGGTCACACATAGGTGAAGCTCTCGTTCCACGGATATTCAGCCTCAGCAGTTTGCACTTCTCGGGCTCTAAAGTCCTGAAGTCTTCGCCGGAGAACCTCGAGGTTGATCTAGGACAGCTGCTCAATAATGCTATACAATCATGCTGTGCGAACAAAGATTTGCACAACAAGACCGAGGACGATCCCGGGAAACCGAGCCCAAACTGCCCCGTCAAACAGAGTCTCAAAGCATCTCGTACTGCGAGGTCTATACCAAATTTCTCGTCAGATGGATAAATTCCACATATTGATTGGTTATACCGTCGGGTGGGGTAGACAGAATAAATGGTAGCGAGTGTAACACAGTAGGCTGCGGGATGCTTATGGCATGCATGTTGTGCTTCGGATGATGGTGTGTTCGATATGAGGATATATACCCGATATCAATCATGCAACAAATAGAGAGTCATTCCATGTCTCAAACCAACCGAGTTGATACAGAGCCAACACAAATGTCTGCAAAAGACGCATCAAAAACGGCAATTGAACCAACCCTCGACGAAGCGATCAAAAACAGACACTCAACTCGAAAATTCCTCCCGACGCCCATTCAGCAAGATCTTCTCATCACAGCCCTCCAATTCGCCCAACTCTCACCCTCGAACTCCAATATCCAGCCCTGGCACCTCACTGTAGTCTCTGGCCAACGACTCATCAAGTTGAAAGCTGCGCTGAACGCCGCTGCCACAAAGACCAACCCAAATATTCCTCCTCTCCCAGACACCTTCAGTCACTTCCGCACTGAACTCGGCTACCAAGTCTATGGCGTTGGTATGGGCATTGCGCGCGAAGACCGCGAATCTAGACGTGAAGCTGTATTGCGGAACTATGAATTCTTCGGGGCTCCCGTAGTAGGAATTCTGTGTATGGACAAAAGGCTTGGGGCAGTGGATGCAATGGGTGTTGGGATGTACTTGCAGACATTGCTACTAGAGCTCACGAAGGTCGGACTTGAGACTTGTGTCGAGGTTAGCGTCGCTGGTTATCCTGAAGTGTTGAGGAGTGAGTTGGGTATTGGGGATGAGTTGGACATTTTGTGTGGTGTTGCGATTGGGCTTGAGGATGGGGAGTTTAGGGCGAATGAGTTGAGGATTGCGAGGCAGCCGATTGAGAAAAATGTTGTGTTTTTGGAGAAGTGAAGTGGACGATTTATCTTCCGGTGTTTACTTTGAAGCACATTCTATCAATTTGGAAGCGATGCGATGGCCACGTTATGGTCGATCCTTGCACAGATGAAGGCTTTGAAACAGTATGTTACATTTTTCAGATCGCAAAGGTAAGGAGAACATGCTTAAAAAAAGCTCTGTTATCAATGATGCTAATTAATGCGTGCAAAATGATGCACTGCTTCGGAAACGACTCTGAGCGGTTACCCCGCTATTACCCCGCCTATTTTCCGTAGACGAAAGCAATCTTGGCTTTGCGCTGAAGCTACAGGCTTCTAACGCTGTAAGCTCCGGAACCCTTCAGTGCCCTCGTCACCAAGTCCCATGGTCTGAAACAAAGATTTTTTCTGATCTTTCAATCACTCTAGGGATATTCAGATGAGCCAATTGGTTATTATTTTGCTCCACTTAGTCTAGCCATCTTTCATACGATATCTGTCTAGGCATGCTAGAAAGTGTAACAGGCGCTCATTCAGGTTCTTTAGTTGAGTGCCTTCTCTTTTCGGAAACGCTCACCTCCAGGCTTCAATAAGTCCACTTGCTCTGTAAGAACCTTTCCCAGCTCGCAAGAGCGACTATTAAGATCGCGACAATGACAGGTTACCATTCTTCACTCATAGTTCTTGCCGCTCATCAAGTCCTGCACTTCATTTGGGACCCCAAATCCAGTCCTCACAACAGCCCCATTTCTCAATACTCCATACTTCACAACCAGATTCTTCAACTCATCGGGAATAGCATCGCCGCCCAGAGAAGCGTTAACCGTCATGTCGTCCAAGATCTGACTTCCTTTGGTGGTGCATAACAACTGTGTAAAGCCTCCGCTGCTTGCTGAGACACCATTCCGTACCAATGCAAGGACACCAAGAATGATGAAAACAACTGACCCAACGAGTATAGTTGCGTATGGGATGATTAATTTTGCCGGATATTTGAAGCTGTATCGATTGACGTACTCTCCTGTCGTTACCTCAGTCCAGACGTCTTGGTTTGACAGAGTGAGCATCGAGATCATTGTGTTTTCCAGGTAAGATTGAAGGATATCAGCATCGAGCGTAATGGATACAGTATCTACACCAGATGCATCATACGTGAATGACGCCATCGGTGTATTTAGAATGACTGTCTGGGTTATCACTGGATCTTCGGTATCTATGTGTTGTTAAATCCAAAATTTGAGGAGCAGTGTACACTACGAACCAAATCAGGCTAACTTTAGCTTCGCTCGCATCCATTCGAGTGCATCGCCAGTGAAGCGTGAGATATCTTCCCACTTCTTCGACAGCCATTCGGCTGCATTGGAGATGGTGGAGTGGCCGTGATCGTCAGTTTCAAAGACAACTATTAGATCAGATCCTTGGAAGTCTTTTCCAATCATCGGTTTTGCATTACCGTCTAGGGCCATCACCATTGACGGAAGGTTCTTGAATAGCTCTGCACTGGCTTCAAACCCTTCTTTGTTCTCTTGCTACTCTGCATCACTGAATACGGGAGTCCCGTCCACAGAACAAGCTTTCGCGAAGTCGTCTGCAGACTTTATGGCGCAAAGTCGTTCGATAACTCTGTCCAGCATAGACTTTGTTGGTAGCCAACTTTTCGTTAGAGTGACGATGCTTACTTAACTCATGGAGTTAGTGTGGACCATAGTTGGCTATATGGTTAGAGTGTATGTCTTGTCGTTTATTGTGATGAAGATAGGTTCGGATTGTAGCTCTACTAGGAAACCTTTGTCTGCAGGTTCCCCTTTGCTGTTTTTGATCGCGATTGTAGTGACAAACGCGGGGAAAGTGCGAAGTCTCGATGGCGACTAAAATATCGACAAGAGTAGTAGAAATGCCGCTAACGTGGTCTTATATTTTAAGCTTTTTATAAGATAAGAAAAGTAGCGCTTTATAATTCGTTTTATTGTTTTTTAAAACACATGAGTAAATCTTTATTATTCTTATTTAATTAATAATACAAAAGCTAAAATAATGAATTTCTAATAATTTTTTTTTAAAAAAGTGTCACGGTTTTGTGATATTATCGGGTATATCACGTGAGATGTTTCATTTAGTGTTTGAGCTAGTGCTGAGGATTCAGCTTATCTGGCCTCAGCACTCTTCCACTCTTTTAGTTCTTTGTCTATTATTCACAGATTAGTGCGTACGTCTTGATACCTAGTCCAGAGTGCGTGGCTGTCACAAAAAGCCGATATATAGTGAATTTATTTAAAACTATTTAGACGGATTTTATTAGCGTGAAGACGGAGGGTATATAATCCGGCCTCCGTCCTCCGTCTTCCTTAGATAACTTTCAAAAGACTCCATGGAGTAACCATTGGTGTGTTGGTGTGTGGAGCTAGGTGTGTAGAGCCATGTGTGTGGAGCCGGGGACGTGGAGTAAAATATAGAATTCTAAAGTGTATTAGATTGTGGTGTTAAATTTGCTTAGATGTAATTACAAATTGTTGATAGCAAGAAATTTAATAATAATAGAAGATTTGTTAATAACAAAAATTTATTAATAACAGAAAAGGCCCAGTAGCCAAAGAATCGGCGCCATCTTGAAGCTTTCCAGCGATATCAGCTTTATTGGATTAGACTGCATCGAAAACAACGCGTCGATAGTAGAGATTTTCGCAGGGGTTGTCCGAAGTTTGTTCCACAAGATTTGCGTATAGCACGAACCTAGCGCAATTCCCACACATATGCTGAAAATTTTGACGATCGCAGTCGACACTGTCGTGACCCAGGACTGAGGAATCCTGGAAGTTTCTTGCCCATTGTTGAGGTATTGAAAGAAGCTATAGTGACCTATTGCTGAAGCTGTGGCTGCGCTGATGTTAGCACAATATCATGTTCAATTTGTCACACTCACCAATTGTCAAACTCGCAGCTATTAATGACGGAGTAAGCCATCCGATAGAAGACCTCTCGACCATGCTTCTAAAGACAGTTTCTCCATCGTCGTCCGAAAGTTCCTCAGTATGGACTGGCTTGAAATGTGGACGCATCACTGCGTGGATAATCTAAGCAGCTTTGATGAGGCGAGAGTGGGATTGTGATTCGGAAAGGGGAAGGAAAAGAGGGAGGAGAAATATAAGAAAATAGAATGCAAGAGGGGAGGAGCAGGAAAGAGATTGTTACAACTACTCTACCACTCAATATTTCGTGTGGAAACCCTAGTTCTCATTCAGCAATGGCGCGAATGCAGTCTTTAAAACAAGGTAGTGGCCTGTGGCTAAAAAGTCTAGACTTTCTAGAATAGACTTTTGAGGCTGAGGCTGAGGCAGTGGCGTCACCTACGATAACCATATCGCAATGCATTGGCCACAATTCTGCATCTGCGTCCATGAGGTGGTGCTGCGGCTGAGAACTTTGTTTTTCCCGGTGCCACGAGCCGGGCCAGAACTTCTGTTTAGTGGCGTTGTGCCGTGAAGGAGTGCATTAGCGATTTGGTTCAAGCTCTATTGACCACTCAAAGTGGAATACAAGTATTGTTTGGGAGGGACACTAAGAGACACTTTTCTGAAACGGTAATGACTGGTCTGGACGTGTGGTATGCTGAACTCATTCTTTTCTGGAAGCAAGTTAGTGAATATCGTTGTGCTCGGCTCGGAGAAAAACCCTTGATCAGAGGAAGGTGAGAGTCGACCATATCTAAGAAAACGACGATGATAGGTGTCCTCAAGGATCTCTGAAATAGAAACTAGACGTTTCAAGGAGCATCGTATGGCGGAGGACAAGAGTAAGGAGCGAAGAGCGAGAGAGAACCAGAAAGTCCGGCTTGATAAAGGACGAAGATAGACTAGGGCTGTGACCAGGTCTGATATTCAGAACTCATACAATAGTTTCGAGTACATGAAATCGGCGGGGTTACAATGGCAGTCTATCGAGAGCTGACCAGACGGCAACTTCTAAGGGGAATAAGATTCTGGGACAATCCGAGAGGTACATTACATTGATTTAATGAAGATTAATGATGATTCTGGATACATACCTGCTCAAATACAAGAAGCAAAAGAGGAATCATGTCCTTGGAACACTTCAAAGCTTCGGAATTGTTGTTAAATTGATTGGTGCTTGCATGACCGTCGTCCTCATCTCTGACTGTTGATGTGTTTATGGTTGCTTCTGTGACAGAGAATAATAGTTGTCGATGATGGAAGAAGGAGTTTTCAAATATACATGTCTCGGCCTTAGGACGGCCCGAGAGTGTTCACATGACAGTTGTCTCATAATCTTTCCAGGAACCAGGAAATAATTGTTTCAGATCGCCATAGTCAAGCACTACCAGCACGAAATCTGTATTAATCATTCATTTATCTTTACGTATGAGCTATTCTGCTAGGTCGTACCTCGATACCTGTTACACGTGACCGTTTCATCGCCCCCAAAATGAGGCTTAGCTCCGAAGGCACGTCTGCCTTTCATAGCATGCATAGCCTTTCTCCGCACCTGAGTCACCCAGAGCCCAAGCTCACCAGTGAGGCTGAGAGCTGAAAGCAGAGGTATGCAAGAACAGATCACTCTACGGTGATGTCCTATTTTGCAACAGTTTTCTGTCAAACCAGGAGGGTCAGCGATTGAACTTTGCAACCCGTGAAGAATGGAGACGTCTGGGATGCCCTATGTATACTCTTCTCTCGAAGGCGAACATGGAGAGAGACATATCCGAGTTCTCAAACTTCTCTCCAAAGGAGATGAGCCACGACTTAGGTGTTCTCTCGAGATCATTGATCTCAACGAATCACCCGTTTACGATTGCCTGTCCTACACATGGAGCGATCCGCTCTACCACGAGCTCTCTGCAGGATATCCCTTGGACATCAGGACAACAACCGGCGATCTCGACCACGAGATTGAGTGCGATGGCAAAATGATACCAATTACCGAAAATCTCGAAGATGCATTGTTGCAATTCAGCAAGACTGGATTTATCTCCAATTCTGTGGACGGTCGAGCAGAGAATAAAGATGGCCTTATATGGATCGATGCGATCTGCATCAACCAAAAGAATGATGCAGAGAAAAACGATCAGATACCTATGATGGATGAAATATACACTGGAGCAAGAAGAGTTATTGCGTGGCTAGGGAGATGTGATGAGCATGTTCATCCTGCCCTCGAAATCATCCAAAGATTCAAGTCCATCCCTCCGGAAAAAGGCAAAGTCACAATAACAGACCTTGAAGGTCCTGAATACGAATCTCTTTTCGGGAGTCCGCCAATCTCGTCCCAGCAGTGGAACGACTACGCAGCATTCATTCAGCGAGCATGGTTCAACCGCGTATGGATTATCCAAGAGGCATTTCTGGCCAAGCATATCGACGTGCTTTGCGGCCCACATGTACTTTCTTGGAGACATGATTTCTGGGACGTAGCAAAGTTTCTCAGAGACACGAATTTGGGTACTTTGCTCATGGAGCAAGCTGATGGGACTGCTCATCCAGATCGTAAATCGACGGCTTATGTCAACAACAGTCTCAACAATCAATACCAACTTGAGGTTATGAAGGCGCAATCGGCAAAGGAACCACTGTCTCTCGAAAAGCTCCTAGTCTACAGCCGCTACTTCCAAGCTGGACAAGCACAAGATCATGTCTATGGCTTGCTTGGTATCTGGAAGTCTTCGAACAGAACGAGCAAATTGCCTCCTGATATGATGATAGATCAAACTCTGGATCGAGATGCTGATGATTTCGTTGCTCGTGTCTTCACAAAGTATTCTTGGGTTTCGATTCGGAACACGCAGGACCTCAATGTCCTGTCACTAGTTGACGATCCAGCTACTCGAGAACAACATCACCTACCTTCTTGGGTCCCAGGCTACAGTGTTGGATTTCATGTTCATCCTCTTGCCGGCGTCCCACGACCCGAGCCTGGAAAGGAGCGTTGGAATGCGAGTGAAGGGCTTCCACCATTCGAAATACCAACTTCGGACTCGGAAAGATTATCAGTCAAGGGCATCCGATTCGATACGATCGACGAATTCGCAACTACATACTCCGGAGTCATGGATCAATATGACATCAATAGCTTGCTGGAACTCGTTGCTCGCTACCCAGGAGAGAAGTATCCATCTGGATGCACATCCCTGGAAGCTTTCTGGAGGACTCTTATCAAGGATACGTTTTGTGGCACTCCAGCTGGCGCCGAGGCTCGAGCCGCATTCCAGTACTTGATAGCGGGCTGTGTGGGACACTTGGAAGATGCATCTGAAGGTTTAGAAGAAGATGATGTCGACAACACAGCTGCGCTTTCAACCCTGTTGGACAAGACAAAAATTACTATTAAACAAATCAGCAGGAAGTACAATGACACTGTGGTGCCAGATGTGGAAGAGATCAATGATATTCTTGAAAGGGTAGGGACTCTAGATCCTGATTCGGACGAGAAGAAGAAGCTGGATCGAGATTTCGATGATATATCTGAGAGTTTCAGAATTGCATATTCTTGTCGAAGACTCTTCAGGACAAAGAAGGGCTATCTTGGTATTGCGGCCGAGTCACTTGGGACAGGTGATTCTGTTTGGGTCTTGGCTGGTGCGGCGGTACCTTTAGTCTTGAGACCTGCTGGAGATGGCTGCTGGAGGCTGGTTGGAGAAGCTTACATTCATGGCATCATGAATGGAGAGGTAGGGAGAATGATTGGTAAAGAGCTTGAGCAGATTTCGCTAGTTTAGGTATTCATGCGATGGAATCAAGATCATTTCCATTCTCTTCAACTCTCCTTCCAGGAAAAGAAACAGCAGCGGTTACTTCAGTGCCACTCGAACATGCATCCAATAGTGATTTTCTATCATTAAGTATACTACATTAGAATTAAAAGATTGCCCGTCCAACACGTCTCCTCCAAACTCCTCCACGAATCGACACGTCTAAAAAGAATCCGTCTAGTCTACAAGCGGGCCGGGACTCGTCTTCGTAGTCACCTTCGAATTACTCACTGGACAAACACCCTTCAACAACGCTTGACTACCCACACTGACCCCAGCATTCGATCTTGCCTGACAGGGCTGTCCACCCGCACACTTCGCATTACCGACCACACACTCAAGCTTACATACCCCTGAATCACAAATCGTGCCTCCAGTACAAGCGGCAGCAGACTCAATAGTACAAGACGTCACAACAGTATTCTTATACCGCTGGAGAGCGAACCCATCTTCTAAGCCATCGTTCAGATATGTCAAGGAGGAGATCGAGGAGCTGTTCAACGCTGCAAGGTAATCGCTGATATTCGTTCTCGCTCCTGCAGAAGATGATGACGGACCAACGAAATCAGTCGTGTTGGTACCAGTCGTAGCAAATCCAGTTGAGCCTTGAACACACAATGAAGGAGTCGACCAGATAGCATCGGCAGTGTACTGCCATAGAGCGGTATAATTATAGATCGTCTTCGGCGTATAGAATATCCTGCAATCGGCAGCCTCGTATGCGAACTGCAAAGGGATTGTCTCATTCCTCCTGACCTGGTCCCTCAAATTGATATCTGCATATGTGACGAAAACATCCATCGCAGTGGTACGGTTTGGAAGGAAGTTCTGCTCAGGAGAGTTGTCGCTTTGCAGGATCTGCTGGGCAAAGTCGATGTTGGCGTCGAGGATTGAGACGTCGTAGTCGCTAGCCCCACGACTGCCACTCGGTGCTTGCATGGGACCAGTTGTTGGGAGACCGCCTGCTGCTACGACACGGACACCGGCTTCATGGTGCATCATCTCCATAAATAGCGCACATGAGGAGTCGCAGATGCCGTCAGAAAGCTATTCCGTGTTAGGATTTTAGAGCATCAAGCTCGAGAATGTAGTTGCTTACCAAGACAATGTCTTCAGCTGCCCAAGGTGGGCTTGCATTTGCCGGCGCTGGGTTGGCACCGTATCCGTACACTGCAAAGCTGAAGTTTGTATTCGTAGCTGCGTCGTCGAATAAGATGCTTGAGAGATTGTAGCGTTGCTTTGCCCCACATTAGCTCACCTTGTCGACGTCGTTGATATGAAACTTACCACAGTAGTGAAGTTATCCCCGTTGTAGAGATGAGGGCCAAAGAACTCAGCCCAGGATGTGAAATTTTGGTTTGTGTTTGCATTGATGAGATCTGTAGCCACCCACTCATCACCAATCAAGGCATAATAATCTTCGTCCGTGGTATTCAAGCTCTGGAAATAGCCCGTAATTGTGTTTCCCATCACATCTGCTGAAGGATGTGCGCGCATTCGGGAGCCATCGAAGGGATCGATATTCGGAAAGAATTGCTTGAATGTGTCGATGGCAAGGAGAGGTTGTCCACCTGTATTTTGTTGTAAATCGATGACAACTTTCTGAAGGCCAGCTGCTTTGCTGCGAGTGATAAAGTCGCTGATGGTGCTCTGGAACGTGTTGAGCGCAGCGTCATATTCGTCAAAGCTGGGGATGCTGAGTACGGAAATTGAGGTGGAGTTGAGAAAGTATCCTAATTGAGAATTGAAGTCAGCAGGTACGCTCGTCTAGAAGTTCGTAACTTTGTCGTCAGACGCAGGATTGGCTCTGGTCGATAGATGTCAGTTGATGAAGAACTGAACTCACCAGAGATATAACCTCCACCATAGGTCCCCAGATCTGTCTGTACGACATCAGGGGTATCAGGGTAAGCTGTATTATTCCAATTTGACGGTGTTGCGGCAGCCGAGGAAACAACAGTCGAGGTAGCTGTAGCCGTGGCAGATGGGACCACAGAAGAAGAACCAGTAGAATCATCAGACTCGTTGAAGGAAGCAGGATAGAATCCAAGGACGAAGAAATTGTAAAAGTCGCCTCCAGTTTCTAAAGGACCTGTTGGTCCTGGGTCGTTATAGACCGCTTGAAAGTTGTCTGTGTAGGTAGTTCCGTTCTCAAGGACCGTCGTTATCGTGTCCCCGGGATAGAATGTCGCCCCTCCACTGAAAACGTCGAAGTAACCCTGAATGTCGAGTGCTGCACTCAGCATGAGCTGGTTCCAGTCGGCATTTTTCTCCAAAGTTCCGATCGAGTTTTTGGAGGCGAATTCCATCAAGTATGTAGTAGCATTGACGCCGTTGATCGTCTTGATTGCTGATGGCTGATAAGTCGTGAAATACTTGCTCTCGAATAGATCAACTGTCAAGTCTTAGAATTTGTTTCACCTAAATAGAGGTTTAAGGTTCGGACGTACATGCAAAGTAGACTTTAGGCAGCTGAATCCCATCGATCGAGAGAGACACAATGTCATATGGACTTGCAAATGTGAAAGCCGATAAAATACCAGCGAACAGATTGACATGTGCGTCATGAGTTGCATACAGAAGAGTTTGTAAAGCCGCCTCGAATTCATATTGATTCGGGAAAATTCCATTGTTTATGCCATCTTGTAGATTTTGGAGACCTAACAGCAAATCGACACCGGGTTGCTGGTAACTTGTTGGTGGATTCCTTAGATATGCCAATGTGCTTTGGAATTGAAGAGTATCATTATAGTATGCAAGAAAGCGAGTCGCAACAGCAGGATTGAAAGGAACACTTGTGAGGCACTCGTATGCTAGACTGGCGTTGAAAACATAAGTATCTATTCAGATGTTAGAGAAGTCGCTCTAATTCACTTTTGCCAGTCTCATTACCAGGATCATTAACTATCGTTCCGCAAGCTGTTGACTGAGCTGGGGCAGCTGAAGTTGAAGTTGCTGGCAGAGCGGACGAAGTACTTGCAAGTAAAGACAGACATAGTAATGAAAAAGACTTCATCTTGGTTATTTGCGCGAACGATGCAAAATGCCGAGAAGGACAAAATAACGAGTGTGGAGAAAGAAAGGACGAGAAAACTCTGAAGTTGTAAGGTCACAAAACATAAACATCGAAATTTTTGTCATCAGCTCAGATCGGGCTTTGAATACAAGGGTGGGTGGTCAGCATGCATGCATACTACCTTTTCGTGCCACAACGCTTTAACATATGACAAAATGCTGCCAATGAAAATGAAGCCCTGCACCGAAGGCTGACATGCATTGACGTTGGGAAGAAATTTTATTCGACGAGACACGAGTTACTGCATTCGGTGAGCAAGGGAAGTAACACTCCACGAAAAGACAGACCACCAGGGGCTCAGCCGCAGCGAGCTACTGCAAGACGGAGATTCTGCATCACCCGTTGACTCTTGCGTCCACAGGGCAGAGACACCTTCAGGTACGAGAATCGCATTCACTCTCACCCAACGACTGCGTTCCCGGCGAGTAAGGTATTCATATGAGTCCTCTTTTCGTATTCACCGAGGACCCTTTAGTTGCCATCACACCACGACCAGATGCTGATAATTCATGTTCTAGTTAATTATAGCAGCCCGCAACACGGCCAGGGCCGTCTTGGCGGAAATGAAGTGGCTTCGGTAAGGCTGAGTTTGATGTTGGGGGCTGGAAATGAGGCCAGTCAACACCCTTGTGCTTTGACATGTTTCAATTACGAGAAGAAAATTGTGGAAGGATAAAGTCCGCGAAATGAAGGGGTAATCGCGGGGAATGGCTTGAATGGTCATCGATGTGGATAGATATGAACTCATAAACAAGAAATTATATTGCATAAGTAATGGGTTAAAGAACGCGAGTGTAAAGGACTCGGAACGTTTAGAGAGGATCTTTTCCGCTCACCAGGTTCCGGGTCAAACTTACCGCAGATCTAGTGAAATCTGTAGTCTCGCCAAGCTCCAATGAGCTTGGGAATTGGCGCTCGCCACATGACGGCAGGCCAAACTGGCATTTAAAGTTTACAAAGCACGCGCTAGAGTGCCAAGATACAGAGCAGCCAAGAACTTCCCGGAAGGAGCGAGGTATTATTGGTTGATATGGGACCTCCGCGGCTAAGCAGAGAAGTATTGAGAAGAACTTTCTACCACGACACAAAGACTTCGTCAAATGCTGACGTGATAACAAAATCACGAGAACTGAGGTGAACAGAAATGATATGAATGACGGTGAAGGCAATAAATGTTATTTCAAGAAAAGCACCAATCAGAAGCTGGCGTTCCAACCTGGCCAGCATTGGCGTGGGGGCTATTCGATCGTCGAAAGCCCGGCCTTTATCCTTCTGCCAATTTTGGTCGAGACATAGGCCAGAATGAGTGAGGAAGGGAGATCTTTTCAAGTCTCTTCCATAGCTCCCCAGGGTTATCTTTCGTGAAATTGACGGTAACCTGCTTACTCGCAACGAAGCCAAATTGTTCGTACAAGGCTTTCCCATCTCCCGAGGCATCCACATAAGCTACCATCTTTTGTTCGTCCGCTTTACTCACACCCCATGCGAGAAGTTGACTTCCTGCACCTTGTCGTCGAAAGTCGGGGTGGACGAAACAAAGGTTCAAATCTGATTGATCCTCGTCAGTTACGGCTTTCGTGCCTCTGCAGCATAGCAGCCGCATTTTACTCACATGCATGAGGCTTGCTCATGAGTCGGATACGCGGCTGCATAAGCTCGTGTCACCAACGGGTCGTGAATTCTCTGCCTTCGCCCTGTGGCCACCAAGTACATTCTGGCAGCGGCTTACCGGTGTAAGGATCCGATTCGAAGAATATCCACAGAGCAGCACCTACCAACCGGTCTGAATGAGGGTCGATAGCCTTAACCCAGTGACTGAATGGGTTGGATCTGTGATTGTGAATGATGCGACTGGTAGCCTCTTTGATTGCTTGCTGGCGCGCATCTGGTCCTGTGCCAAGGATGGGGTAGAATAAATCCCGGAATGCATTTCGGGGATGTTCGAAGGAAATGAACTCGACTTCTACTAGTTCGTGAAACTCGGAATCAGAGACGATCTCGCTGATCCGAAAAGACATCGTGGGGGATCAGTGACAAGTAATGGGGGAAAGGGAAATAGGTTCGGTGAGATTGAGCTTATGATCAATATATACTTGATCTCACACACCAACATCCAACACCAACATAGATTTCTATTGGCCACGTACCCAAGTACTAGCAAGAATAACTAATGGCCTACCTTCGGTTTGAGGAGCTTCAAATAAGATAACCTAGACGAAAATCTGAGTTCCACCTCTCCCTCGTCAATTAAAATATCACTGTAAAAGTTAAGATCCCTACCGTATATTAATGCTACTTACTTGCATGGTTTTATTTTCATTTGATTTCACAAAGCACCTTTCAGAATCTATTTCACCCTCAAGATGATAACATTCTGTATCGTGAGGGAGCGTATAACTAGACATATATGTTGAATACATGTCGGGCCCGAAGAACGGATCCAAGGAAAATCTCGAAAATCCAACAACTGATCAACCTGCAGCCATTCCAACGAACCTTTCCTATTATGGTGTATATAACGGCAGTAGCTCCCCTGCGAGCTCCAAACCGAGTTCATAAGTCAGAGGAGAAACTTCATAAAACTCGCCAGAGAGACCCTCATTCTCAAGACAATCAATGTAAACTGCCTGTAAATTCTCTTCCAACCAGGTTGTTCCAAAGTAGACTTCCTCATCATTACTGTTGACGAAGAATGCGACGGCATCGACAGTCTCCCAGTAGACTATAGGCAAATCAGTACATGTTTTTGAGAAAGTTCCAGGAGCCCATGAGCTTATCCGAGAAGTCGATCTGAGTCTTCTTTGAGAATGGCTCCCAGAGATAATTAAGAAAGATGGGCAGAGTTTGACGTACTGTAGTAGTAGGCTGGGAGGTAGATGACTTCATCCAGAGAAGAGATGTAGTTGATAGTCTCTTGAGCGTAGGTTAGAGGCGGTGCTTCCTGTAAAGAATAAAATGTATCAGTAACAAACGGTTCGGTATACAAACACTGGCTAGGCGCAGTCATATAGTCCAAGTATGTATGGATTAGAATCTGGAAGTATGAGGATCTACTCACATATTCGATGTCATGCAGTATTATCCGATGCCATCTCGATCCAAGCCAGTAGCTCCTTCCGATCGTGATTCCGTGATACGCACTAAGTGGATTCGAATTTAGACTGGGTGGTCTGTGCATCGAACACTTAATCTGAGAACTCTTCCGTTCTAACTTTTCTTTCTCACAACGACGAATTCTAGATTCCAAATTTCATGTCATTGATAGTGATTTGTTCACTCACGCATTGAACCTACAATCTATTTCATCATTCAATCATGGCAGATCACGAGGACATCATGGAACTCGACTTAACCATGCTGAGCATAACTTCGCCTCACCAAATCAAACGCAAGCGACCATATAGGTCATCAATGGAGGACGGATCGGCGGAGCAATCTTTGGAGGAAATCAATCAGCTTCTAGCCAATGTTGACCTCAGTGAAGGCACCAAAGACATCTTACGGGTCATGGCCATGGACTACCAAGCTCTGAAGATCCTCAACCCAGACACCAGGGAGTATGCGAAGAAGCAGGCGGGCCTTCTGAGAGCGGAAATGCTCCTCCAGCGTGTTTTATCGGAAGACGAGAAGTATGCAAAACTCTCTATGAGTCACCAAAGTTTGCTCGACAAGGGCAAGATTTTGAACCTAGGTGACTACCACAGAGCAAATTTGAATACGTTCAAGGTCACAGCACGGGCATTGGTGGCTGAAAGGAACATGGGAAAGAAGAAAGCAGAAAAGGAGAAGAACCCACTGGACAACAAACCCTGGAGAGAAATCCTCGCTGAAATAGATAAGGAGGAATCCGAGATGAAGGCATGGCGAGCAAAACCAGGACACGGAATCCTGGGAAAGGGTGCAATGCCCAACCAGGACTTGATCGATTTCCTCGAAAATGTGGCTGAACGTTGCACACCGCCTTGGAGCTTCGATCAGGCCAAATTCGAAATGCGAGAGTATCAGACTCGCAATAATATCGCACACGCGGGAATCGACGAGCTCCTGGAAACGGCCAAGAAGGCCAATGATCGCCACTCGGAACACTGGCGCACTGTAGCCCAGTACATCATCAGGGACCGGCAAGCACTGCAGGAAGAAGACATGCCTCTACATCTTGCGGCTGCCAGCGGCAACAAGGAAGCCATCTTGGAGAGTTTGCGGATTTTTCAACTACAATACTTTCAGGTCTTGACAACGAAACGAGACGATAATGGAGTAAAGATGCCGAACCAAGTTCAACTAAAAGATGCACTTTTCCCAGAAGCGGATGAAGACGATGACGATGAGCCACTGCTGAAGAATCAGGTCTTGAGTTTCGTACCAACAGATGGCTGGGAGCAAAAGGCAAAAGATGGATTCTTAGCCGCCGAAAAAGAGCTGTTGGAATGCGAGGAAGCATTTCAAGCGGCGCAAGCAGGGGTTACTGAGGCTGAAAATGGCCGAAAACAAGCCCAAGAGAATTTAAGGGTAGCCCAAAAGAGCTTTAAGACGGCCATGAAGAATTTTCGAGAGGCTGTGAAGGAGCAGGAAAAGAACTTGCATCTCTGTCTGAATAGCAACTGAACAAGAACGCAAATCTTCGCTAGTTAAAAACTCAAAGGACTCGAATGAATTCTGATAGAAGTCATATTGCTTCGCTTTCTTAAAATGTCCACCTCTCTCAAGGCCTAGTGAAAAGACGTAATTCCAAGCGACAAAATACTTGAATGCATCTGCTTCGAACATAGAAAAGCAAACTGATCTTAAAAAAATAAAAGCTTTCTTTTATTTTTAGTTAAGAATTATTATTTCTTCGAATTATAAAAAAAACTTTTAAATATCCGCAAATAGTATTCAATTCTATTAATAAAAATTAGCTATTTATAAAAATACCGCTTTAATAATATTTACGTTATTTTAAAAAAATAATAATAAAAGATTTTTTTTAATTTAATATTAATAAAGTTTTTAAAATTATTTATATCTATTTAAAAACTTTATTACGCTTAATAAATACCGCCGCTTACCAAGATCCAAAAGCAAATATCCACGGAACGGACCGATTCCAATATCCGAGATTTCGCAGATTCTGCTGCGAATGGGCACATCAAGTGTGACAATTGCATTGAGTCTAAGAGGAAGTTCTGTTGAGAGCGCAAGTCTATCTATCTATCTCCGGCTACAACATAACAACCAGATGCTGACAGCACTAAAGCTCACGTTACGTCTTATGTCTGTGTAGCCGGCGCTTTCAAAAGCAGACGCATCATAACAGCACCGTTGAGTGATGCCTCAAGTCGAGCATGTCCGTACCAGTTTTCACATGAATATTGATCTAGAAGCCATGGCGTACTTGTGGTGTCCAGTCCTATTAATTCCAGCTTTGAAGCCATTTCAGCCTATGCTGTCCTGCTTCCTCCAAGGAAGAAGTTCTGTGAATAGCATCACTCGAACTACCGTGGTATGAGAAGCCGATAAACTGCAGAGTGTAGGTGGTACATTCGATAAATGCAGAGCTCTGGCTGCAGAGTCAATATATGTGCAAATTTCCTGAGAAAGTCCGGATCATTGTGATTTTGCAATAAGCATCGTAGACTGGATAAAAACGATCCACCAATAATTCGCAATAACTCATGAATTGACAACAACGGCCTCTCAAGTACAACTTTGAATTGATGACATTAATTTGAAAGTTGAGACTATCATTCCAAACTCCCTACCAGATCATCAAAGTTCCCGTAGACCGTAATGACACCAGGACAATGCTCGGCACCCTTGTGCTCTGCCTCAGCGTGCCTCTATTCATCACCGTTTCCAAACCTTGGAAATCTGTTCCTTTATACTACTTGCACCTGCCGCAAAACTAAGAACTCGGCCGGTGATTCACCAACAAACGTGTTAGTTTCAGTCAAAGTGAATCACCAACCAGTCCTTAATTAATCAAAGTGAATCCCTACGAAACCTCATCAGCAGTCTCGGTGGTCTATATAAAGAACTCCGCCATCGGAGCGGAGGTAGATTTTCACCGCGGTAGAAGAATTCGATAGAGCAAACTAGAGTTGCTTGGAAACCTAGGTGGATGTCGTGACGCTTCTCAGTGCGGCTCTTTCTTGTCCCTATGCGCCGTGATGTGCTGTGAGGTTGGGAAAATGCACAGATAAAACGGTGAAGAGGCGGGAAAGTTGACAAGGAGGATGGAGTGTTGGCAACAAAGGTTGAGATGACAGTGGTGGATTATTGGCGGGATGGAGAAAGAGATGTAGATGAGGGAGTGTTTTGTGTGGTTTGGATTGAAAGGGTTTCCCAAGGCCCCGGGCTCTCGGACTCTTCTGTCTAGTTTGCTCTATCGAATTCTTCTACCGCGGTGAAAATATTTAGTTAAATAATTAGATTACCCACACTTAAAGGACACATAAAAACCCAGAAATAACTTCAACTACCCTGAGAAGCTAGTAGCGTTTCATCGACAAAACCCAAGGTTGCCTAGAGGGAATTAGAAGGATTTAGGTCGAAAGCGACTTCGGCTTCGGGGATTGTAGCCTACGCGGCTTGCTACGCAATACGCTCCCGCTCCAGTTTTTCCTTCTCTTCCACCGCCTCCAATTCATCCAAGGAAAACAGACCACGGCGGAGCATTTCGGCTCCCTTAGTCTACAAAAGCTTTTACATCTTACGGAGACGCATACGACGAGCGAAGGCCTCTTGCTTAGTTCGTATAGCAGCCTCTTCCTCGGCCTCCAAGCGCTCCTCCTCACGACGAAGTTTAGCCCACGCCGCGAGCGAAAGACTATCAACATCACACACCTTCTTCGCTAGGACGCAAGCGCCATATCTTCGAGAGCTTGCGACGTTTGACACTTCGCAGGACAAGTTTTCTTTTTCACAGCGCGAACAAGGCATTACCAAGTAACCGGTAAGAGAGATGCGATCCGAGAGAGAAACGCGTTGCTAGTCTTTAGTGCGGGTAAGTGGCATAGTGAAAAAAGGCCGTGGCCACCCCACGAGATTTCCTTACTTTGATTTAAGCGTCGAGACGACACTAGCTAGAAGGGGAATAGTGTTACAAGCAGCGAAAGAGATAGGCCCAATAAGCGAGTTTACTAGAGATACTTCGGGACAAGAAGGTCCCAAGTGCACGGGATCAGTGATCACGTGATAGACCGCCAGGGCCGCAAGGACCGCGATGGTTTCATCGCGGCCCACGCGATCCCTTGGGATCCAAAGAGCAGGAAGGTTCTATATAAGCAAGTAGATTTCCCATTAAATAGGAGCTTCGTGCTCAACTCAAATATAGTTTCTTAACAACAAGCTATTAGTAACTTTCTTGCATTACTCTTCAGTAGCCAAGTTCCTTTGATCCCCTACCACTCCCAACCAACAGTCCAGGGCAGACCGTTACACTCAGCACATTCTCGAAGCGTCATTAACTTTCAAAACTTTCATTCCTCACTCCCGCCTTAAAAATATACTCCTGCCCAAACATATTCCTGAAACAACCCCTCGTCTGCTCGCACACACCTGTACTCGTTTTGTTGCCCTCGCCCCAATCCCAGAACTCCAATTTCCCCAGGCCTAGACCTTGTCCTATCCTTCTCTCCTGCCTCCTCATTTTCTCGCTTCCAGTCCCCTCGCGCTGCTCATCTGCTGGACTGGGCAGGTTGATGACCTCTCCCTCACAAGCCATCTCAATCATAAACCCCCAAGCCACCTTCTCCATATCCGCCCCAAAAAGACTCAACGCATGCTCTTCGCTCCCCCACTGCCTCTCACTCCTAACGTTATGCAACGCATTCAACTTCGGCGGCCAGGACGCATGAATAAACAACGGTGCGACCTGACACCCATGTCTTCCCTCAACGCCTCCCACCCTCTCCTTAGCACAAGCCCAATCCCCCACCGCATCGAACTGCAGCACCGCCGCTCCATTCCCCCTCGCACCCAGATACTCCGGCCCCCGTCCCACAACATAAACCTCCTCGCCCACCGCCCTCGCGGCCGGTAAAAATGTATCTTTATCGCCTTCACCCGGACCACCTTGGGTTATCAAATCAAAATACCACTCTCCCCAGATATTATAATACGCGGCCAACATCAGGGTCCTGGCTCTCTCTCTGCGGCTAACCAATATCTGCCCTGCTTCGATGGTATTCTCCAGTGAAGGCTCAGTGGATGTGATATTGACAAAATGCGGCGAGAACGTCGGTTTCCAGAAATCTTTCCAGAGGACCAAGCCAGCGGATGTGTAAGCCGAGGAAGAGAAAAGCGGTTCAGGGTCAGAGACGGGGAAATTATCTGCGTCGAGGAAGAGGACGTGTTCGAAGCTCGAGAATAGGATAGAGAGGATCTTGATCTGGTATCCTTCCACCACGAATTTGTAGTTTGAGCTAGCGAGGAACGGGGAGAGGAGGATGCATGTAGCGCCCAGTTGCGGGAATACGGATTCGCAGACTAGGGATTCGTATTCGGAGTCGTCGAGGATAAAGATTTCGACGGGGAGCGCGGAGCCCGTTTGCCGCAACAGGAGGAGGCTGGTGAGGAGGACAGGGAAGTAGGCGCCGCCGGCTGTGGTGACGATGCCTTGGGTGCCGGGGGTGAAGGAGAGGTGCGAGGTATCGTAGTCGAGCATGTCGAGGAAGAGGGCGTGGGATCTTTTCATGGATAATACGTCTTCGTCACTCATTTCTAGCAGGTTGGTAGGGTGGTAAACGCTGCCAGCGACAGCGAGGCCTGTGACCGCTTTGTGGGACAGTTTCGGGGGCGCGCATTTTGGTTTCGCGGCGTGGAGTTTGGGCGCGAAAGCATGCCAGAATGGGGATTTGGGCGTGAACCAGGAGAAGTCGGTGACTGATGGCGGGAGTTTAATCGAGGTGATGGGTATCTTGAGGGAAGAAGGCGAGGAGGATGTGAGGAAATAGCAATAATTAAATATCAAGCTGAGAAGTACGAATGCAGCGAAGAAAATGAGATTTCGTGAATGACAAGTAGGAATCGAGAGGAGCATGGTGTATAGGAACGACAAAGAATGGCTCAAATGGGACTCATATCGTAGATCACCAAAGCAAGGGCGCAATCAACAGAGAAGAGAGAAGAGGGAAATCTACATTCCAGCGCTCAATAAATGACTTCACCCAAAGCCGCGAATACCATCAATAGGTCTAGATGCATACGCGTTTGTGGCTTGACGCGAAAATCTCGGCCCCGCAGCCAACGTCATCTCGACGCCAAACTCAGAATAGAATGGAGAACAATCTAAGCTCTTTGATCGGCGGCGATGCGATGAACTATTTTAAGGTTGTTGACGAAGTATAATGGAGGGTAATAAATATGTTGATGTGAGATGACAAGAGATGGAGAAAGGGATCAAGATGCTTTCTGATGAGGAGACGCTTTTCCCGATCAGGATAAGCCCAAAAGTGGACAATTGTCAGCACGTGATAGCATATATTTCTGCAGCTTCCCGTCGCATCCTATTTGCTCATCCCAGCTTGTTTAATGTATTTTACTCAACATGCTCTCACACATTCTCTCAATCAAGCATCAAACTGAATCTTCATAGTCGTCGGCGCAACCCCATAAGCCCTCCAATCCTCACTCAAGAAAACTGTCCCCAGCCCACCCTCCACAATTCCCTCTCCCTCTTCCACATCAACCGACTTAATGTTCCCCTGACTCCAGCCCACCCATCCCCCTCCCCGACCAGAATAACCTCCTAAGCCACTGGTCGGTTTCTGCAAACCCTTCAAGCTGAAGACCGTCTTGAACATGGCTGTCAAGGCGACGAGAGAAAGGTCTTGGTAAGAGCGGTTGCGGAAGAGGAGATAAGAGGATAGGGGACGAGTGAGGTCGACGGTTTCGGGTGAGGGGTAAGCGGATGCGTCGAGGGAGGCGGAAGAGAGATCTAGGATTACGGTTGTGGCTGGTGGTAGAGTTTTGGAGCTTGTTGGGATGGTTGTCGGTGCTGGTGCGGTACGGACAAGACGAGCTGTTGTGGTGAGGCGGGCGCCCTCTAGAAGACTATCCTACATTAGCAGGACTTCGCTCACGATGGAATGGCGACTTACTAGTGCGTGAGTGTATCATCAGCTTCCTTGGTGTTCATTTGAGCCAGCTGATACAACTTCGGAAGATGTGATGCTCCAGCTCCAAGGTAGTAGTCAAATGCTTGACTGAAGGTCTGAGAATGCGTAGCCGTGATTGATGCAGCTGTAGGAAGTCTATCACTTTGGTCAGATTCTCCCAAATGCTCTCATCTCATGAAGAAAGGGCTTACAGATGACTAAATACAACATCTTTAACTGGAATCTTGCTCTCAACCAAAGTCTTGATCAGATGAGTTCCATACTCCGTCAACCCGCTCGACTTATGCAAGCTTGCCAAGACATCAGCAATCAATCCGGAACTGGAAATTGCTTGCGCATTCAACAAAACTAGTTCACCCATTTGCTTCCCAAGCATGTGGGCAGCTTCGCTGATCTGGAAGCTCTTCGCTACATCTCTGTTGTCGAAGATGGAGGTGTAAATGATCAGGAGGATTTGATACATCTCTTGTTCGGTGTAGACGCCACGGGGACATTCTTCCGTCTTGATTGGGAGGCTGAAGACTGAGGATGCGAAGCGAGCGCTGACGAGGTTCGCAACGTCGCGTACAATGTCTACTTGTCGCTTCTTGGTGCCGGGAACTGGGTAGCTATATGTCTTGAGTAGTTTGGCTGTGGTTTCCTCGTAGAACTTCTTCACTTCAACTTGCCAGTCTTTGGGGTAGAGACCCTTGACAAGTGCTTTGTTGGAAGGACTGGGGCCAGCTAGAGCATGTTCTGCCTTGAGATTCGTTTCCCCTTTGAGGACTTTATCTACGGCAGCATACGTACCGAGGACGACGGCTGGTGGTTGACGAGCAGGAGGATCATAAGAATACTTATCTGCTCTGTTCAGTGACTTCTGAATAACCAAGTTTTCACTTGGGACAACGAAAGGGAAGTGTGCGTAAATGGAGTTGCCCTTGAAGTGATTCGGGAACGCTCGAAGAATGACCTTGTAGAAGACGCATCCCTCGTCAACTGAAGTGTCGTACTGGACTTCATTGTATCTGAAGCTCGTTAGTCAGATCCTCACTGGGAATCGGAGAACATACCCCCAGTTGGTGAGATTTCTTGGCGAGTAATCAATAGTGTAGAAACGATCACCTCTCACAAGACCAACGGCATCTGATAGAATGGCATACGAAGTGGTGAAATTGACACAGAGGCCAGATCCGGGGGCCATTGGAGGTTTTGCCTTTTCAGCGACAAGACCAGGATACATCTCCACGAAATCTGGATGATCATATAGATTGCGCAACTTCTCAGCGACAGCAGGATCGGGGTTGATATCCTCGAACGTAGCGTGTTTCTGAAGACCAGCAAACTCTCTGAACTCATTGAGAGAAGCGATGTTCCATGATCGAGCTTGAATTATACCTAGAATCTCGACAGACTTGAGAATCTTTGGGACTCTGTTGGCTCCGAATGATCCGGCGACGTCTTCAATCGATTCCGATAGAATTTTCACGAGATCGTCGTCGTTGTAAGATCCGTCTTCTTGACGCGTCAAACCGCCAAAGTTACGGCTTGGTGCAAGTGGATCATCTCCAAGCTGCTTCTCGAACATGATCAAGCCGCGAAGAAGCTCATCGAGACCGACCTCAGAAGCTGATTTGCCAGGGAAAAGTTTTGCGTAAGCACCTTGAGTCCACTCATCGTCCCTCTTCGAGACAGCCGAATGCCACCTGTAGACTGTTCATAGTCAGCGACACTCTAGAATGAGTCTTGGAATACGAACTCAGATTGAACTCGGCAGAGACTTGATTTCCAGTTCCTTCAGCAGCAGGTGAGCTGAACAGCGTCTTCCCCTCATCCGTTCTCGGATCAAGATCCCACTTCGAAGCCGTACGATTCAAATTTAAGATCGTCCTGACATAATCTTTCAACACACAATTGACGTACAATCCACAAGTGATCAAACGACCCGTTTGGAAGAGGTCATTGTCATACTTCGCCAATCCCTTAGTGTCGTCATCTTTTGGCTTTGTGAAACGTCCATTCTCATTGATGCTACACAGATCAGCATGAGAAATAGTGTGTGGGGTAAATCACTCACGCAGCAAGTTGTGTAACTACGTAGTTGTGGAATCTGTTGAACATCACTAGCATGACGCATACCCCTGGAGGGAAGCCGAGAAGTCTCTTTTCTGAAAAGCAATCGGGCTTGAGTTTGCCGTCTTTGAAGGCTCTGACAAGCTTTTGCTCGTCCTCGATGCTTCCATACAATGGAGCCAAGTCCAAGTAGCTGCTGGTATCTGACTGGTTGAAATCTGCGTGGTTCTGAAAATTCTTAGCTCGGCAAGTATCAAAAGGGTTGGAACCATACCGTCCTGAAAGCATCATGAATGATGATGGTCGCAAGATAGAAAAGCATGCTGGAAATCTTGTTTGGGTGAGGCTCGAATGTGTCACCCCTCACCATAAGGCTGTCGAAGATAGCGCCGGGGTCTGGAAGGGCGATATTCTGTAAAATGGTAGGTTTCGCACTTCTCGCATATGGGGTCTTCGCTTTTCCAAGATCCGGGAATCTGATATTGTTGTTCGATCCATCTGGTTCACGATACTGATACTTCGTGCCCAAACCAGTCAATGGAGGATGAGGCAATGCATTCCAAAGACCATTGATGAAGCCGCCAGTTAGCTGATTTGCGATGTTCGAATTATCGTCGAGCTTAGCAAGGAGCTGAACCAAGTGCTCCAGCACGAATTTGTTGTCGTCTTGCGAGCCTTTGGCTTGGGAGTTGAATAATTGCAGTAGAGTCTCGACATCTTGGAATCCAATCTTTCTCAGATCAGTCAGGAGACTGGTCATTTTCTTTTGATCTGGCTCATTGGACGGAGCGTAGGGTGTGGATGGTATGGGAGCAACGGATCTGCTGATAAGTTGCTTTACTGCCTCCAAGGTCGTTTCAATCTCCTTCCGCCATGTTCCTGACTGACTGGCCTCAGGAGTTCCAGGCATGATGATAGTAAGTGTGGGATCGTGTTGACCGTAAATTTTGATTGTTTCGTTCAGTCGAAGTATAAATATGAAGTACCAGCCTCTTTGTCCGAAATCGCTTAAAGATCAGATGATGCCGCTCGGTGAGAGTGTACTGCCTTCCTTGCCTATACCTTCAATGTAATCTTAGAAAGGGCGACCGTGTGAGGCTGGCGTCTGAAACAGGATGGCGTCAATGAAGCCGGTGATAAGAATTGAGGGGTAATGTGACTGACTCTGATGAATCAACAATTTCCAAAGTCAGTCCAAACGGCGGCCGCGAGGCAGAACGAGAATATATCTCGACTCCTGGGCTGTTCCCGTCGAGCGGTGGATATCAAAAGAAAAAGGCGGGCTGAGGCTGAGCTGCATAGCTTAATGTACGGTACGATGGACGCCAATGCCTGACGGTGTACCCAATCATCGCGGCCATCAGCGATATTCGCGCCCAATCACAAGTTCTGGATTTGCGTTGCAGTGGAGAATGATTCTTTTTCATGCAGCCATAGCACCATCCTGTGTTCGTTTTGGTGCGGAAGTGCAGGCGCCAGGTGAGGGGTGAAAGCTGCTGAGCTTCAGCTGCCTCTCAGGGGTTCGGCAGCTCAAGGTTCCCGCAGTGGGGTTTTCCCACCTTCCCCGTCCGCTGGAGGACGGAAAGCTGACGTGAGAAGTCGGATGGGACCTTCATTGAACAATGGAGGGGCACAGTTTCCGTTGTTGGACTATCTGATATCATCGTGGAACGTCGTACATATCGTCGCCATGGCTGAACGGACATACATAGGTGTGTGGTATGTTGTGTAAGGCTGCGTGTCTGACACGCGCAGTAGATCGCTGAGCATCCTCCTCATGAGATATCCTGGTGGAAGAGTAGGACGGTTACGCAACTAACAGCCACTTTACCAACTCCAACATGATCAATCAATTCCGATTTGAGGCAGATTCCTCCAGGGCGTCAACGCTCGGTGACAACCACTTAGGCATATAAAGGACCATGGAATCTTTCATGTGACGGTGGCCCGATTCCAAACGACGAGATTGCAGTGAGAGGAGAAGCATCGCCCGTCGTCGGCCAAGAACGTTGAGACCTTCCCGGCAGGGCTGAACGAAACACGATACGAGATACGGGCAATGCCGGGGACAGAACGAGGCCAGTCACGATAATGAGGCAAGCTGAGAGGAAAAGAAAACACGTGGAGAGCCGAGACAAAGTGAAACAAAAAAAGCCCATCCGAAAAACATAAGATGGCATTGGCAATAGTCTCAATTGATTTGAAAGCTCCCTGTTGTTGGATTTGAGAAGACGTTGAGATAGAGATTCAACGTAATCACGTGAAGTCACGTTCCTGCTACGCCTCACCTGCGGCCTCTATCGCTTACAAGTCTTTTCGGATCTCCTTTGTCTGTTTTGTGGGAGAGGAGGAACTTGTCTATTGGCATGTGAGTATTGTACATCTCCTGCGAATCTCCCTATCGTTCATTCCTCGGTCTTTCCATGTGTGTATTGGTTGCACAGCACTATGTTACATCAATGCAACGGCTTAGAGGAATCAGACCAAGGAGAGAAGCTTCTCGGCGGTACTTTGATAGTACCTAACTCCTAACTGTCTACAAGTAGTCATGGATTGTGAAAATCAACCTATTCGGCTTTGCGCCTGTTCCTTCGCTTGGTAGCTCAATATCTTCGATTACACATAACACGCCCTACTATTGAATCTTGTCTGTGCACCCTGGGTCTTTTGAATAAGCTGTATTCATATCCACCTTGGTTTTGTACTACTTCTGTTCCTTTTCGGACTGTTTTGGGGACTAAGCAACTCTAGCCCCGAGTCTCGGAATTGTAGCGGAGGGCCTCTTTGCCTGTCTTTCTTAGGCTTTGACGAAAGCACCATCTCTCCTCTATCAACCTTGACCAGCTCCCGGCTCATGGTAGCTTCTTTCTTATCTCTCTTCGACCTACGCCCATTCTCAATTTCCTTTAGCCTCCCTCCACTATCCTCCGCTCTCCGCCCCGCTTCTTTCGGCCTGTACAACGAAAGTCTCAATTCCCCCACATGTCCATCTCTATCCCTCTCTTCCCTCACCTCCTCCGACATCTCCATCCCCACCCCCGAATCAAACGACTCCTCCCTCTCATGCCCACACCTCCCGTCTCTCTCCCTCTCCCTCCCACCACCACCATACTCCTCCTCCCACTCCCCCTCTCCATCTCCATCCCCACCCACCCCCCCAATCCCCAACCCCAACCCCAACTCCCCCGCCCAAACCTCCAACCCCCCAACCACCTCCCCAACCTCAACCTCCTCAACAAACTCCTCCACCAAATCCGCCATCGCCAACATCTCCTCCGCCTCCTCCTGCAGGATAACCACCAACTCCGTCAAATCCTCCAACAACTCGTTCTCGGACGCCACCAACGCCTGCTGCGACATGATGCTATTCATGATCGATAACACGTCTGTGAGGAGTCCCGTGAGAGTTTGCGGTGCTTGGGAGGACGGCGTCGGTGGTTCGCTGAAGGGCGAGAGGTTTGGTGGGAGGAGGAGGGGGCGGGTGGGTGGTAGGGGGCGTGGTTTTGGTTTGTGGCGTTGGGTTGAGATGTGTAGTGGTGGTGGTGTCGGGGCTCGCGGTGGAGGAGGAGGTGGTGGGAGTGCTAACAACGGTGGTGGAATGAGTGGCCAATTTGGCTGTTGTGCTGCTGGGAGGCGAGAGGGCGACATTGTTTGTGTCGAGAGTATTATTCTTCGTTCCTGTTCTTCGGATGGGCTGCGGAAGAAGATGGGGACTTCTTCTTCTTCTTCTTCTTCGTCTGAGAAAGGCGTTGGTGAGAGCTGATACGACCAACGATTCCCCTCTCCTTCCTCTGCGAGAATGTCGCCCGAAGACGGCGAAGGCGGGAAGTGGTTTGCGTGTTTATGGCGGAATGGGTAGGCTTTGTTTGATTCGACTTTCCACATCTTGCTCTCCTCTCCCCTATCTAGCAACGAGCGTTTCCCGGAAATAATATAACTAGGTCTCGCATAAATCAACCAACAAACAAATAAATCCCCCTCTTAAACTTCCGAACAGACTTCTAGATCGGATCCCTTCTTCGTCACCTCTGCGTGTTGACATGTATCTATACTTTAACGCGCCCGCCCTCGGGGATTCATGCGCAGGAGGACGTCATTTCCTTTTCGTTGCTGGTTGCGGTTGTTGCAGAGATGGTATCCTTCTCTATAGGGCTGTTATGATAATGCGAGCCAGGGTAGAGGAGTAAGGGGTCTCGCTAAATTAGGGGTCTCTCCCTGTGATCCCGTGATATAGCGGGGTTCATCCTGGATGATAATCGCCAGCGCATGATCGTCGTCGTTGCGGATTGCGAGTTGGGTTGGGGGAAGACGTCATTGGGTATTAAGATATCGGGTGGCAGTTCTTGTTGTCCTGACTCGGTTGTCCTTGGCGAAGCAGAAAGGAAAAGGGGAGGGGACTCGTTGCGATTCGAGGAGCAGGAGGCTTTCGCTAGATTTTCGGGTTGTAGATCATAGGTAATTATTAATGGATATCATATATAGTACTGTACACCGCTCAAATTAACTCCAGGTATCAAACAATCAAATAATCCTCATACACCTCACCACCTTTCACTTTGACGATATCTTCTTTTCGTATGCCAACAGCCTTGCTTGCTCGCATCCAACCAAGCCAGAATACTAATCCTTCTAACCCCACTGCTAACATCAGAGGACTCAAGAGTAGCCACCCCAAGGCCATCCATACCGCTGTAGGAACGATACTTTGAGTCGCGCAGAGTGCCAATGCTGATAGATCTGTGAAACCGAAAAGTAAAGTGAGCAGACTTAGGAATAACATGAGTCCGATATTGATGTAATGTGCCAGCTTCAGGTTTTTCGCCGATGCGAATTCGAGAGATTCTCATTTGAGGATTAAAGTTGTGCCTGCTGCTATCAAGGTTTGCAAAAAGACGATGAGGCCGAGAATCTTAAAGGGTCAGCTATCGAGTTTACACGTTCAGTTGTGGGGATCCATACCTCGTGTGCGCTCGTGAAATGTTTCCCGCTACCTCTAAAACCTATTCCCATGGCGAAAACCAGGATCGATAGTGGAAGGATTGAGTATGCGAGATATTTTTGCCATTTAGAGGATGGCTCAGCAGGGTGACGTCTGTCGAATAGCGCGGCAAATCTGTCCGTGTTGATGAGTAGTAATAGAAGAGGTATCGCGACAAAGTAAGCTAGGATCGCAAAGATAACTTTGTAAGATTAGCAAAGATAGGTATACGTTGATAGAAGACCATACTATGTGCTGCTGCTACTCCAATGAAGCTCCCAATAGCCATCCCGTTGATAGAGACAGTAGTTATGCCCTTCGCGGGATTCACACTGTAAGTGTTACCTCCACTCCTGATGATGAAAACCTGATCTGGCAGATTCAATGTAGTATTGGATGTAGATGGTGATGTCCCCTTCGAAGTGAGAGCATTCAAACTGACTGTCTTGCTCTGAACTAGGCCTAAGAAGACGCCAACTAGACCACCCACACCTTCGCATGTAAGATCATCGATTCCAGTCTGCAGGAGAGGGTTGATAGTTGAAGCATTCAAGTTGGCAATTACCGAAGCTAGATCTGTAGCATTGGCCGATGCGGTGTCTCTCTTTCTCAGGTTGACTGACTTTTCGACATTTGATGGGCCAGCAAAGCTTCGCCTCCTGTTTGCTGCTTTGGACGAGGATTGCGCGAGGAGATCCTCCACAAGTTTGGCGCCTTCTGTTCCAAGGCCCCGTCCAAATCCAGTGGCGGCTCCACCTACAGAGTCGTTGAACGATGATGTGTCTGCTCCTATTAATTGCAAGCTAGATATCGTAGATCCGGCTCCAGAGATCATTCCCACAGCCAAACCCTCAGCCACCTTCGAAACATCAATACTCGAGAGTGAGAGACCGCCCGGAGCGCTTGAGTTTCCAGAAAACGAGCTGGTCACTTTTGAAAGTGTGCCGTTCTGAAGAAAGCTGGAGACAAGTCCTCTCGCAAAGTCCTGAGTAATTCCGGCAGTGTCTGTGGTAGGCGTCGAAGCGACGTCTGCCTGGAAACCCAGTCCAATGGCGGCTCCTTGACCCAACCCAGCACCGAGGCCAGCTCCAATTGCTGCAATATTGAAAGAAGAATTGCCTGCGCTGCCAATAACAGAACTACCCGTGGACATCAGGGAATTCAGCGAGGGTAGCTGTACCGCACTCAACAGAGAGCTTGACAGACCTTGGCCAAAGTTTCCTGCGATGCCACTGATCCCACTTGTATTGAATGCTGCAGAATCATTGGTCGAAGATGTGGAGGATAAATTTAGGCCAGATGCGGCTCCTCCGCCAAGACCCTGGGCAAGCGCAAGAACCGCTTCTCCGATTGTTCCAGTGCTTCCCAGGGAGGAAGAATTGAAGCTAAGCACGGACTTCATGGCGCTCGATGAGAAAATGGATGATGTCAATCCAGATCCGAGGTTTTGGGCAATGCCGTCGACTCCAGAAGGCACAGTTGTGTTGACCGGTCCGGTCATATTTAAGCCTGTCATCGCCCCATCCCCAAGACCGACGCCCAGGAATTTTGCGGGTGTCACAAGACTATCGACGATGCTGGTTCCATTGCCACCGCCTATCAGAGAGACAAGAGAATCTAAGATCGTGGATGTGTTTGGTAGGAGAGACGCAACTCCTTGCTCGATACTTGATCCAAGACCGCTGAGCAAATCTCCGAGTTGGCGTTCGAGGACAGCATTTCTAGTTTCGAGATGTGTGCTGCTATGAATCAGGTCCGCAGTCTGGTGTTGCGGGCCAAAGTAAGAAACGATGTTGTGTGAGACTAATCCTCCAAAAATACTGATGAGGAAAACAATAGTAAGAAATGACCATTGATGATGACGTGAAGCAAAAGGGCGAGAATCCATATTGATGACAGCTCAATGTCATGGAGAAATTGCACAAAGGATGAAGATAAATCAGAAGAACAAAAAGCTGATCAGACGATATTATAAGTGCTTGGCTTCATCGCAACCTCGCTGTGGAGACTTCTCCGCTGCAGCTCAGCTGTGGTTCTTCGCATCAAGCATTGGACACTTTTGAAAGGTTGCTAGTGGGCACATGCCATTCCTTGATCCTTGACTAAGGGCGTGAAGCAGTAAGAGCGTTCAGATCATCGAGCGTGACATAGCTCTGAAAGATCCGTGTGAACATCAAAGCAGTCGATCAAACCAATGGAAACATGGCTGAGCCATGCCCAATCATGTTGTCAGATCGGTAGATGCAGTAGTAGTGAAGATATGGGACTTCAAACCGCAGGGGCTACTCACGCTCCAGATTTCAGAGATCTCAGATGGAGTGACAGTTGCAATTGGGTGGAGACTTAGTGCGACTAGCATCCTCAAGACTCCAGACAAGAGCGGACGGTGTTTTGAAAGATGCCAAGTCGGCTACTCCCGAACGCTTCAGGAACAAGAATTAAACTTTACAACCCAGTGATGCGAAGCGCATGTGAAGTTGCTGGTTCGAATAGATGACATGGTTCGTTGGATCGCTGGAGACATCATCCAATCATTTTTCGGGGACGATGGTTCGTTGGTGATGTATCGTTTCTGCCGGGGTGGTGGAGGGGCGGCAGTGTCAGAAGGTCTTGAAACAACGTCAAAGTCTGAGGGAGAACAGGCGCTGACGACATGAGTGCTGAATTCCATCCGATGCGAACTAATCGCAAGGCTTTGTACATGTATTAATGTCGAGAACACTCATCCGTTGCCCAAATTCTGCTGTCAGGAAGTGAAGCTCGTGTTCGGTTTTGGACGGGATGTTCAGCCCCGTGTATGAGTATTGCCCAGCAGTAATTACTGTACATATCTCGCATATGATTGTGGTCTGAGCGAGTGGATAGAGTCGTTGGAGTCATGAAGGCCATTGATGATGATCAAGAGGAAAGCAAGAAAAAAACGCTCGAGTTCGGTGTGCTAGTGTGGAGGTGCATCTCCAGCTTCGTTGGTAGATCTCTCTGCTGTGTTGAAGCTGTGTTGAGGCGAGAAACAGTTGAGGAAGATCTTGATGGGATACGGTTCCTTCCGGACAGTGATTGACAGAGGGGCATTTTCCGGCTGACCAATCCTCTGCGCCACTCACCAGCGACTTTACAATACTTGCGCAGCTTCACCCTAGAAACACTACCGGTGAAAAGACATGAAATAAACCTGACAACAAAACAGAATACCACACAATACCGCTGGCGCTCAACAGTTATCGACATCTATATTACTGTTTGATGGAAAGGTCTTAAGCTGAGAAGGGAGAGGAGTTCCGTGCCAAGCTGGCACGATACTGCGCAAACCCAAACGCGGGTTTTTACAATTCCCCTGATAATACAGTTGGATGTGGAGCTATTTTTTTTTCAAAAGAAGCAGTTCATCTTTGTTACAAAGAAGGAAAACATGATCTCGAACCAAAACGCTGCTGGTCAGGCAGCTCTCGATGTGATGTGTCCAACTTTGGACATTTGCAGTCTCTTGTCAATGCTCATATACGGGTTTCTGTTGGATCTCTTCTACCAAACCAGACATTCCTCATCAATCTACAAATGAATGGCAGGGTTCAAGATTTTAGTGATCTCTGAGCTTGACTCTCTTCTACTTCCTCAAACCGACCTCTGGCGCGTTGGTATACTTCAAAATGGGTCTACCCTCGGCTCCAGTATTATTTCGTACAACATCATGTGCTTTCATCTCCTTCCACTACATTCTGTACACCTTGAATTCTTCCATGCAGATTCCACAGTAATCGCAAACACGTGATGACATTTCAAAACATCACCAGACAACCACCTGATCCTCCTGTATCTTCCACCCCTCACTTCCCCAGATAAATCAACACCGCTGATGTCTCATTTGCAATTCCAATCTTCTGTTCTCATATAAACTCCAAAAGCAAATGAGTTCATACTTTGGAAATTTCCAACCTGTTCAAAAATACAGCCAAACAATCCTATCCCAACTAAACACCTTCAACATAATGACACCCAGCGACCCCAAACCCCTCTCGCCCACCCAAATCCCCATATCCATCGATTCTCAGCTCACTCCAACAAAAGCCTACTACCTCCTCCACCACAAACACACAACCTCAGTCCTCTCCCTAACACCCCACCTCCCGACCCTCTACACCCCAACCGAAGGCCTCTCCCTCATCGCTGCCTCAAATCTCGCGACCTCGAGCGGAGAACCGTTTCCTCCTGTCTTATATACACTCAAGAAGGAAAATCTATTCGGCACCCATTTCACCGCAAAAGACGACAAGGGAATCGAGGTTGCCGAGTGGAAAAGTCCGATTTTGAGCCTACATATGGGAACGACGCAAATTACGTTCTTGCATCCAGACCAGCATTCCGATGAAAGTACATTGACGCCTATCCCGAGCGGGATGCAAATCGAAGCTACTCCTACGGTAGAACACCACGAGGTTAATGGGGAGATGGTGCAAGTGAGACCCGTAGGTGTGGGACGGCGGGCTGAAGTAAGCAGATTTCTTTCCTCGTTCAAAACGACGTTGAACTAAGATTGCTTAGGATTTCGTCAAAGATGGCATGAGATATATCTGGGAAGTAGAGAGACATAAACACGAGCATAAGAATCTCCACAAAGTACGATTCCCTTCCCCATCTCCTCCTCTCCCCTTGATCACTGACAGCCCCTACCTAGGTAATCCACGCCGAATCTCCAACGCCTTCAAAGATCCTGATAGCCAGCTTCGCGCAACCAAGCCCGCACTCCAAAGATGGGCTCCTGGTGCTGGATTCGAGAGAGTTGGATCCGTTGACGGGCATTTTGACTCTTTGTGCTATGCTTGAGGTGAGAGATAGCTTTGCTGTTTAGCGAAGAGAGGGTGGCTGATTCGTTTTGTCTGTAGTCTAGGATAGCGGAAGGCGATGGGGATGAGCAGTCGGTGGGGGAGAGGATGAGTAATGTGCCTGTTTTGATGATGTAGGAACGATTGGATGGGTTGGGGAAACAGAGATGCTGGGAGTTTATGGTGTGGAAGGGCGTTGGAGGATGAGATTTCTGCTGTAATGATAGCATGTGCTTGTATTAGCTATTTAATGATTATCAAGGGTATGATGTGCACTGGGTTCAAGCGTTGGAGACACTATAAAGCAGATGCATTGACATAATCTTACTGATATCAAGCGTTTGACGAGGAAAAAGGTATATCGTTATAGCTCTTACTGTTTATCGATCAAGACAATTGGCTTAATTTGGAGGAGCACCAATAATAAACTAACAGCCATTCTGTGGAGTACAGGAAGGGTCTTGATTGAGATAAACTGAAGTAAAAGTACATGCTCATTGACTTGATTCAGATACAGAAATTCATGCAAGATAGGGTATCTTTGAAAGTAAACAATAGTTGTACAAGGGAATATCCACGCAATCCCCAGCGCAACAGTCCCAAGGCCCCATATGAAACCAATCCCAGATCAATAATTTCAAATATTCTGGCTGATTTTAGAATGTGAACGCCACAATCTGAGAAGATCGATCCGTGTAGAGGTTCGACGTCTACCCAATGAAACAACAGAGCCGACAGATGGCAACTCTATGTTCTCACGTCCCCTCAGAAGGTAAAACTGTATCCAAGCACATGTTCAATCTGTAACCCGCCAGGGGCAAGATATTACCAAGAGCGTAGATCATAACCCTCTCCCTTATCGATCGCACTCTTCCAAGCTGGTCGAGCTAGTATCCTCATTCTCCAAGCATGTAAAGTCTTCCAGTCCTTCTCAAAATCAACGTATCCTCTCGCCGCAATCATATCCATGGGCCAACTAAGCATAAAATCTGCCCTTCCTGGCTCTTTGCCATTGAACCATTCCTGCTCACCCAATTCCTGCGTCAAGAACTCCATATCTTTCTTGAATTCCGCCGCAGAGAAGAAACTATCATACGACTTCTTGATCTTGCGAGTTATGTAGACAAATGGCCAGGGAGTATGTTTGGCTGCTAAATCGAATAAGAGTTCGGTGTCTGCCAGATCTAACAGACTTGTACCGGAGAAGGAGGTTAATGTCATGTCGCGGATCCAATCATTGGAAGCGAATTTCTTGGACGGATCGTAGGTTTCGAGGAGGTAGGTTGCGATCGTCATGCTCTCGGTCAGGACTTTGCCATCTGGGGTGATGAGGACGGGGGATCGGCCGAGAGGATGGACTTTCGAGAGTTCTGGGGGAGAACGTTTGTTCTCATCGCGCTTGTAGAGGACGAGGTTGTAGGGGATTGAAAGCTCTTCGAGGAGCCAAAGGATGCGTTGGGATTGCGAATGCTGGAATGGTGGTTAGCAGAAGGAAGAAGAGGGGTCGAGGCTGAGACGGACGTCGAGGTGGTGGAGAGTGGGCTTGCCGGGGTTGGAAACCTCAGCGTTGGTCTTTGTTTCTGCCATTGTGAGGTCCAATTTGCATCGAGCTTTGGTAGATGCTGTGAAGCATTTGGAGATCGGAGGGTAAGTTGGAAGTGAGGGTGATGCGTGAAACTCGAAGGATGGTCCAAGGTATCTCAGCCCAATAGGGAAGGCTGGAATGGTTTGAGATCCACCACGCCACCAGTTCGCCCATCGCTACCTAGGTACTTCTTCGCCGGTACGTAACGATACCTTCCTCGCTCTACCTCCTTCAGATGAAAAGCGATGAAAGTTCATTTGGGGATAAATGCGATGCGTATGAGACATCCAGGTGTAAGAATGAATAACCTTACCTGGAGACGAAAGAGTGGGAGGTGACAAGGATCCTGCGAGCTGCACGTATCGGCACCCCTCATCTCAGCAGCGACAACAACCTCTCATCTCAGCCATCAGACGCCTCGTCAGGTTACATGAGGAAAGAGACCACAAGTGCTCCGTTGCTACGCTGGCAAGAGAAAATTTCTTCCTACTTGCTATTGATAGCTTCACTACTACCATTGAAATAAATTCACTTACCTGAATACATCTGCACCTTTTGTCGTCTTAGATCTCAGATCTTACATCTCACCGCTCACGCAGATGAAGCATCATTTTATTCTTGCTCTAAAAACAAGAACGTTCATCATGGCAGCAAAACCCATCGTCCTCCATATCGGAGACCCAGTCAAATGGAATACGGAGTTCTACTCCACCTTTGCACAAGACTTTACCATCGTTCGTCCCTCACTTGAAGAGCGACAGCGAGAAGCATTCATGGAAGGCTTAAAACAGAAGAAGTGGGGTAATTTCTCTGCAGTCTTCAGACCTTTCTGGAATACCGGGGGCGAGATGGGGAGATGGGATAAAGAGCTCGTTCCACTGATCCCAGACTCATGCAAGATCTTTGCATCGGCTGGAGCGGGCTTTGATTGGGCCGATGTCGATATTCTGGCTGAGCGAGGTAAGTATTGTTTGGGTCTGTCGCATCATGCAAGGCTGATGTACGTCCCAGGTATCGTGTACTGCAACAGGTGAGTACAGCGCCGTTGTGGTGTAACTGACGTCTAATGGTGGCACAGCGCTGCTGCTTCCACCGAAGCTGTGGCAGACTTCGCTATATTCCTGATACTTGCTACCTTCCGAAATTTGACCTGGTGCACTACTGCTGCTCGAGGTTCGCCTGAAGAGTTTAAAGACTGTCACGAGAATGCTCCACCCCTCTCACACAATCCCCGAGGTCATGTCCTTGGTATCATTGGACTCGGTAAGATCGGATATGAGATTGCGCGTAAAGCGTACCTTGCCTTTGGGATGAGGATCAAGTACTTTGACGTAATCAGATCGTCATCCGCCAGAGAAGCAGAGGTCGAAGCCGAGTTCTGTCCAGACATTGATTCCGTACTGTCAGTCAGTGACTGCGTCGTTATCGCAACTCCCGCAAGTCCCGATGGCAAGAAGTTGATCGACAAAGAGAGACTTTCGAAAATGAAGATGGGTAGCAGATTCGTTAACATTGCTCGAGGAATGCTGGTAGATGATGAGGCAGTAGCGGATGCTGTCGAGGAAGGACGACTGGTTGGAGTTGGACTGGACGTCCACGAACACGAGCCTAATGTCAATGAAAGGCTTAAGAAGTTGAAGCAGGTCACCCTTACAACTCACAATGCTGGTGGAACCTTAGAAACGTGAGCTGGATGACAAAATAAAGACTTGGTACTGACCGAAACAGGCACATGGGTTTCGAAACTCTTGCTATGCGAAACATTGACGCCGTTTTGAAAGGAAAGGAACCCTTGACTCCGGTCAACCAGCACCTGATCGTCGTACCGGCATCCAAGCTCAATCTCTAAACCGTATCTCGAAATGCATCAAAAGAGCGGACAGATTGGGAATATAGCATTCTTAGATGAGAACAGTCACCTGGTGGAGCATGGCTCTAGATCACATCTATACAGAGGGACACAGTACAGTACCTTAAGAAGCGATGGAATTTATCAGCGGAAGTGCCGCTCATAGAGTAGGCGATCTCCACCTTATTTCTGCCAGATATTTCAATGCATATGCGTTCTATCTACTTCACTATTTCTACTGCTTGCGCTCATTGGTGCTTCTCGTTGAATTCCTTCGTAAATATCGCCCTCTCTCCGTACCCAACCAGTTCTCTAGTAGAAGACTTTCTCCGGACCAATCCCTGCGAATGTTGCGCCATTCCCCCAATCCGGAAAAAAGAAAGCTTATTCCACCTTGATTTTCCTCCCAACTCCTGCAGTGCTTACGAAGTCCAAACTCAGCCTCACCTCGCCACCCAAACCTGCCCCAAATTATTACCTTTCTTGCACAACTCCCCGAAAAAGCAAATAAATACACCATTTCGCACCAATTATATCGCTAAAGCCCTGCATGGAACTGGAGTAAGCAACCTGCAGTGAATCCCCGAGTACCGGGCCAGCCACCTTATCGTCCTCGGGACGATTTGGCGATGGGGATTGGTCGTCACGGAGTCTTAGTTAGGATAGCTTCCTATTTAGGGACCCCAATGTCTGGGACGGGGACCTGCTTTATCAGCCGCAGGATCGAAGTTGTGGGGGAAGGTGCTGAGGTAAGGGGCTTCGGTGCTAGGAAGGAGGATGGGGTAGGGCTGAGTACGATGTTGAGGTTGGTGTATATAAAGAGCAAATGGTGAGTGTGAAAAGTCGGGAACACGAGTAATGGCGTTGAGAGAATTGAATATCATCATTGTTGGTGCGGGGATTGCTGGGCTGGGAGCTGCGGTTGTGTTGTGTAGGGCGGGGCATAACGTTACAGTATTTAACTTTCTCCCACCTCTCCATTGGGATTTATGCTGATAGCTGAGACCTAGATTGTAGAGAAGTCACAGTTCAAACAAGAGGCTGGGTTTATGATCATTCTGGGATGGAACGCTACGAAGGTGCTGGAATCTATGGGTACGCTCGTTACCCTTATTGCAATGTTCACCAGGAAGACTGATCCAATGCCAGATTTTGACTTCCAGAAAGGAAGAGGCTCGGATTCTGAATTTGTAAGCAGGCTTTCAAATTCCCATCCTTCATTCTAACCGGATTCAGATCCGGACATTCAACGGGACAACACTTTCTAAAGGCGCAGCAATCAATATCAAAACTCCAGGTGTAAGTGCTCTCCCATTTCTTCTGCAAGACCAGCAATCAATAACGATAAGCTAGCACGAGAATTCGCAATGTAAAACTTTCTACAGACCAGATCTCCACAACGAGTTGAAGCGTCTAGCACTATATCCCCGACCTGGGGCCAAGATCCCAAAGTTATTGCTTGGGAAGAAAGTTGTTGGTGTTGTGAGTTTCCTTCTCACTCTCCTCGAATAATGCTGATAAAAGAGATAGGACATTGAAACCGCAACCATCACGCTCGAGAACGGCGAAATACTCAGTGGAGATTTAATCGTCGGCGCAGATGGAGAGAGATCCATCGTCAAAGCTGCATTTGGCGACTCAAATCCTCTCCGCAAAGCCAAGTATAGGATCTTTAGATCGCTGGTTCCTACTGAGAATATTCTGGGAGATGAGAAGACAGCAGAGTTGTTAGGGGCTACGAGGGGAAACTTCTGTATGTTTTTGCAGGGGAACAGGACTATGTTTTGGTTCGAGGGGAGGAAGTGAGTTTCTTTTCATGCACGATGAGGAGTAGAGCTGATTGGCTGTAGTGGGCTACTTCAAGATCTTGAGGCGGGATATGTTCCTGGCGAGGCTGATGGACCGCTTGGTTTGTGTTTCCCGTCTAGTCTCCGCGTAATATCGAGTTAACGCGAAACAGAAACACATCCCAAGAAAGCGAAGCAGAAGATGCTTGAAAAGTTCGCGGATTATCATCCGAGTATCGTTGAATCTTTAAGGTTTGTCTCAAACCTACGTTGAGTTATGCGAACTCGTTCTGATGAAAATACAGAAAAACAGAGCACGTCTCAGAATGGGAAGTTAACTATTTCTCACGCCCACATCATTACTTGTTCAAAGGCAAAGCATTGGTCATCGGAGACGCTGCACATTCGGTTTGTCCCCAATTCCCATACTCAAGGAAAGTAGTTGACAGAAACAGATGTTCCCAACAACAGGTCAAGGCGGCTCGCAAACGTTCGAAGATATTGGTGCTCTCTCAGTCCTCTTCTCTTCAGTTTCCCCTCAAACGTCAATCGAGCAACGATTGAAGCTTTTCGAGAAAGTGAGGATGGAAAGGATTGCGTTAGTGATGAGTATGAGTAGGTGCATTTTCGGGAAAGAAGAGGAATTTGTAAGAAGTAGACCTTGGTTGTGGGGTAATGGGATGGAGAGTGGGGAGAAACATACGAGGTTTCTGTGAGTATTGAATAGGCCTCGGGTATAAGTGTGCTAACGAGTGGATTAGATTTGATTATGATGTTCTTGAGGATAGTAGAAGGGCGTTCGAGGATGAGATACGGGGTATGGAGGGCGTGAAAGCAAGGCTGTAAGATGAATCTTGGAGGATGAGTAGGAACGCACACGTATATACCTTGCGTTTGTAAACATACTTATTTGCATACTGAGTCGTTGACTATCTATCGCCCACGGTTTCCTCGCACAGCCTAACCCTCACTAAACGCCCACTAAGGGAGGAGGTCACACTGCCTAAAACGACCGCTTGAAAAGTCAGGCAAGCTTACGAACATGGGGACAAAAGTCCGTGCGTTCAGGCTGTAGAACCTCGAAATTAAAACTCTT